ATGTTGAGCGGTCATCGGTTGATCGCAACATCTACCTGATCAACCCATCGGATGAAGATCAGCTGTCCTTCGGACGTGCAGCCATTCCCGGAGACGGCTCAACGGTTTCTAAAGCGCAGCCGGAGGCTACTGCTGCAGGACCAAGTGGAGGCGCTGCACCAAGAGACGCCAGCATGGATCCTTTCATGAAGACGCTCAAGGAGACTCGGTGGAAGGTGCTGGAACACCTGAGCAAGATTACGACCTTTACCCGGCGAACTGCTAACGACATCGCCGAGAATCCACGTATCCCTCCACAGATGCGCCGCCTGATGAAAAATCCCGAGATCCAAACTCTGCAGGATGAATTCGACAGTGCCAGGATCTATCTCGCTCGATGGGCGATGAGCATCGCTGAACAGAGTGAGAAAGAGCGGAAGCAGCGCATCTGGACTGCCCAAGATGTTCTCGAATCTGAGAACAGCTCAGTCGGAGAGTTTGAGATCCTTGAACTAGAAACTGGCAACCTTGCCCTTAGAGAGCGCCGGAAAACCCTTTCCCTGGAAGAATGGGAGGGATTTTTCGACCCAACGTCGGGAAGGTTACAGATTACGGAAGAAGAAGTCAAGGAGAGAATATTCCACGGGGGTATTGACCCGAACGATGGTACTCGGAAAGAAGCATGGCTTTTCTTACTCGGTGTCTACCCATGGGACAGCAGCCGCGAGGAGCGACAGGCCTTGATGAACTCCAAGCGAGATGAATACATTCGGCTCAAGGGAGGCTGGTGGGAACGCCTAGTCGAGGGCAATTCGACGACAGAAGAATTCGAGCATTGGAAAGAACAACGGAACAGAATAGGTACATGGTCCTGCTCACAAAACCTCTCTCGGTGCATGATTCTAACACATTTATAGAGAAGGATGTTCATCGTACCGACCGGACGATTCCTCTCTTCGCCGGAGAGGACATCCCGCACCCTGACCCCGACTCTCCATTTGCCGAGACCGGTACCAACGTGCATCTAGAGCAGATGAAGGATATGCTCCTGACTTACAACGAGCACAATCCGGATCTAGGTTATGTCCAGGGAATGAGCGATCTGCTGGCACCGCTCTATGCTGTGATGCAGGATGATGCGGTTGCTTTCTGGGCATTCGTAGGCTACATGGACCGCATGGTGAGAACTTTCCCACGGCAACACATCCTACGCAATGTATCCAAGCTAATATTGTACAGGAGCGAAATTACCTCAGAGATCAATCAGGAATGCGTTCTCAGCTCCTTGCCCTCGATCAGCTTGTTCAATTGATGGATCCCCAGCTCTATCTCCACCTTCAATCAGCTGACAGCACAAACTTCTTCTTCTTTTTCCGAATGCTGCTTGTTTGGTACAAGCGTGAGTTCGAATGGAGCGACACACTTCGCCTATGGGAAACCCTTTGGACGGACTATTTCTCCAGCAGCTTCCATCTTTTTATTGCAGTTGCTATTCTCGAGAAACATCGCGACGTCATAATGGACCACCTGAAACATTTCGATGAGGTGCTGAAATACATCAACGAACTTTCCAACACCATGGACCTGGTCCCTCTTCTCACGCGGGCAGAATCACTCTTCCATCGCTTCGAGCGCGCGGTCCAGGCCATCGACAAGAGAGACAATTTCCCCAGTGCCCCCACTGCCCAGCAACGACGACCTACCTCGGACACTGACTCTGCATCAAACTCTGGAAAGGGAAAACAGACACAACAAGGCACTGTTGGCTCCAGCAGTTCCGTCAATCCCCCAAGTGCTCTTCAACAGTCCATGGACAAGGACAAGCCCAAGGTCATCTCTCCGGAGCTACGTGAGCTCTTGAGAAAGGATATTCCCTGGAGGCGTCAACAGATGTCGTGATCCCCTTTTTACTAGACAACCTCTACAACTTGCTTAAAGCATCGCTTTGCTTATCTCGGTTACGATCTCATGAAATGAATGTATAGCTAGCAATTCTGTGTTCTTTTGTCAGAATCAACGGCCTGACCTTTTGGAGTTGAAATGGTGAATCATTGGCTTTGGTGTTTTTGTGATAGTTCTCTTCTTTTATGTCTTAGCATTCAACCTTTACTTGGGCAAACATGACCAATCTGCATCTCGTTGCATCAACTGTATTTCGAGATATACTAGTACAGGGCTAGTGAGTTTTGATAGTACAACTCCAGAACTTGCATGCAAGTGCATGGATATAGCCCACTTCCAACTTGAAGGCTAAATACTTTGCCTTCCACGCGACTCGAGGGGGAAAAAGATGGCCAAAATACCAGCCATTCCCAGTAATGCAGCGCAGACATAAATTGGAACCGAGGTAGACGTTGAAGTAAATGCACCGATCAACGCAGAGACCATCCCCATCAATCGATTCAGAGCCACGGCAATACCATTACCGGTACCACGATGAGCTGAAGGCAGAATCTCAACTGTGTAAGCGTACAAGGTTGCGTAGTAAATGTTTATCGAGACCGAGATCGCGCAAGAAAACCCGAGGTTTTGAGGCCCTGTTTTGACAGCGGTATATCCGAAAAAGAAGGCCACTGGACTCAGTCAGTGAAGGTTCAACGATATAAGCTATTGACTTCAAGTTTCAACATACTCGTCATAAAGGCACCAACTGCCATTGTCCCCTTTCGACCAAGTATCCGCGTTTCACACATGTAACTGGCAATGATCGGCCCTGGTACTGCACACAGGTTGGTGATGGCATAGTTTCGCCAGGTGATGTCAGGGGAGGTTTCACCCGTAGATGCACCCCGAGATGCCAAATATTCGGGTAGATATACGTAATAGAGAGCATATCCGAGACCAATGAGCGCCCAAGAGATCCAGACCAAGATTGTTGAAAAGGTAAGAGTTCGTGTCGCAAACAGGCCACGAATATGAACCCCAACTTCGGCAAAGGTGGCTTTGTTCTTAGCATGAGTGCTGTGAATTTGACCGCAGGCTTGGAGCTGCTCCAATGTGAGGTCGCATTCTCGATTATGCTTTTGAGCGAGATCGCGGAGTGTTTTGATAACTTCCTCGTCCATGCCTTGGCAGAGTAGGAACTTAGGAGTCTCGTGGAATCGAATGACCAAGACTCGAGCCATGCTCAAGACAAAGACCAGGGCTCCGCTTGTATAAAATAGATATCTCCATCCCATATTGTTCTCATTTGTACACGGCACAGATCCGTCGGTCGGACAGCTATATCCAGCTATAATAATGTCAGTATAGGCATTCAAGCAACAACGTTGAAGTCAATAAATACCCATGAACGGCCAAGCGATAAGACCAGCCACAGTTTGGCCAACACCCCACCAGCCAGCCAAAAGAGTCAAAAGCCATTGTTTATTGGATGGCAAATATTCCAGAAAAACGGTTGTATCCAAGACCAAGTTACCACCTGAGCCAAATGCAGAGATGGCAACCAGTGTAGCCCACGCGACATAATTTGGAGCAGCACCGGCCGTGATGGCGAATATAGCACTAGTGAGCAACGAAAAGTTGAATGCCCATTTTCGACCGATGATGTCTGCCGTGCCACCCCAGAATAAGGCACCAACTAGCAATGCAAGGTAGAAACCCAATTGTGCGCCTCGGTTGAATTTCGGTGGGTATTGCGTTACGACTTGGTCGGCGGAGATGCTCATGAGGAAAAGGAGTAAGGAATCAACACCGTATCTGCATAAATTCAAGTTTGTCAGTATTCCTGATATTGCAGCTTTTCATGTCTCGTGTGCTTTACCCGAATCCATTGAGGAAGAATAATTTAGTATGGTATGCCGTGAATCCGATTTGATCAATTGCCTACAAACACGTCAGAAAAGGCATTGGGTAACGAATTGGCGTCAGGTAACATACATCATTGACTAAAGTCATTTTCGCAGCGAGGGCTTGATCAACATTTCCAAGTGACACCATGTCGGGGCCAGATGGAGTTGAAATTACGTCGGTTTCCCCTTCCTGGGGCTGGGATTTGCCCATCTCGTCGTCGGCTTTGGTGGTCATTATTCGCAATACAGAGACAAATAATGATTTTGGATTAACATGCAGACGACATGAGAACAATTGCGTGTTGAGCGACAGTAGCTAGTAGTAACAATTGCAGACTCGGATTTATGACCGGGAATATGTCCCAGAAATCGAGGTGAAGATCACCGTTTTATAAGATCACTTCAAGTCTGGATCTACCCCAGTTTCCAAGCTTACTGACTCCTACAGTGGGCCTCTTAGTATCTCCATCATCTATCCTGGTCTGTTTTGTACGCATTGTTCTCTGGGTAGAAACAGCCTAGTCAGATAACATGCTCCACAACGCGTCTGCATGGCTTCCGGACCAAACTAATCTACCCCATGGCAGCCAGATGCGGAGCGATAGGAATGCGGGCACGAATCAATTCACTCTGATTGTGGAGATTTCAATTGCGGGAATTTTAACCCGCCCGTTTGAAGCCAAGGACAGATTCATTATTACATATCTCTCTGCCTCTCGTTGGCTCCCCGCTCAGGTGACCGGGGAAATTGTGAATATGCCGATCGGCCAGGGTAATCGAACAATTAATAACTAGCCCAAATGGGTTATCGGGCACGCTGAAGGATCTGTGCATTCTTGAGTCGGCCTGCCACCTCCAAACTCAACCTTGGGAGCTATCTCTCCAATTCAGCCATGACTTCATCGATATCGCTCCATCTCCGAATAATTGATACCATGCCGAAAGGTAAATGTTTGCTTGTGGTGGCTCTAGGCCAGGTATATGAAAGATAGGCGGAGTCGGAGAGTCTCCGGGCTGAAACTCTGGGGGTTGGCATTCTATCCCGCCTTTAACGCCAGAAAAGGGAGTCAGGCAAATTGGCTTAGTCTTCTCAGTCTACTTGGTTTCTGTTATACATTTTATTCATCTCGCGCTGTGATTTCAGAAACTATGTCGCGTTAAATAAGGACTCGCTGATGCATAATCAAAATTCTAAGCTATTTCAGACAAGAAAAAAGAAAGCCGTTACTATTACAAATTTCCAATCTCCCAAATGCCCATGTACGGCTGCTGATGATCCTGGAACTGAAAGAATGGATCATGCGTAATATCCATAAAAGACATATCTCCTTGAACTCCCGGCCCGTAAGAAAACGGCTCTCGGGTTAGTGGAATCTGAGTCGCGTTGCTATCAATGGTATCTGCATTCCAAGGCCCGTGAATGGGACTTTGGGAATTGTCTCGATCCCGATCACCCACGTTACTTGAATAAGGCGGTAATGCTTGACCTCCATCGGAAGTATCGATTGCTCTTGTTGAGCGATGGAATATCTCTGTCTCAACAGTGAGTTTGTCTTGATGCTTCTCGCTTGGCGTTTGGGCTTGCAGGAATGACAAGTCAAAAAGCCCGTCTCCCGAAGACGAGTATGAAGATCGTGATGAGTTGTGAAGCAAAATATCCCACATTAAAGCGGTGTCTATCGATAGCGTCCGACGTGATGATCTCTTGTTGTTCGAATCTGGACTTCCAGTGAAAGCCGAATGAACTAGACTTTGTAGTTTTTGGTACTGAGCATTGTTAGTTTTGTCTCGTAGTTCGATTTGACAAAAAAAAAATCTCACCATCGTCTGGCAGCGCGGCCACTTGGTCGCTAGTTCACCCAGAAACTTAGTGCATATTTCAACAGCGCGCTGGGCGGATTCTCGGACGGATGGATCTGCAGCCCGGCAATAATAGATATGGATTGTCGCCGCAATCGATACGGTATGAGCGAGAAACGGATCGGATAGCAAGTATTCTTTCTCAGTAATCATTTCAATCAGTCGGACCGTCCAGGTTGAGTGAATAAGGGCGAGCTCCGAGGATGTCTTCCAGAATGTGTTTGGGACAGAAAGTTGGGCCGACTGCTGCGGTCGCCACGAGTAGATGAATGGGTGATTAAGGACGCTGTGAATGGCGTGGTAGGTAAATTGGAGATATAGCCACGGGCTCCAGTACCAACGCTCGGCTTGAAGCTCCTCTTTTGGCTGCTCCCAGAATCTCACCGAATCCCATCGGTGACGAGTTGGAAATTTCGTCTCGATATCCATTAAATGAGCCCCCAAGATGGAGTATCCGGATTTTACCGACCATGGTGGTGTTGCATCGCCGACCGAGCAATGAGATACGTACTGTTGTACCTCGCTCCAAAAGCAACCCAGCTGTACCATGTAAACCCAGATGTCACCTCTTGCTGAAAAGGACCCGTTCTCCTGTGGAAGCTGGGGAGGTTTCGTACCCATTTCCCGGGGGAGATCCCACGCCCCCCATGGCCATGTAAACCGGTCGTTGAATATCCTGGAACATATCCAGCTGCATATTTCGCAGGCCATACTGCTGGTCCAAAAAGTGTATACTCCAAAATAGTCTTCGCTTTGCTTCCGAAGCAGGGAAGATAGAACCTTCATTTTGTTCAACGTCCAGTCCTCCACATTTGGCGAGATTCGTAACAAGACCAATATGTAGCCAAGCGAGATCGGTGTCATTTGCTAATCACTCGTCAATAAAACTTTTCTTCAACCATGGATAGTCAGACATACAGGTATACTCTGCGAGTGCGATTAGGCAAAGACTCTGCATTGTAGACAGATCCACGCTTCCTTGAGCAATGCGAAACATAACAAGACCACGAGCTGACTCCGCATACTGCCGACACATCTGATCCTTTCTTCCCTCCAAGAGTGGATTATCAGAATAGCGCAAAGCAAGTGTCAGGACTCCAAAGATAACCTCATTGCGACAGTTCTCTGGAGAAGCTAGGTCCTCAGGATCGAAGAGCCAGAGAGGTTGCTTGTGGCAGTATCTGAAATAGAGACCTATTGATTCTGACACGATTTCCTTCGATGGTAAAGTAAATGGCATCACTTCTGGAAGTTGAAGACTTATACTGTCACTGGACCCATCTTGCTTCGTGGATGGATCGCGCATGTCGCTGGACTCGGCCGTAGCCTCGCGACTTTCAAGTCCGTGTGAATACGACTTCGGTGTCTCTGGGTTGTCAATTTCGTGGGTTGACCTGTCATAATCAGCGTCCTCATTCAACATTACATGACATGGGTCAAAGCATACATTGAACCCTCCAGCATGAGGTCCATCTTCTGTTCGAGCATTTTCAATCGACTCTCCTAGTCATCTTAGCCGTAACTCCCATCACACGGGCCGCCACACCATACCATGGCTGAAGAGTCCTCCCATGCATCCCACCCTCTGCTATACTGGCATGACTGCTGAAGGCGCGTACATGTAGAACACGCCGGTCTCTCCCCGGGACATCTTGTCTTTTTTCGCCTGATATCAGCAGTACAGCTTATCAGCAGATGTCACACTGGGCGATCAGGCTCAAGGAGTGAGTGAGACATACCGACAGTTTTCGCAGGCTTGGTGAGATCTCTTGCTGACCCGAGAATTCATTAAGGGGACCTACAGGCAGCAGAGAGATACGATAGAATATAAACTTGACGATGGGTCCTGTACAGCGTACGATGCTTTATGAAAGACCAAGCGCGGGGTCGTCGGAGTGTAAGCCGTGCGGAGATGATCCAATGACCCACCGGTTTATGTGACCCGCGCCCAAGGGTCTAACTAGAAACTGAATTTCAAGTGGATATAGCGATAAAGGGAAAATGATGACACAACAGATTCCAGGCAGTCTGATTAGTTGTAATTGAAAGTACAGTACATGAAAAAGGGCCTTCTAGGCCTTCGTTATCGAAATTCGCTACCCAATTAAATCATCCAATACCAATATCCAGAACCAAATACAGTACTATCACCACTACCACTCCAATTCACTCTTTCCCTCTGCTGAGCATGCAAGCCCAGAGCAAAAATCCATATCTTCCGTTGTGGTTGAGCCTGCTGGGGTTTGACGGGCGGGCCATATTTCTCTACTTTCTTTTTGCTCCTCCTTTCGATGAGATGTGAGGAGAGAGCGGACAGTATTTTGGAAGAAAAGAGGCGCGCTCTCCAGTTCGGGGTGGAGCTGCCCGTTAACAAACACGCCAGCATTGAGGTTCTTCTGTGCGGCATTGCAAAGATATTTGTCTTCGGCGAGCACTCTCTTGAAAAAGCTATCGATATACTCAAAATCCTCGTCGGAGGCTTCATTATGGCGATATACTTCATACTCCATAGAGCATGTCCCTACGGAGGTGGGAACACAGCGCATCATGTAGAAGAAATGAGGCCTGGTGCTTCGGTTAGTACAAAAGAAACGGTCAATCTATGATGAAGATGGAGGACTCACGAGACTGTCATGCAAGCATTTGGGAAATAATAAGTGCTGGCATTTTGAATATCCTCTTCAACTCTGTCCTCCCTTGGTCGAGAGAAATGTTGAATGTGTCCGGCTTTCTGGATCGTATAATAATATGACAAGTCGGCCAAGTTGGCCACATCGGGATGGGCAACTGTGCAGTGGTAGCATTCATTATAGTTATCGGCAAGCGTCTTCCAATTGTAATCGCCGTCCATCTGCCAAGTATGGTCGAATTTGTAGTTGCTGAAATCGAATTTCTGGAACCGCTCCTGCGTGTCGACTCCCTTGAAATCATCTTCCCAGGGAACTGGCGTGGGAGATGAGTCGAGATTCACCCAAACAAATCCAAGTTCATCGATATGGACGTGTACAGGTAGGAGACCCTGGTTCTCTTTCTGGAAGCCTTCAACATCGTCGAATCGTGGGGCTTTAGCCAGTTTTCCGTTCAAGCCGTACGACCACCCGTGATACTTGCAGGACAGGATTTTGACATTGCCTTCATCCTCCTGAACAAGAGGGAACGCACGGTGACGACAGATATTGTGGAACCCATTTATGCTACCCTGGCGATCCTTGCAGAGGAAGAACGAAAATCCAGCTTCATGGAATCGAAGAAAGTCTCCGGGTTTATCGAAGCGCAATTTGTGGGTAACCAAGATCCATTTCTTTGAGTAAATAGCACGGCGTTCCAGCTCGTACATTTCCTCAGAGCGATACCATGAGGCAGGAAGAGCCTTTGGTGGCTCTTTGACAACGGGAGACACCTTCTGATCGAAGGTAGGTTTGTCTTTGTAACCGAATAGAGACGCGACAGCTGCGGCCATGATGAATGTGATATTCTGGTAGTATCGATCAAGACTTGAGAAGGTATGTCTTCAAAGACTTGCTTGGATCTTGAAATAAACACATGTTGCCATTTATGCCTTCTTTGTCTTATCTTGACCCTTGATTTACTCGCCGTCCCCGCTCACGCGACCAGCTAACGAAAGGAGGATGACATTTGCATGAGTCTGTTGTTCGGAACGGACCCAGACCGACGGCGAATCCACCGGGCTCGCACAAGGTTTGGTCCTTACACTAGCTGATAGCTTCCCGGTCAATGCGCACCAAGATTCGGCCTGCCAATTCCTGCGTTGCAAGGAGGGACATTTGCTCCGGCTGCTCGGAGTAGCCCCGATCACCTGAGCGGATGTCCCCGTGTGGACCCCAACGAGCGGCTGTAATGGTCGAGAAGGGAATATGCTATGGTCATTGCACGCTAGACTGTGTTTGCTGCAGAATTCTATGTCATGGCCAGCTGTTAATCCGACTGGGTCTTTAATCTGCACGCGTGACACCAGCTCGGTGACCTCCGAGGTATTAAGTGCAACAAAACACTATTTTCATCCATACGTGAAATTCTCAAGGCGTAGTACAAGCGAAACATTCATGGATTGAAAACAGTCCAGGTTCATGATATTTGGAGTAAACCCACACTATCATACACATTCAACTGCATAGTATAATATTAGAATCATGTGCCACAAAACTATGGGGTAGTCTCCAAATAGTCCCAACAGCACGGTCTCCGCCGGTCATGTGGACAACAGCCATCTAGACTGAAGACGAATACTCTCATTCGCTGATATAAGTTTGTGGCGCAAACCAAAGTACAATTGACACTATGCAGCAACCTTTCTGAAGGATAATTCTACCCAAGATTCTAAAAATCGACCATTCCCCCAGTCAATCTCAAATTAGTAACAGACACACATCTCATTCTCTCAACCTACAACACAATGGGATCAAACGGCACTACCCAAAACGGATCAAACTTTGTTTTGACCGGCGATGCTCTACACAAAGCTCTCCCCGACATGGGGATGGCCACCAGAGCCGTTCACGCCGACGACTTCGTAACTCCACACCGCGCAATCGCACCTGGAATGCATGTCGCCGTGAACTTTCGCTACGCACGAGACCCTGATAATCTCGTCCCTGAAGAAAATAACGATGTGAGTTATCAATCCTTATCACTATCCTAGTATCATAAACAATGGCGATTCCAAGTCACCTCAATTCCCCCACTAGAAAGCCACTCACTAACAACATACTTGCAAAACATCTAGCCCAACGCCCCAGACGACTCTCACGTATATTCGCGCTACACAGCCCCCAATTCCAAGCGCCTAGAAGTGCTCCTGCGCAGCCTCTTCGGCGGCGAAGTAATAACCTACTCAACAGGACTCTCATCATTCCTAGCAATGGTCGTCCTAATCAACCCAAAACGAATCTTCATCGGCGACGGATACCACGGCTGCCACGGCGTCCTAGACATCATCCACCGACTAAACGGCATAAAAAAGCTCGAATTAACCGACATCGACCAAGCTGGTCCAGGCGACATAATCCACGTCGAAACACCGCTAAACCCAACCGGCGAAGCGCGCAATTTGGCCTACTACCGCGCGAAAGCGAGTGAAAAAGGCGCATATTTGACAGTTGATTCGACATTTGCGCCGCCGCCGTTGCAGAATCCGCTCGATTTGGGCGCTGATATCGTTATGCATTCTGGCACTAAGTATGTGGGTGGTCATTCGGATATGCTTTGTGGATTGCTTGTTCTTCATGAGGATCGGGTTAAGGATGGGTGGTTGAACACTTTGCATAAGGATCGGCAGTATATGGGTGGTGTTATGGGGAGTTTTGAGGGGTGGTTGGGGATTCGGTCGGCGAGGACGATGCATTTGCGTGTTATGCGGCAAGCGCAGACTGCGGAGAAACTTGTTGCGTGGCTTCAGGAGCAGTTGAGTGATAAGAGCTCGAATCCTGTGAACCAGGTGCTTGAGCGGGTGCAGCATGCTTCGGTGCAGTATGAGGATTTGAAGGATGGGTGGCTGCGGAAGCAGATGCCTGGTGGATTTGGGCCTGTGTTTTCGATTTGGGCGAAGAATCCTGAACATGCGCGGAGGTTGCCGAGTAAGATGTTTGTTTTCCAGCATGCTACGAGTCTAGGTGGTGTTGAGAGCTTGATGGAGTGGCGGGCGATGAGTGATGCTGGTTGCGATCCGCAACTATTGCGTATTAGTTGTGGAATTGAGGAGTTTGAGGATCTGAAGAATGATATTCTGCAGGGATTCAAGTCTTTGTTGGAGGAGAGCTGAGGATTCTTGCCCTAGTGGCAAGTTGTGTATCGTGAGTTGATAGAAGTATAAACTTGAATTATATTATAGAGTTGTGGAATCAACCGTGAGAACCTACGCGTAGTATCTTATCCCCACATCAAAACCATCGCTAGCATACTCTGCTACAAAACCTTGGAATAGACATTTCAGGAGAGATCACTCTATATGTGTATGCAATATCAAAAGATAGCCCGAGAAGGTATCGAGCAAGAAAAAAGCTATATACAAGCCACGAAGAAAAGCAAACAAAGACGTGTACCAGGATATCGAGCAAGAAAGCCAAAACAGAACCCAGAAAATGCAGAAAATAACGAAAAAACAAGACAACAACAATATATGATCAGTTTCCACAATTTCGCCGCGCTGATGCAAACCAAAATAATGCGATAGCCCATGGAATAAACAAGAAAGGGCAAGAAAGGGCAAGAAGAAAGATGATGCTAATACTGAGATATGCAGAAACCATAACCAATGGGTTGTGTGGAAGAATTCTTTGCGAGAAGAAAATGACACCAAGCTCAAGATGAGACTTGGCTGGCTTGTGAGTGAAGAAAAGTTTTGGGTAAATAATCCCACTTATCTGCGATTGCCCAGGCCCTTCAGTACGACGCGTCTGCTTGTGCCGACAGATCCAATGTCACTAACACTGCGGACCTTGGGCAAAGAGCGGATAGAAGCCGTGTCACTGATATCGTGCTGCTCGGCAGACTCATGGTTGGGGGTAACGCCGAGTGGGAAAGGGGAGCGTTGATCGAACTGGAGAGGCGGGTTTTCTGGAGGACATCTTCAACCCAGGCTTCACCTTCCGGGCTCATGGAAACATGTCGTGCCCGAGGTTTGGGACCGGCAAGACCGAGTGGGGTGGAGTGGGAATCTGGCGCCAGGGAGTTGGTATTTCCAGGAGAATGGGAGTTCACATCGCCAAACGAGTAGTTGGAAGAGACCGAGAGACGACGCCTGCCTATAGAGGCAGATGGGGGCGAGGTGAATGAGGCCAAGGCACTCGTAGTCACGGACCTAGTGCCGACTGCATCCGATGCATTGGATCCTCGCCGTACCTTGCGAACATTGAGCGACGAGGCAGGTCGGGCACTCATGACGGACGGGGGTCGAGATGGAGTCGCTCGGCCGGAGGTCATGTAGGCTGGTGCGGCTGGGGTCAGCATGGAGCCCGGGGTGGAGTAACCAGGCGAGGAACGAGCTGTCAAGCCTTGTACTTCGACACGGGGTGTTTCGGAAACCTTTCGGCGACCGTGGTGGATGACATATTCGCGAAGATATTCGCCCAGATCAGCCCAGCCACCACCAACACGGACCATAACCCGCTGATTCTCCTCTCCAACAGTACGGACGAACAGTTTTGTGGGAGCTGTCTGTCCGGCATGTTGGAGGTGATAGAGCCTGACACAGCTATCCTCCGATTTGAACACTTGTGAGCGCCTTCTGGTAGCAGGCATGAGCGAAAAGGAAGGCGCTGGGGTAGCACTCCGAGATGGAGCCCCAGGTGGTGATTCCGAAAGAAATCTGTCTCGCATTTTGCGATCCAATGAGGACGACGACGAAGATGTGTCGGCCTCATTGTTAGGATCGACGAGGTTGATTCGCCCAGGCAGCGTGTTCAAAATTGAGTTAACCTTCTCGTCGAGACGATCTCTAGGTTTTCTCCGTTGCCTATTCGGTGACGATGCTCGAGAGCCAACATCTGTCGGTTCCGATACATCCTCCTCGACGTAGTCAAGTTCTTGCCGTCTCATGCCCAAACTTTCCAGGCTGGGATGAGCTGTTAAGCGCTGGCGTAAGCGGAGAGACTTTGGTTGATCTTGATTAAAAATTGTCCGCAGGGAAGAACTCTTCAAAGAAGTTCGCACAACGCGCTGCGCTTCCTTCTGGGCTTCCTTCTGGGCTTGGCTACTGGACTTAAGATCAGAAGCAGATTTTCCGCGGGTCAAAGCAGGGCGTCGGCTGGATGATCTAGCGGGCACCTGTGGAATAGGAAAGGTAGAAGGATTAGGCAGATCTCGGGGAATCGATGTTTTCTTCAATGGCACTCGACCGGCAGGAGAGACCGGGTCGCGGTCCATTTGAAGGTCCATCTTTTCATTGATGAATCGCTCAAGCGGCAGACTGAGAGAGCGGTTGTCTTTAAAAGTAGTCCGAGGAGACACCTTGCGGTTCTCAAGGTGACGGAGACGATCAGCTCGCAACGCATGATCACCCCGAGGCGGGAAAGAGGGGGGTTGGGGGAAGTCGGAGAGAGGAGGTGTCAGAAGGGGACCATCCTTGGACGAGTCGGTATTGGGATCAAGGGCGCCAGGGCTGGAGATCAGGGAGGAGTCGTTCGAAGGGAGAGAGCCGACGGATCCTGTAGATGGTCGTCGATAACGCGGCTTTGGGGCGGCTTTGGCGAGATCGAGCTTGGCGGGTCGTATCTTGGAAAGCTTGATTGGGCTCTGCAATGGCTTCTTGGACGGCGCTTGTTTCTGTGGTGTATGCTGGGAGGGCTTCGGGGCGGTTTTGAGTGGCTCTTCGATAGAATTGACTGGGACCTGGCTTTGAGGTTGCTTTGGGAGAGGCTTGTGCATTTTCGACACAGGAATGCGGGTTGGTGTTGTCTTTGGAGAGCTGCGGACTGGAGCACAGTGAACCCTAGGCTTTTCCATCGTAAGGGCGGGGGACGATTCCTCCTTGGGTCGCCTATCCGGAGTGCCTGTAGCTACGGGCTGCTCGGGCTGCTCAGTCACCGTAGTCACCGCAGTCACCGCAGTTTGGACAAATGGGAGGGAGATATCAGCCGTTTCAGTTGCCTGGACATCCTTCTTATCCTTGGTCATGTTGGCGCTGCTTGCCTGTTCAGTTACAACAGGTTTCGGCGGGTCCTGGTAGATACTCTCTGTGGAAGCATCGTCCGAAACAAGGAGATCCGGTGCAGCCACAGAATCACTCTTCCTGGACGAGGCGGGTCTCTGTGTGAAAGGGTCATCGTCCGTATCGCGCTCTGAGAGTGCAGCGGGCTTGGCAGATGATTCCCGAGACGGCGGTGCTGGTCGTTGTATAAAGCCGACAGGTGGAATATTCTCTTTATTTTCGACGCTGGGTGTCACTGGGAGTGGCACTTGAGTGGGAGAGATATCCTCTTCGGATTCAATTGACGGAAGAGGTGGAAAGACGGATTGCGTTGGAGTTGGAGTATTCGCATCCTCATTTACGCAATCGGAGGACACGATCTGAGGCACATGCTTGGGCTCGTCGTCGGTATGAAGGGTAGGTGGCGTGTCAGGCTCAGAGAGAGGTGGGAGGGTAGAATCGCTCTCTGCAGAAGACAATCCTGAATCTTGTGTCAACTGGGATGTTTCCTGTTCGTCGGCATTACTCTCTGACGAGAGATCAGGTTCAATCTTGGGCTCCTCTTCAATCGTCTCCATCTGAGGACACTCCTGTGTTGACTCTGGCTCGAGGCATTCTACCAAAGCTTCATCCGATTGTGTCTCAGTTGGTGTCGTATTGACCTTTTCTTCAACGGGAGGCGCGACGGTTTCGGATGCCTTGGTCTCCTTCTCGTGTTGCTGCTTGGCACGGAGCCACTCGGTGCGAAGCTTATATTTATCGACTTCAACTACCCAGGCAGCGAAATCCGACTCGATTCCTTCGAGATCATCGATCCAGCTCTCAGGCAAAGAGTCCTGTCGACCTTCCAACGCGTCCAGGACTCGGTCCATTCGCCTACCCACTGAGACGACCGCGGATTCGAGCTGAGCATGATCGACGCGTAATTGTGAGCTGGATAAAAAGGAACTGCTGTTCTCGGAGGGGTCGGAGGTTCGTAACGCGTGAAAGGAGGTATTTAGGGCGGATCGAGTGGATTTGAGTTCGCGAAGCAGACCGGGAATCTGGCGGAGGACAAGAAGTCGGACATCCCAGGTGGTCAAAAGGTGATTTAGACGAGAGAGAAATGGCAATGCGCGTAGGATTGTAGCAGTCACGACAGCCGTGAAGTCACTAAGTTGCACATAGCTGAGTGGTGGAGGCACGGACACCGTGCTCGTCGAAGAGGAAGGACGAGACCGGGATGGAATGTGGGCACTTAAAACGTGCTCTTTGAGTTCCTCCACGTTTAAATTGTCCATTCCGTCGCGTATTTCCTCTATCCTTTGTTCATATTGTTCCACTATTGTCGACGGCAGACATCCATAGTACGCGATATCACTGGTGCCAGGGGGGAACAGGGAGGTCGAAGCAGCCGACGCTGAACCGTTGTCCTCCGACTGCACCTCCACCGGTGGCACGAATCCCTTCCCTTCTTTGGCATCAGCATGTTTTGGCCACGTCCAGGTCTGGACCTCCTTATACCAGATGTTCAGGTTCTGGGCGGCTACCGCGGCGCGTATCCCCAAGGCGCGTTCGGCCGGCGACACTTGGGAGATACTCTGAGAAAGGACATCGCGGGAGAATTTCTCATTCGACGGTACAGCTTCTGTTGAGGTGAGGGCATTGAGAGTCGATTCCGGAGAGAGGTTCGCTAGCAAGGGATCGATTTTCTGATATATCGACTCCGGGTGGGCGGGCGAGGTGGAACGCGAATTTTCTCGAGAATGGGCGGGCGAGAGGCGGATGGAGGGACGAAGGGGACTAATTCGACTGGCTGGCATTCCGAACGGGTGAAAAGGCTATATAGCCCTGTGGTCCACTTCACAAGGAGACGGGGCAAAGTTCAGCCAAGTCGGAGTGGCATGAGACTGACGGGGGTCGATATAAAGCGGGCGGACGAAGGGACTGTCGAGCCCGCATGCTGAGATGCGTTCTATCTGAAGAAAGATGAGGGAGGAGGCACGAGGAGTGGTAATTTCCAGGTGATGCAGACGCGAGAAATTCGAAATTGTTGGTGAGGAGGAGGAGTGAAGAGGTGAGAAGACACGAGGGCCTGGCGGTAAGGAGGAGCTGCCTTCGGTACCAACAATACCAGTAGTAGTGCTACCAGTATAGTAGGTATAGTACTAGTAATACTATAACAAAGCGGAGAAATATTCTGCAGGGTCACGACAAAGGGGGAATTAGGAAATGGGAGGGATTAGATATATCATGAAAAAGAAAAGAAAAAAAAGGGTAAAGAGAATCTTAGCACCAAAATAAAATAAATTGATGGTCCTTTTTGGAGGTGGAGCCCAAAAGGGGGCACGGATGAGGAGGTCCACCAACAATCCCGCCGATCCGCGACGCTATATTTGCGTTGTCCGGGGCGAACTGATGATGTGCAGCGGGAAAAATATATGATATGATTAGATATGATGCCATAGTATCTGGAATAGAATATATAATATAGAAAAAATGGTATATATTGGTATTCTCGGGCAAATAATTGGGAAAAGGTTACCTCCTTGCTTGGACCATTGAGTACTGGCTCAATGTTGGCCGGTGCTTTTCCGGTCCTAGCTCTCCTGTCAATGTAGTGGTTTCTGATTGGTTGGATGAATTCCTATGGAAATATCGGAACAATTCGAGGTTCCAAGGTTGATTTCTTCTACTAGTATTTTGTTAGGTATGCATCACTCCGTCATGTCCATGTCCCTTTTAGTCGCCCTATGAGTCTATTTTTGTATTAAGCCAGTATGTGTTCATCTACATAGTTCATCCCACTTTACAGCTCTTCGTCAAGAATAGCTAGTTAGTAGACGAGATTTCCCTACCATGCATGACAATGCATTTCTTGAATTTCCCCCAAGAGCCTAGGGGGATTTGACAAATAGGGCACCTTTCTGGAGGATCCAACCTTTCTTTGAGGTTCGGCGCGTCTGCTTCAATGCCCCCATGGTGCAGATGAATATGCGTGAGAAGGTTGTCCCTTCTGTGATAGAATTTCCCACACGATTTACACTTATAACTCGTGGGCGTGTAATGCTTGGTCTGGACATGTCTTAGCAAGCTGGAAGTGTGGGAGTAATATGGACCTTCTTTTTGAGGACATAATGGACATTTCAACATTGGTCGATCAGGCATGCTCTCGTGGCTTGACACTCCTTGTGAATCGATAAAAGGCCAACCGATTGCCGGTCCAATATCTTGCAGAGGAGCAGTTATGTCTCTTCTAGCATCGGGGGTCCAATTGCAGAATAATTGATCGATGTGAGAATCTTGCTCGGGAGAAAGCCTTTCTGGCAAAGAAAGCGAATGATATGATGATAACCATGACCTAGAGCATAGGAAATAGCAGTATTTCCTTCACCATCCATTCGGCCAAAATCGATACAATAATCGTTGAATGCATCAGAAGCTTCCCTTTTACGGACGGAGTGATCAAGCAGCGATTGAACTATCTCAATCGAGCCATTGTAGCACGCCCACATGAAAGGGGTCCTCCCGTAAATGCCCTTGGGGTCTGGATATGCCCCTCTATTCAAAAGAAGCTCGACAGTCTCATGGTGTCGTCGATACGATGCCTCCGCCAGAGGAATTTTACTCGCAATATAATTGGGGTTCGGGTTGATATTGTAATCCAAGAACAGCTTCACAACCTCGGTGCAACCGTTCAACGCGGCTAGAGAAATCGGTGTTTGGCCATCATCGTCATACTGATCTGGCACTGCCCCATGATCGAGAAGCAGCTTTACAACTGATGTATGACCATTAGAGGCGGCCCAGGCGAGAGGATCTCGGTTCATGGAGTCCCTGGCACACGATAAATCACATTGGCTGATCAGGAACCGCAACACATGCTCCAATCCGAACCATGCAGTCAGATGGAATGCGGTGAATCCCAACGGAACTCCCAAAGAGTAATTTTCGAAGCCGTAGTATCCTTCCAAGGAAAATATAGCTTGAACACTCGCATCCAGTAGACAGGTGTTTTTCAAAAATGAAAGCAAGAGATTATCGATTATTGAATGCACTCGAGCATGGTTGCCCCAGTTTTTGGCGGCATAAGAGTATAGCGGATATTGGCTGAGCCTAGCTTTATATTGGATATCATTCGAACACATTCCTCGTAGAAAGATGTCGTATGAAAGGTAAGTGAGGCAGCTTGCTGTGATGGCTTTCTCTGCGTCTGGGAAAAACACAGCCTGATTTCGTGTGAAGTATTCTTGCATTGTATAGTGGGCGAATTGAACCACTTCTTTTGTACCGTCGGACCCAATAGTGATTAGCCCTGCACACGAGGACATAATGTCTTCAAGATCATAAAGATCTTCCTCATTCAGATCCGACTCTCCCAGCTCTATGGTAAGAGCGGTACGTAGCTCCAACGTAGTGAGCGGTCGCCTAGCACAAATAATCCATGATAGTGTATCTTTGGCCAATGTTTGGCGACGTGGGTCTTGATTGTTGATACGCTCTACAACATCTTGGTAAGCATCGTCAACGGCATTGTTTCCTCCGTCAATTCGATTGGATCTGTTTATCAACCTCTCCAGCACATTATTAATCTCTTTGGCTCCAGGGGCTGAGATCAATGAATCCAAATAGAGCTGGGCCAATAAAAACCTATATAATGTTAGATAATCCGATGGTATAAGAATTTTGAAGATGAATTTTTAGAATCATACATTCCCATGACCGACTCCACGATGACAAGTACAGCCTTTTCTTGCAGAGCCGGCCTTCGGATCAAAGCACAGCCCTCGCAGCTTTCCAAACGACCCTTGAGGTATTTCATAACATCTTCTTTCTCTGCGCGGATCTCTTGAGAGGGTTTGCCTTGGAATCTCGCTTCAATTACAGGAACAGATCTTGAGGTTGCCAATAAGTTCAAATTCCCAAACGCTTGAGTTTCGAATAGTTGGCTGATAATACGAGATATGGTGGCCGCCTTGCATTCATCCAGCGCATCAATGACAATAAAGACTTGTGTCAAAGCCATTTGGACAACATCTTTGAAGGCTTTGCAGAGTTCATGGAATGCAGGCCGTGAACCATTGGTCCTGTGTTTTTCATATAACAAGTGTACCGTGGATGGAAGTAGAGGGAGTCTTCGAATCAGCTGCCGAATGATGCTTGCTAAGATATTTTCCGGAGATTGTCGACTGTCGTCAGAATAGTGGAAACTGCAGAAAATGTAGGCAATTCCAACACTAGGGTCGTTTTCATGGAGACTATCCAGCTCATCTATAACGATTGATGCCATTTTGGTCTTTCCCGCTCCGGGTATACCAGGACAGAATAACGTCTGGCCCGGATTTTGGACCCAGTTCTGAAATTTAGGTGATTCAATGAACCATCTTCCAGTCTCCGGCTGGTAAATTGGCTTCCCTTGATCCCCTCCAACGCTTCCTGGTGACAGCCAGTCGAGGTATTTTTGATGCTGTTCCTCATTCTTGTAGTTGACAAGCTCTTGAACTTGATCTTGCATGATGCGCAAATTAATAGCAGTGAGGGATCCGATGATGCTGCAAACCCGATCCCGAAGTTCTCGGACATCTCCTGGATCCAATGTGAGGCGCTTCCAGATATGTTTGATGCTTGGCGTCTGGTCTATCTCTCTGTATTTGCCAATCACTCTCCAGATGTCTTGGTTGAGGACCTTGCACTCGTTTGCTATGTGCTCCAGCTTTTCTTTCTGGTTCTCGCGTGGTACATGTGTCTCAACATCCTGTATAATATAGGAGAGGTTTCTCACTCTATGAGCGTCCAGGTCAGTATGAGAATGCGAATCACGGTCGGAATTAACCAGGAAAGAACTCACTCAACATTGAGAAGTTTGAACTGAGCGGGCGCACCGTTAAAGACTTTTCGAATGTGATGAATGTCCTTGATTATGCCGAGGAAGTCCCCGACACTAAATCCGAAACTCATAATTGCTGTTTCATTTAGGTGAAATCAAAAGCGAGCTCAAGGAACTTTGTGGGGCTCTTTTAATGTCAGGCGGAGCTGAGGCTGTGTTGGGCTGTGCAGCTGTGCCAGCTGCCCTGCTTGTTTGCGCTGCCCGATCATTCATTTTGCCTTTTCAAAGAGTATTTCCACGCACCATTCGGTCCAATGATCATTAGCGAAGCCTCTTGCGCAAGGGGTAGTTGGGATGGAATATTCCAAGGTTCCAAGGTCGGCAAGAAGATTATGCGGCAAGCGGGAGATCCGGTCGGCCCGCACCGCGCCTATCCCGCGTCAAACTTTGAAACGTCCAACTACCTTTGACAATATCACGCCCAGCGAATTATATCATGCCACCAGACAGGGCCCCGAAAGCGTGCCTTCAGTGTCGGAAGAAGAAGCGGAAGTGCAATGGCCGGCATCCCTGTCGGAATTGTTCCAACACCGGCCGGGAGTGCACATACAGTGAACCTGCTACGAAGAGGTCACCCTCGAATGAAGACTTATTAGCAGAGAAAGGCGAGATTGAAACGGATTCTACTCCTGCAATAAATACAGAAAAATGGGCAGCACTCAATTCAGGAGACCTTCTCGCTAAGCGACTCGGCCTTTCAACAGATTGCTCCTCGGGGGAGGCTAGGCTCTGTTCTTGGAACTTTCGTTTACATAAAGCCCCCTCCTATCTCAGCACGACAAGGCCATTTTCCGATATCTTGACCACACAACACATGCACCGACTCGCAGACATTTACTTCGCGGAAATACAGCCAGTCTACACATTTCTAGACCCTGATGCGGTCCACACAGCCGTCTCCGCTTCAACCAACCATCCGCCAGAGCACCCTTCAAATTGCGTTCTCCTAGGAATCGCAGCACTAGCCTGTCTTTTCAGCAAGGGGGAGTCATCTGGCCTCCAGTCTGAAATTATCTACAATGCTCGTGCTTCTCTGGAATACTCGACAACACTTGCCGTGCCAACCATAGACCACGTTGTGGGATGGCTACTACGCGTCTTATATCTCCGCTTCACCAGCTCACCGAATCCAACATGGCTCGCCAGTTGCACGCTAATGCATGTGATTGAGACGGTCAAGTTGCATGTGGAGCCAGCCCCGAATACCAACCCGAATTCCGCTCACGGCTTGCAAGAAACATATAGCCCACAACTCAGAAGACAAATATACTACACTGCCCAAATATTCAACACATGGATCTCATACGACTACGGAAAGGCCCGAATAATACCCCGCGATGCTTCTTGCACATTCCCATCGGAAGCATGGACAACAGAAAACCGCATATTCTGGAAACTTTCCGACTCCCTCGATCCAAATCTCCAACTCAACGCAACGGAACTGGAAAGCATGCTCGAGCAAACCGTCCAACTGAAGCCATCCCATCCAGCCATGAAACTTAAACGGTGCAATATAGCACTTTGCATCTACCGCCGCCTCCGCGTTGCCGGTTACACAGTTTCAACTAAAGCCGTGGACAAAATCCTACAACTCGGAGACGATGGGATTCAAGTTGCCACCACGATGGCCGAGGCACAATCACCTTGGTGGCATATCTTAAATGTCCCATTCCAACTCCTCTGCGTCTTACTGGCAACCGATACTCGTGCCTCGCTTAGCCGTGTTGAGAAGGTTTTCCAGACGCTGAAATTGCTGGCTGATAGATATGGCCCAGATGCTATTCGGGAGACATGGGCGAGTGCTTGCACATTATTACGACTTCAGATTCGGCGGAAGCGAGATGATTTCGAGCTTCTGAATCGCGTTGAAAATGATATCCTGGCATGTAATTCCAGCGAGGTGCCTTCGGCTTCATTGGATCAAAGTCTCCCAGACTCTTCGCAGTTACTATCCGATGCAGGACATCATGGCCTAGGAGAATTTTGGGAGTTGGATGAGATTTTTTCCACTAATTTATTTACTACTTTGTAAAATTGGGACCAGGGAATTACGCACTTTTATCGGCGTCATATAGTGGCGTTGCAAAAGTTTGAAACCCCATGTTGACTGTTCTCGTCTTCGCATTCTAATCGCGAACTAATAGCTACCTGCCTCGAGATGGAATATATTGGGCTATCTATTCCATCTAAGGTAGCTACTCGTTTCCCGTTAGGAGGCGCTCAATAATAGTGGGCAATATAGGTTGAATGTGCGGAGAATAGGGGAAAAGACATTTTTGCTATACCGAAGAGTGAGAGCTATCAAGTGCATTGAAGCATCATGATGGTAAAAAGAAATCATACAAAAGCAAAAAGCAAAAAGCAAACACTTGCGAAAGATTCCTACCGCCCATCTTCACGGTCTTGAACGCCTCCAAAAATGCACGACGGCTCATCTTGACATTCTGGTCATGAGAAACAGAAAGACGGTGGCCTTGCCACACCTGGTATATGAATCTATACCATGCCTTTTTCCTGCTCGCCATCTCCGTGGTGTATGCCTCGGTACTTTCCCACGAGTACAATGTTTCCGTCAACGTAAGCGTGAGATACTGCAGAGACTTGGCGTTAGAGCGCCAGATTCCAATCGGCATTGTGTTGATGCCATACTTCAGTAGAAGCATCAACGTTTTAGTCTTCATCATCGCGCGTTGGCTTGGCAATCTCGCGATCACACTCGAAGCATCTATGTCGGTAATAGACGGATACTGCAGGCCGACCTTCCGGAGATAGTCGGCCTCGTACATGGAGCCAAGTCTGTATACTGTAATCTCCGTCAGCTCCTCTACCTCCTCTCTGGGGTACACTGCTTCTTGGAGGACCCTCTTTAGACATCCGTGTAGACTGAGGTTTCCGGCGAAGTTATCGGCGCCTAGTTTCAGGCAAAGTACTTCCGTGTGAGATATTTGAGTCGTTTGATGGGCCGTCCACCACTCCTGCGCGCCGTCTGGCCATTGACGGAGGAAGGAGACGGGTTACTTTGCGCAATGCATCCCATTTCGCCTCATATGACACAAGCGGAAGCCCCAGGTGTGGCCGGTAGTAGCTAGATTCCCATTCGTCGTCCTTGAGTGAAAGGTATATATGTTGAGTACTGCCTAGGAGCCCCATGCTTTTGACAGAGTCATGAATTGACTTCGCGATTTGGATTACGTCGGGTGCTTCACGATATCCTTAACCCCACCCCCGGAACCGATATCCTCGACCATATGGGCATCATCAGCCGCTAGTCCTTGCTCAGTATCCGGATCGATGAGACAGCGTAGGATTCCGGATGCAGCAAGGCTACCACTGGCTCACCCTATACTGCCACTTTGTGGCCAGATGACGATTCCCCTTCCGCGTCAATGTAGGCTTGTTGAGGGATTGACGTACGAATATCGTTTAGATCTGACTCAGCCAGACATTTCCGATCTACCTGCCGATATAGACCGGCCTGGTCTCCGGAGACCATGACCCACACTAGTTTCGCCGGCTGTGATACAGATTCCATGCTCACGCCACGAATCGTCATATTGCTCGTAATGCAACGTACGTCCCAGTCCGACTGGCCAGCGGGCGGAATCGCCCAGTTGAACACGTCTGCCGTAATGGGGAGTATGTTGTGGGTCATTCTGATGTATAACACGTGTTGCTTTGCTTCCTCGATGGCTTCCGGAGATGCCACCCGCCGGCAGGAAGCATAATGGCTTCAAACATTGGCATTCGGTACAGACATGAGTTTGCAAGGGAAATGAGAGATGAGAGATGAGAAAGAGGGAAGGGGGAGCTCATGTGGCGGTGAATGGTTTGTTTACTTGTTTACTCCTGGGTGGCTCCTTCCTTCTTTACCAGGTACTTCTAGTAGTTACAGGCGGATGCACCTGCCAAGTTGAAGTGTTCTACAGTGAATTGTCTCTGAAACATCACTATTTTATCCGGAAACTGCGATATCCGATTGGATGCCGTGTCTATTAGGATAGTCAATAGAATGGGGAATGGTTGTCATAGATGAGTACCCTCTCTCTCAAGTCCTCTCGCCCGAACATAAGTACTAGTAGGCCGGGCATATTTGGAATACCATGGAGATGGTTTACTGGCGTATACGCTGGAGCAGATAGACGATGATGAAAGTGTGCGGAGGTCATTATCTATACAAAGGAGGCACAGTGTGATATACACCTAGAATTTCTGAGGCTAAGTCCTTACCAACAACAATGGCGCTCTATCGTGACTTTTTCACAAACGACTTGAATGTAGTTTGTAGCTAGTGCTACTCCAAAGAGCTCAAGCAAATAGAAAATAAGGAAGGTCCCAAAATAGCATGAACTGCGCTATTCGACCAATCATGATCCTGGTTGAAACATGCAGAGATGCCTCACTTTCCTATCACCTGACACGCGAGGCTGAATAAATACGAGTGTCGCCAACTCGAAGTCCCAACATCATTTCAGCAGCAAATACGGAGTATCGAGTATCCAAACTCATCGAACAATGCGTCTAATTCACACGCATTCCCTTGAGCTCTGGGAATTCGCCGATAATGAAGTACCAGAAAAATATGCCATCCTTTCTCACCGCTGGGAGAAGAAAGAGGAAGAGATATCTTTCCAAGAGATGCTGCACGCAAATGATGTGACCAGGCATAAAATAGGATATCGAAAGATCGAAAGTTTCTGTGAAAATGCTCGCGATGATGGATTCGATTTCGCGTGGGTCGACACATGTTGCATCAACAAGGACAGCAGCGCTGAGCTGTCCGAAGCCATCAACTCCATGTTTCGATGGTATCAGCAGGCCAAAAAATGCTACGCGTATTTGGCTGACGTCCATACCATTGAGCAACTATCTAGTAGTAAATGGTTTGAGCGGGGCTGGACATTGCAGGAATTTCTGGCACCCAGCAAGATCCACTTTTTCTCTGATGACTGGACTATGCTTGGAAAAAAGAAAACGCTTATTGATACCCTTGTTAAAATTACAAGGATTCCTCACAAAGTCCTCAGTCAACCTATATATTTAAACGAAGTCTGTATCGCCAAAAAAATGTCCCGGGTCTCCCAGCGCAAGACAACACGACCAGAAGATATGGCATACTGCCTGATGGGTATATTCAATATCAACATGCCTTTGCTATACGGAGAAGGTGGGGTGAAATCCTTCCTCCGATTGCAAGAAGAGATCATTAAAACCTCAAGCGATACTACAATTTTCGCCTGGGTTGACTCAAATCCGAGTCGTCATGCGGACCTCTATGAGCCACATGGACTACTGGCCACATCGGTACAACACTTTGCCGAATCCCACGACATTTTTCAAACTTCTGAATTCGAGGAACCGTATTCAATGACAAATAGAGGTCTTCGAATTGAACTTCCCATCTTCAACGTCAGTGTTGACATGAGGCGTTATGCCGTGGCGAAGCTATTTTGTTCACGCAAGCATGAATTCGAAAAGGTGGATATAGGTGTATATCTGGCGAGATTGGATGACAAACGTTTCTGTCGGATTATCGTTGATCGTTTCTCAAACTTGTACGGTAAAGAGAATTCGAAGTCTCCCCAATCACCTCTCACATTATTCATCCCGCAAAGACTTTCTTTGGATGAACAGGCCAAAGCTAGACTTCAGGCTACAACACCAAAATACTATGACCCTCTGCAAAATTGACATAAGCTAAACTGGATATCATGGAAGGACCTCGGCCAGCCAAATTGACCCCAAGACAAGGGAACAAGGGAACAAGGGAACTAGGATATATGAGTAGTAGTTAGTTAAGTTAATACACACATGTATCTAATTCTTCGCTAACTATTCATTGGTCCAAGCTAGCACTACGTAGTAATAGTGTTCAGGCAATGATGCCCCAGATATCTAAAGTCACCTTCCTTGTCCTTACCCTCCTAGGACCTCTATTCACTCACATGCATCACCAGTGTCGACTGGCAACTTTCTTTTGTACTAAACCTCATGGTTGTGATATCCAAGCAAAATTTACATTGAGCCACCTCAGACATTACTTCGTCGTAGCAAACGACAACATCGTTACATAGCTTATAGTTACCTCAATTAGGAAGGAGTAACTTTCTATATTCGATTGCTGACAAATCGCTTATCCTCGGCCCCCAATCTACTCAGCAACTCTCCTTTTCGTGACATCCTTACCCCATACATCGTTCGTTTTATTTTTCTCTTCGGGATTCCAAAAATGCTGCGTGAAATTCACTTCGTCAATTTGTCTCATCCTGCGGAATCGGTCTCGGCCGAGTCTCGGAGGGGAGCTCATGCCCACGCCGCACGTACAGCACACGCTAGACGAGATCGCTTTCGTATTGTCAAATATCCAGCCAGTGTCGAAGGCCAAAAAATCGGAAAGGAAGAGGGATCTACGAAGAAAAATCATAAGCCCACTAAAAGCAATTCGATGGGCTCAAAAGTAGCCTATGATGTGTCATCTTTGCCTAGCCTCAAGACGGCTTTATCATCAAGCCGACGAGATCCGTTTGACAGCTTAGCCAGGTCTTTTTCTGAGTCTCAATACTTTCTTCTCGATCATTGTTGGTTCCACCTATCCACTCTTTTTTCCCTTTTTTTTGGATTGTGGTCTCATCCCAACACTGCTGTTAGATACCCAGATGGTTATTCCCGATCAAAGCGTTAACTGCAACCGGCTTTTGAGCCCGGAAAAGTACTGCCAATTGATGAAAGAAGAATTGACACGGCTTCTGGTTACTAGAGACGACTCCTTGGATAGCCTTTTTCTAATTGCCTGCCGCCACTTGACGGAGACGAAGTCGGAGCGGCCTGAAAAAAAGGGGCACTACGTGCAACTGGCACTACAGTACAAAGTTTCTTGTTTAAAATCCCTAAACAAATCTATCTCCCAGGAGATAGAAAAGGCATTAATGATCAGTGACTCTACATTTGCAACGGCAATGATGCTTGCATCGGACGAGGTGAGCTAATATCACTAACTACGGCTCCAAGGCACTGGCTCCAAGGCACTAACAACCCTGAAATTCAAGATTCATCTGGGTAACTTCCATATGGCTCAAACCCATATTTCGGCTGTTCTACGGATGGCCCAACACAATGGCGGACCTCAAAATCTAGGGTGCAATGGATTTATGAGACACTTGCTATACGTGCTATGGCGAGATGTCAATACTTTTGCGAGGATTCAAATGTTAACGCGACAAACCCTGCCCAATGCTCCTTGCACCTAGAAAATCATGTACTTTAATCTCAATGATATTAAGTGAGCTAAATCTTCTTATCATAGAGGCCTAATCCAAGACCCTTCGCACTACTTCGGGGGAGTTAAACCTGCCCTATTGCTTTTGGAAAAACAGTACGGCAGCTGATAACTCCGCTAAATCATATTCCCAAGGTATACCTGCAGGGTAATATAAGATATCGGCTTCATAAAAGGAATAGTGCCTCTGATTTTTTTTCGGTCAAAAAAAATTAAATTGGGGAGTCTTCCCTTCGCGTGTGTTGAACCTGAAAGGTTCAGAGCTATTTTTGCAGCACTTTCGCCAGAAATCCGTATGTATCATGTTTGAGCCTAGTAATAAAATACACAGATTAAAATATAATCATGCTCCGTCCAAGAAAAAAAAAGAATCAATGCGGCTCGAGATTAGAATACCGCGAAAAATGAGTTTTATATACCTCGGGAGGGTCGGGCTCGTTCTACCGGGGCTTCTAGACAAGCCAAAAAATTAAGTTGAAGGACACAGGAGGAAACTTTGGGAATTAATCTATAGAATACGACAAAAAATGATTCGGAAACACTCCGCGGGGGGGGTCGAACCCTGGTAGAGGTTAGATGTTGCTCAATTGTTACCGGATTTCAGTTTGTAACATACCCCAACCTTGCGATACTCTTGTTTCGGCGTCGCAGCCGCAATTAAAAGTCGCACGCTCTCTATAAAAGTTCCAGCAGGGGCGCGGCGGGCGGGGGGCGCTTCGGGGTACATACAGCCAATTGAGCTAGCGGAGTTGCATTCTACTGGACCATAAGGCCTAGGTTGAAAACAAAGTGGGACTATGTCCTTTGACATTTTGTACCACAGTTTTCTGCCATTCTGCTAACCCTTCAAAATTCCATGCCCTATTTTGTCTACTTCGATCCCGTCTTTGGCTTCTATGGATGTATTGATTTTTTATTGTCTGCTGCTTCCTAATAAATATGATTTATAGGTCGAGTCTATTATTATATAGGGCTACACACAATACGATATCGCAGGAATTTTGGCATATCGTATATCGTATCGTGTTGCAAAAATTACCGTACATAGTATGAAGGTTTTTTAACACCCTGCGATACGATATGCGATATTTATCGCTATGATTATTGGGCGACGATATGATATGCGATGCGATACGATACGATATCGCACGGTAAAAATATATCGTCGTGTAGTAGTACTAAGGCCCATATCGGCTACGGACGCATGTTGGATAGCCGTTCACCATTGGTACAACGCGCGGAATCCCTCAAAAACATAATAAGAAATAAAGTGGTCTCTGTTTCCTGTCTAGGACTAACTCTGATAGCTTCTATAGTCGTGTCAGCCACGGTCGCATCTATGGATGTTGGCCATGATCGAAATAGGGGGTTGATAGAGCGACCCCCCCCCCTCCCCTCCCGGAATATGGGTATACCGCAGGAGGAGTGTTCCCTATCCAATAACCCACACCACGCCATGATGGATTAAGAACAATAGTTCGAAATCGGAACCAACAAGGCGGAACGTCTCAATATTCAAGAGATCCCCAAAAAGAATTATGAAGTTGCTTCAAAGAGCTAGAGGAGTATGACCTATTCTCTTAGAAGTATCACAAAGGAAAAAAAAAAGACAACCAAGGCCTAATGTAATACACTCAAAAATACGGCCAAAATTATCTAGAGCTTACTCAAAATCCTCTACGAAACTAATATCAACATTCTTAAGCAGCGCGACCTCGGAAATTGAACACCCTTAATAAATATTGACAACAGCAAGTACAATTAATTGTATTCAATAAATTGAAGCATACATGGAGCGGAACCGCGTCGAGATACCAATTTTTTTTTGAAGAAAGCGAACTTAGGTTGAGAATAATCGAAGATCCCTAAAAAAAAGTGTTCTTGGCTTCCTGTGATAATTAAGTACCGTAAGCTGCCTATTAGAGTACCTTGCTGTTTCCTTTTTGGGGGTAGTGTGGATCCACGGGCCGCCAGTAACTATGAGATGATCATTCAAAAGTCTTCAACCTCCTTTTTGTAGTATCTTGCACTTTCCTTTCACAGACTAGATCATAGTTTGCTCGCTCTAGTCATAGACAACTTTGCTGATTGACTTCAGAATATTTCCTGATTTCAAAGCGCTTATATATTGCTACATAATTCAGAAAATTCGCATTCGCATAGACCAGAATAGCCCCGGGGTGTATAAAAGACGGCCCAACTCCCATTGCAATCTCAAGACAAGACAAACAAAAATCATTCCAAAGCTCATTTTCAAAGCCGACCTCTACCTTTGATTCGCGTTTCTCTAGCTACCATTCCAAAGATGCCTGGACCAAATGTCACTATGCCCAAAGGCTCATTGGTACTGGTCACCGGTGCCAACAGTTACTTGGCATCGCATGTGATACTACAATTTCTCGAGCGAGGATACAAAGTCAGAGGCACCGTCCGAGACATTGAGAAAACATCTTGGCTGGTCGAGGATCTCTTCAAAACAGCATCGGAGAATGGCAGTTTTGAACTCGTCCGAGTACCTAACTTCATCGCCTCGAATGCCTTCGACGAAGCTGTCAAGGGCGTCTCCGCTGTTATCCATGTCGCCACTCTGGGGCTCGATCCAAACCCTAACAATGTCCTGCCTCAAATTGTCGTCGCCACCCACTCGATCTTGGAGTCGGCCTCGAAAGAGCCTTCGGTGAAAGAATTTGTTTATACCAGCTCAGTTGCTGCTATGGTTATTCCTAGTATGGAACAAGTTCATCTGACCTTTGACTCCTGGAATGACGCAGTGGTGGAGCTTGCTTGGGCACCTCCGCCGTACAAGCCTAGTCGGGCTTATATCGTGTACGCAGCAGGGAAAACCATTGCGGAGAAAGCTTTGTGGGAGTATGTTGAGAAGAGAGCTCCTCATTTCAATGTCAACTCAATAACTCCAGCAAGTATAATGGGTGAATGCCTCAGCAAAAGTCACGCTGAGCTTCCTCAGATGTTTGTTAAGGCTCTGTATGATGGAGATTTAATAGCATTGCAGCAGCTCCTCACAACTCCAGGAAGTTAGTATTTTCCAATTCCCAAAATCTATACTTTCGTCTATGTATCTGATAATATCTCTACAGCTATCCACACTGACGTGAAGGACACTGCACTTCTGCACGTCGCAGCGGCTCTGGACCCTGAGATCAAGAATGAGAGGCTTTTCTCCTGGGGCGAGTCATGCACGTGGAATGAAATTCTCGCGTTGATGCGTGCTGTTGCTCCTGGGCGGAAATTTGTTGACGACCTGCCTGGCGAGAGACTCAAGTTAACGGCAGATGATCGGAAATCTCTGGACTTGTTGAAGAGATGGACTGGTCGAGAGGGATGGACACCTTTGAAGGAGACAATTACTGACAACATGACCAATATCATGAAGTGGTTTCCTTAAGTCAGACTGAAACATTCATGTTGCTATGAACTTGAAAGCCATATTGGCTGGGTTGCTTGTTGACAATTATAACAGTCTACAGCTATGTGAATCGAGCAAGTGGAAGAAAGAGATCGGGCCAATTTTCCTGCTGGCATAGATTCGCTGTTTTTAGAAGGCTTTGACGACACAATCGCGCGTCAAGTTTCCAGATTCTTATATTATTTCACCTGCCAATTTAAATAATAAGGGCAAGCAACTCTCATTGCATGTGTCATGTCTATACAAGAAAAAAAAACGATACACATACTTTGTTCACTCCTTGAACAACGTTGCCTCAGTATCATACGTATACTTCAAATCAAGATGCCAATAAGCAGCCGAGGTAGCCTTAACACACATCCACGCCTCATCAAGAACATCCGCCACTTCCCGCGGCAAAGCCTTTTTCTGCGTAGCATCAATATTTGAATGAAGCTGCTCGATACTACTAACGCCAATCAGAATACCATCCTTCCCCAACCGCAGCTGCGAGTGATGATTCAGCCAGCGGAAAGCAATTTCCGGTAGTGTCAGGTTGTATTTTGTGGCGATTGGGCTGATCAGATTGACTGCGTCTAGAATCGGTTGGTTCATGTAGCGCTTTCGGTATAAGGCGCCTGTAGTGTTTTTGTCGCTGAATCTTCCTTCTGCTGGTGCTTGTGATATGGCGTCTGTTTTGTATTTCCCTGAGAGAACGCCGCCGGCAAGGGGGTTATAGACGACAATTTCCAGTCCGTAGCGGCGGCAGCAGGGGATGAGTTCTGTCTCGATGTTCCGTGCTGGTTGATCTCGGTTAGTTGCCGTTGGGTATATTCGGAGTTTCTGAGCGAAGTATAAAACTTACTGATAGCGTTGTACATAGCTTGATAAATCGTTGGACGAACCCAACCTCTCTCCGTACAAAGGATAACAATCTCCGCAACCTCGAACGAGGTATAATTGCTCAGCCCTAAACGCTTGAATTTACCCTCTTGAGAAAGCTCATTAACTTCCTCAAGAGTCTCGGCAAAGGGGACAGATCGATCGGCGGCATGCAAGTAAAATATATCCACTTGATCGGTCTGCAACGCAGCTAGAGATTCGTCGAATTTCTCGCGCAGCTTTGCAGGCTTGTGCATGCCTGGTTTGGTAGGGTAGACTTTCGTTGCGAGGCTCAGGCCACGTTCTTTCCAACCAACTGCAGCGGTGAATTCTTCCTGCTTCTCGCCGAGATACATGCGTGCTGTATCGACCTCGGAGTGACCGGATGACTTCAGATAGTCTAGGCATTGACCGAATTCGTCGAGGGATGTGATTCGGGCTCCTAAGTTGGGGTCTGGGCCGAATGTCATCAAGCCCAGGATGATACGGGGTTTGGAAGATGATGTCTCTGACATGATGAATGGCTGATTTCGAAGTAAGAGTTGAGTGAGTGTGAGATCTTCTTTGAGGTATAAATGTGGTAGATTAATGGGCTATCTTATAGTCTTCTGAAATTTACTCCGTGCGGCATGCGGGCCGATGAAGCGGGCCGTGTGGCAAGCCGCATACATAAGGATTTCTTTTATCTGCGAGTTGCGGACTCTGACCGACCCACGAAATGCTATCCATTCGAGTATGATTCTTCTTGGATGTCTCGAGAACAAAATAAAAGGCTAAGCAAGGCCAATTATAGACCGATGATTTTGTTCCGCAAAATGTTTTGAAACGCACATGTCCACTGCGGCTACAGAAAAGTCCACACCTCTAGATGCGGCGGTTCGAAAGCAGAGGACTAAAATTGCGAGACAGGTTTAAATAATATCAGTGAAGAGATATGTTCCTTCAACAGAATTGCAGTTATTTGCCTACTCTGTTACCTAGGAGTGTGGTCATTATGTGGTCATCGTTGCGTTGCCGGATCTACTTAGTTGCCCCAAACGACCGCGGGATATTTTCTGATTTTCTACTTTTGTCAATAGAATATGCCGAACCTGAAAGATACGGATTCCCCCACTGAACTCATAGCCGAAAGAATCATGTCGAGCTTTCGCTATCGTCCTGAGATCCTCGAGGGCGTCCCGGAGCATCTCACCCGGCATCTTAAGCAGTTCGAGGACTGGTTTATTCTTGAGGCAGCTGAATTAAAGAAGATCACGGAGCATTTCGTCAACGAGCTTGGGAAGGGATTGACCATAGAAGGGGGCAATATTGTGGGTATCCCTATCACGACGCCATAGAAAACCTCCGAATCATTCACTGACGCAGCGGTTCCCTCTCTTGACTCTATACAGCCAATGAACGTCACATGGGTTACGAGTAACCCACCCGGTCGTGAATCGGGACGATATCTAACACTGGACATGGGTGGAACGAATCTGCGCGTTTGTGATGTCACTCTATCAGAACAAAAGAGGGATTTTGAGCAGACGCAGAGGAAGTTTAAGCTGCCGAAAGAGGTCAAATCGGGGACAGCAGAGCAGCTTTGGGACTTTGTTGCGGATCGCCTGCAGGTTTTTCTAGAAGAGAATCCTAGTGGGTCTCAAGATAATATCTCCGTGCCTTTGGCTTTCACATTCTCTTTTCCAGTCGACCAACAGAATATTCGAAGCGGAGTACTGCAGCGCTGGACGAAGAAATTCAACGTCTCGGGCGTGGAGGGCGAGGACGTGGTGCCTCAGCTGGAAGCTGCGTTAGCGAGAAAGGTGAATTGAGATTGTCTTTGTACGATGTTGGGATCAGAAAGTTCGGCTGATTGATCATCGATTAGAATATTCCGGTAGACGTTGTGGCGTTGATCAACGACACAACCGGGACCCTCATCGCCTCAAACTACCGTGATCCACAAGTTAAAGTTGGCAGCATATTTAGCACCGGTACAAACGCTGCATACATGGAAGAATGCAGATTAGTCCCCAAATTGAAAGAGTATGGACTTCCAGAGGACGCCAAAGTCATAATCAACACCGAATACGGCGCCTTCGACAATGACCGCCAAATCCTCCCCTTCACCCCATTCGACCACCAGATCGACTCGGAATCACTGCGTCCTGGAACTCAGCTCTATGAGAAAATGGTTTCTGGCCTATATATCGGCGAAATGCTGCGCTTAGTGATGGTCAAGCTGCACGAAGAGGGGGTATTGTTCCAAGGCAAGGATATCACGAGTCTCCGGCAAAGCAACGCCGTCGATGCGACCTTTCTCTCCATCGCCGAAATGGATTTTTCTGAGGACCTCAGTGATATGAGAGAAGAGTTCGAAGATGAGTTTAGCTTTTCTCCTACCGTGGATGAGATGAAGGTTTGCCGGTATTTGATTGGGTTGATTGCAACTCGTGCGGCGCGACTCTATGCCTGTGGCATCGCGGCCATTTGCATAAAGAACAAGACCAAAAAGTGCCACGTTGGTGTTGACGGGTCGGTCTTCAATAAGTATAGCGGTTTCAAAGACCGGGCGAGTCAGGGTCTTCGTGATATTCTTGACTGGCCAGTGGGGGAGATTGACCTGATTGCATTAAACGCGTCTGAAGATGGATCTGGTGTGGGAGCAGCATTGGCAGCATCGTTGGCGTTGAATAAGGTCGAACAGATCAAGACTACAATTATATAGAATTGGTGACAGATTGAATTATAGTTGAAAATTGAAAAAAGTTGAAAGGTGAAGTTGAAGTTGTCATCTCACTAAGGTTAAGGTGATCTTCCCAGTAGGAACCCTTAAGACCGCGTAAAGTGGCAGCGATAAGATAAGCCCGTCGCGTCCCCGGAGGCCGCGAATTCGACTGCACGTCGCTCCATCAACATCAACATTCCACATCAGCCTCTCTCCCACGCCAAAATGCGCTTCCGCACGCAATTAAAGGACACAAAGACCTTCTCAAGTTTGTGAAAGTCCACAATCACTGCTATACCCACCACTAATCCCCTCGCAACAGAATTAACGGCCTCACTCTCCTCTCTCGGCAAAGTATGCTGGATGCGACTGGAGTACGATGTGGTGCGCTTCACCATCATCCCAGACCAAGGAACCCAAGTATGGGCTCAGATACCTGTTGTAAGTTAACAGCGGAGGCAGCGGAGGCAGCGGAGGCATATAATCTGAATCCCACTCTGACCCAAAGAAACAGGACACAATCTTCGAAGAAAACACCTACGAAATGGAATCCAACTCCGAAGCAATAAACATCGAAATCAACATCTCAAACCTAAACCGCGCCCTCCGCTCAACATTCGGCTCATCCCAATCCCAACTCCGCCTCACAAAAAAGGACAAAATGCCCCTGTTAGCTCTAACAGTCCTATCAACCGACTGGACCGAAGGAAACATGGCCCTAGCCACCGAAGACCAAGACCAATCCAGCGAGGTAACAGGAGATCGACGGGCCCGCGAACGCGAAACTCGCATCACGCAGGAAATTCCTATTAAAATCCTGCACGAGTCGGCTGTTGATGGGCTTCATGAACCGCATTGTCCGGACCCGGATGTTCATATTATTTTACCCGGGTTGGCGCAGTTGAAGAGTATTTCAGATCGATTTAACAGGCTTGCGTCTACGGATTCGAAGAGTAAATTCCAGCAGACGGGGATGGTGGGGGCAGTGGAGTCGTCGACGACGGGTGCGAATTCAAATTCGAATGCGCCTACTTCGGGATCAGGCCTTTCGTCATCTTCAGGGCCCAAATTGGAATTATCGGCCAACATGCATGGGAAATTGAAACTTGCTATTGTGACGGATGAGTTGAGGATTGCGAGTGTTTGGTCTGCATTGGTGAATCCGCCTCTTGATCCGGCTCATATTTCGGAGCAGCAGTTGTCGCAGTTGCCGAGTGAGCGGATGCGGGGGGTTGGCGAGGATGATGAATCTGGTTGGGCGAAGGTGAGAATTGATGGGAAGGATTGGAGTCGGGTTTTGAGTGTTGGAAGGCTTAGTCCGAAGGTTGTTGCTTGTGAGTGGTCCCTTTTTCTCTTTCACTCCCCTGCTTGGCCTCCTTGGAGAGTGATAGCTAACCTGGCACCTGAAACGAATAGGTTTTATAAATGAGACGGCTCTCGTGCTTTATGTTTACCTACCTGGCAGTTGGAATGGGGAAGAGTCGTGTTTGACGGTATGTTCATGCGGTCTATCCAACAAAGTGTATGTGGCAGCCTTCTGACTCTTCGATTTAGTATTACATCAACTCGTTCGCAGCATGATGAGCAAAAACGCGCCTGACACACCTGGGCATAACACTCTGGAGTTTATTATTACCTTCACTCATAACATTATATCTACGAACGTTACGATATCACTATTTATAGAACCAAAAGCAGATCTGCTTCAGCTTTACCAGAAATCGTTATTAAGACATAGACATGGGGTAAGCCCCATGCGGAAACAAAAATAAACCACCAACAAACTAGCAAAATGAATCACGGTATAGCCGCAAGGGAGAAAAGTGATATGTATACATGATGCAAGGAGACATTCGTCTCCCTCGCTTCGGAAGCGATGAGAATTGCAAGAGCAGCGGAAAGCAAGATATGTGCAAAGCCTTGCGATGGGAAGCCGGCTCAAGGTGCAAACGCCATGAGAAATGTGTCTGTCAAGTGACACAACAGAACACATGCAAGATGCTGAGGAAGGGGGTGATGAATCTATTATAAAGGGTAGGTACTGGGGGAATGGGGGATTCGTGGGAAAATAAAACGAGAAAGGGACATGAGGACATAATAAAACAAAGGGAAAACAGAAAGAAAAAGAGATTAGACACCTGACTGCGAAAGCTAGTCAAGGTATTTTGTCTAAAACCATCATGCGGAAATTGCAGATTATTGGGCCATCACGTCGACGTAGCGGCCCTTCTTCTTGCCCTTGACAGTATTACCCTTGCGTGCTTGCGGGGCACCGATGAGGTCGTCAATAGAGCTGGCATGCGTCAAAGATGACGAGGGACGAGGAGGCGGCCCGGATGAGCTGCCAGGTGGTGTTGGATGAGCGGCACCGGTAGAGACAGACCGCGGCAGGCTACCGCCATAAGGGCCCATTGGCGGGGGCACACCAAGACTAGAGAAAGCTGGGCTAGATGAAAGCGAAGGCGGCATATCACTGGATGAAGATGTGGGACGACTTCCTGAGGCAAAAGGCATCGGTGGCATCGGAGGCGGAGGCATGCTGCCGGAGCTGGCATTGCGACTGGGAGGAGCCGAGCTGCGGGGAGGAGGCGGCGTAGCACGAACGGGTTCGGCGCTGCCAGGGTCCTTCTTGTTCACCCACTTCTTCAGGTCCTTGTCGTAGTAGAATGAATTCTCCTCGCCGAGCTTGGCCCTGATAGGGCCGCCGCCACCGCCGCCGCCGCCTGACTGTTCGGCTTCCTTTTTGGCACCTCCGAACCATCCACCAAACCACCCCTTCTTGGGGCCTTGTTGATCTTTCTTGGCTGTGGCATGGGTTAGCATTCGAAATGAAGAATCACAGATTTGGAACATACCATCTTCTTCGGCGGCCTTTCTGAAAGCTTCGTCCGCCTTGCGGTCATTCTCGGCCTTCTTGAGAGCGGCAGCTTGAGCAGCCAAATCCCCGTCATCTTCATCATCCATGAAGGACTTTTTGGGCTTAGGCGCCTCTTCTTCGGCGGGGTCCTGTATCTCTTCCGGCGCAGAGCTCATAACAGGAGCATAGGAAGGTGGCTCGTAAGAATTAGAGCTGGTCGCGGGAGGCAGGTACCCATTGCTCTCTGGCTGCGGCATTCCAGGGGGTCCTTGGTAGTAAGGAGACTGAGACTGGTTGGCTGATTCCTGTCCTTGAGGCTGGTAGAAGAGCCCGTTGAGAGTCGATTGAGGAGGCGGTGCCGAATCTGCGGGAGATTGGGTGGCCGATGTTTCCTCAACCGGGGCAAGCGGCATGTAAGACGACTGGGGAGGAGTAGGCTGATAGCCAGTAGCAGCACCTGGAGATCCGTAAATCGCTCCGGCAAATGTTTGAGTATCTGCTGAAGGGGATGAAATATCTTGCGAGCTCCGACGTTGGCCGTAGGAGATACCTCCATACGAGGCAGAGCGCTGGGAATCCATGGATGATCTTCCACGGGGTTGCTCAGGGGACCCATTAGGCGCGTACGGGTTCGATGAAGGCATGTACCGCGAGGGACCACCAGCGGGGATTGGCTGCGCTCCTGCGCCGGGGTACGATCCATACAGATCCGACACGGAGGGAGACCGGCTAACAGTTGGCGTTCCCGCGATATTAGCGAAGGGACCAACGTCCGGGACTTCCCCGGCCTTGCCAGAACCTGCTGATGCCGGATCATTCTCATCGCCAGCAACGAAACTATTGAAGCGAGCCCACACGGACCCGGAAACCTTCTCCATGCTTGGCTTGGAAATCCAGGATGAACCACCGTCGGTAGTGGTTTGACGGAGACGTGCGGAAAGCTCGTCCACTTCAATAAACAGATATTGGTGGTGATATGGCGAAGGCCGCGTGGTGGCCTTCAAAGACGCCGCGACTCCATCACAGTAGTTCTGTGCCTCAGATTTGCGACCTCGGTCGGCAAGTTGCTTAGCATGCAGCAACTTGAATGACAGGAGGTGTGGCAGATTTGCTATCGGAGAGCTTGCAAGAACGGATGTGGCGTACTCGTAGATCTCGGTCAGGAGGAATGAATCTTCATCAAGCAGAGTGCAAGGATGGCGCTGGTGATCAGCGCCCAAGAGCACAATGTTCGCATGGGGGTCATCAGCACCACCGAAAACAGCACCTCGAGAGAACATGAAGCAAATATGCGCAGCTTCAATGCGGCCATAAGATGCGAGCAAACGCCCAAGTGCAAGCAATGCCTGGTGATCCTCGGGGCTGCGATTGCTAAGAACCAGTCCAAGAGTGTCTCTCCAGCTGTCCAGACCATCGAGGGCGTTCTTTGACGCTCCTTGTCCATCAGCCTTACTGATCAAGTGGTGGCCAGCCCGCGCAGACGGGGGAACCAATTCATCGATGCTCTCTTCCACGTTTCCGGCAAAGATCTCGTAGAGAGCTGAAAGTGACTCGGAATTGGCTGCCGTTGACTTGATTTCACGTCGAACAAACTCTTGCACCACTTGTTTCCACACCGACTTGTCCATGGTTGACGCGACGATCATGGCATGTCCCCACAAACGACGATCAACGGCGCCCCAGACAGCCTTCTCACGTTCACCCAAGAACAAGTCATTGCGCAAATCTTCCATCCAGCGAGGATCGACAGAATCTGATTGTAGGGGGTTGTTGAGTGCTCTCAGGCTGCCCGAGTTTGCAAAGGTGCCTCCATACGAGTTCTCCGAGTTTTGGCTCTGCAGATTGGGGAAGATGGCCTGCCGAAGGGATTGTTCGACTGCAGGCGATCCCTCTAGAACCCCATCGTTCTCGACCAGGATTTTGGCGACCTTCCACAGCAAAATCTTCTCATCATGGCGCTTCTGTGCATCCGGGTCGGAGTGATCAAAGTCTGGGGAGACCTCATTCTCGAAAGCCGCAACCTTGCTTGAAATCCAAGCCAGCACATCCTTCTTCTTAGCCTTGGTCTTGAGAGGACCAGGGTGTTGGACAATAGTGTCTGTGGGAGGCAACCACTGGTTCAATTGAGAAAACTTGGGTTCGCCCGGGCTAGGCTTAATCATGGGTGCCGTTTGACCAGCAGAATAGCGTGGGATGTGTTTGGGGAAACATGAAACCACTGCTCCGCCAAATCCAAACTTGAAAATCGGCGCTCCCTTCCACCGCTGAAGAGTATCCTGCTCCTGACCATCCACGGGGGTGATGAAAGCAAGATGCTGAGACATCGCACGAGCCCGGCTCGCTATAGATGGCTGTGCGGGTGCGTAGGGGTTTGACGTCTTAGTTGGTGACGAAGATCCATGAACTGAGGCAGGACGTGGAAGAGGAGGCTCTATAGATGGCACGTACGAGCGGGGGCTGGTAACCTGCTGACCAGGCGACTGGGTTTGAGACCTGCGGGGAGCAGCAAATTGCGAATCAACCGCTTGGGGTGATGTCGGTCCAGCTGCTGCAGGAGCCGAAACAGCCGGGGCATAAGTAGGACTCGGAAGCGGGGGAGCTTGGGTTTGGGTAGGGCTAGGCGCAACACGATTGGCAAACTCATTAAGATACTCCGCTGGCGCATAGCGACTCGTTGGGGGAGCCTGATGGGGAGCAACTGGTGGGCTGGCAGTCTCGGGAGCAAACGCATTCGCCTGCTCGTTGAATGACTGTGGAGCGTACGGCGATCCTTGATCGATGCTTGGACGCTGACGAGGGGAGACAGGTCGACCGATGGCTGAAGCGATGGGGGTGGCATATGATGTTGTTGCGTCACTTCAGGTTGATACGACACCTTTTCGTGATAAGCCAAGGGGCTAGATGTACGAGGCTGGAATGGTAGAGATGTCTGCTGTCCAGGAACAGATAGTGGTTGCGATGCGTAGCGGTTGCGGCCCCCAGCGGGTGCTGAGGGTGGAGGCGCTGGTGAGTATCTTGGAAGCGAAGGCGGTTTCGCGGACGGATTGAGACCTGGAGGCTTTGGAGAATATCTAGAGGCGGCACTAGGACCAGCGGGCGCACTTGACGCCAATGTAGATGAATACGGGTCAACCGGTTCCGGAAGCTGCAGAGAGGATTGTGCAGCGGGTATATTGGCAGGAGGAGCAGGAGGTGGAGCCATTATATTTGCATGTTGTGGTGGTGGCATGGGTGGCTGTACAGTCGGACCAGGACCAGCTGCGACGGGACCGGAAGTATACCGCCCAGAGCTAGCAGGGCGAGATCTGGGGGCTGGTAAGGGAAGCTCTTCGTAAAAGTTCTTCGGTGCCGGCGGGGGAGCAGCCGGTGTAGTCGTGGGAGGAGCCATGGCTGATGGGGCAGATGGCATCGGGGGAGGCGCTGCATGTTGTTGCACACCAATGCTCGAGGGCGGCGGCATATTCTCCACCTTCGGGGGAACAGGCTTATGAGTAGCTACTGGCCGTCGAGGACGAGACAAGTCATCGGGGAGATCATAGGGCGACTTGTAGCCTTGCTTCGATTGCTCGGCATAGCTTTCTCCTCGTGTTGCAACGGGGTTCGAAGGCTGCTGGGAGAAGTAAGAGTTTGTCTGAGGAGGAGCTCCTGGGAGAGGATGTCCGGACACCAGGTCGCCCGTGGTCGGTTGATGTGGAGTGTATACACCTGGGATTGGACGGGGCTGAGCTTGGCTCTGTGGCGTCTGGAAGGGACTGTTCAAGCCAGTCGGCCCAGCGTTGGTTAGGGAAGCAACCGCAGCCTGTGGAGCAGTTTGCTGTCCAGTAGGTGGTTGAACATCATCTCCCAGTAACATATCTTCATCATCATCGCTCAGTGCCGCTTCCCAACGCGCCGCTATGTCATCCTCTCCCATATCACTAAGTTCGGCTTCCCAGCGTGCGGCAAGATCCTCCTCCGATGGTTCTCCACCTTCTGTTTGGACCTGGGGCGCGGTAGAGTCAGATGATGCAGCATTAAGAACGCTATCGAGCTGGGCGGCGGCCGAAATGTCACTGACTGGAGAGTCAATGTGGAATCCAATGGAGGAATCCATTACTTGCGAGGTGCTTTTGCGCGTGATGTGGAGCGAACGCGGAACACTGGGCTCTGGCTTCTGCGCGGAACTGAAGAATCCTTCCGCATCCTCATCATCTTTGTCAAACAAGTTGTCGACGGAGGTTTGCTGCGGTGTCTCCTGTATCTTCTCCTGCGCCGGAGAAAAAGGAGAATAAGGCTCATCGAGCAAGGGAACACCCTCCTCGTATCTTGACTCTGTCTCTGGAGGACCAAAGATGGGCTTTGTTTGAGTCTTCAGCTGGTTGAAGAAGTCATCTCCGTCGGAGTCCACATCGATAGGAGCATTATGCCCCCAAGCGTCGTCATCTTCTGTAGGCTCATCCTCCAACGTTGTTTCCACTGCCAATGGGGCACTTTCAGCCGCTTGAGTCGGTGTCTCAACAACTGGCTGCGCGCCGGTATCCTTATCATCCAGGGCATCCCAAGGTCCGGGGGTTTGATCCGCTCGGTCTTGGACGCCTTCGATATCGTCAAAGAACGACGCCGCGGGGTCTTCTTGAGAGTCGGTGTTGAAAACCGATTCCACGGTCGTCGATTCGGTCTGGAAAGGTTGTTCAGCGGGCTCTTCGTTGGCGGTGGGAATCTCGATCTCGGCGTTGGTTTCTGTACCGGTGGCTACTGGCTCCACAGGCTCAAAGGTCGACTCGACGGCAACGCTCGGCTCGTCACCTTGCGGCTGCACAGGATTATTATCGATTGCCAAAGACTCGGGCTCGGCAGGGGGTCCGGCAGTTGTGGTCGGCTCAACAACTTCTCTCGTTTCGGTAATCTGGGGGGGAAAGACAGCTGGCACGTCGGGCTGCAATTGGGGCTGCTCGGGTTCGGTATTATCGGAGGTCGGAGCGAGCGTAGGTTCGTTAGCATCAACAGCAAGAGCAGCTTCAACCAAAGGAGCTGGTGGCTGATCAGGCTGAGGTTGCGAGGGCTCAGCGCCTTGCGCAAAGGGGTCTTGGGACTCATCCGAGGTTGACGCCTCGGCAGGGACGGCGTCCGTGGTGCCATTCACCTTCGGGTTATTATCCAAAGTTGCCGGCGCATTCTCTGTTGTGGATTCCACGGCGGTGTCTATCGATGGCATCTGGTTGCCTTCGATGGGCATGTCCCATGCGGAAAAGCTATCATCGCTGAGGGGGGACTTGACATCGGAAGTGGGTGCTTGTTTGGCGTTATCTGCGGCCAGGAGATCCGACAACGCATCGGTCGATGCGACCGGCTCGGGGTGATGAATACTCGAGTCCGGACGGAGAGCTGGATTCCAAGTTTCCGCATCTTGCTCGGATGGCGATATTATTTGCGCCATTATATTGGGTATTGTGAGGAGTTGAACTTCGGGGAGTTCAGAGGGAGGAGTACGAGTAACCTGACACGTCTCCCGTGACGTTGGAGTCAACAAACCCCCAACACAGATCGAACTCGAGAGCTCTTTCAAATTAGAAATCCATTAAGCGTAAAAGGGTGAAACAAAGGAATCACGCGAACGGGAGGGGTTGGAAGAAACAATGAAATGAAGGGGAAGGGAAGGGAAGTAGGAAGGGAAGTAAGAAGGAAACACTTCGCCCCGACCTGCTTTGCTGTGCTTTGCTCCGTTCGCCGCTGCGTTGCGCTTGCCCCGTTTGGATTGGCCCGGAGAAACTATTCTTCCGTGTCCGAAAAGACACCTTAACCATAAATCCAAAAGGGGAAGGCGGTCAGGCCACGCATACGCATTGCACGGGGCAGCGCAGGCAGTCACGGACAGTCACGAGCAAGTCACGGGCGATCATCCACGCTACCATTTCACCTTCACCTTTTTTTTCTCTTCTTGCTTGACCTCCTCATATTGAACAAGCCCAGGCTGCAACATTAGGAGATATCGTGACCGCCGTTGCATTCTTCCCTCTCTAACACATACTAGCCGCCTACTCCACCCGTTTCCACACTCGTTTCCTCAGCACTATGGCCGACGCGGCACTTTGAAACAACAACTCCACCCACTATCTGAGATGATCCTGCGAGTACATCTACTGATCACCACACTGTTGTCTTCTAGTTCATGATCTAGTGTGGATACGCCCCCTTGGGTATCATCAATCATGAACTCCTCACACGAATACATACACCCGCTACAACAGTCCGATCATCCCGGCGACTACTCAGGTTCCGATGACGACGACCTGGACCTCGAGGAGCTAGATCCCAGTGCCACGCCACAACAATCGTCGCGAGTATCCCGAGACTATACGAGTCGAACAAGGAACTATGGCCCAGGGATTGCTTTGCGGAATTTACGCGTTGGCGTCGGAAGTCGGTGGAAGCGGAGTCCCTCTGGTCACAGGGAGCCAGATGAGGATACGGATGCGCTGTTACAGGAAGATCGGACGAGGAGGGTATGCGCCAGTCACATGGTAGCTCCAGGAATATGACCGACGACGATGCTCCTCTACTTGACCGCCGTGGTTCGACCCGCCCATTTAACGATGATGAGCCCGTCCGAAAGGGTAACCGTTTACGCCTTCCCAGTCTCCGTGGCCCGAGTTTCCTCCAAGCTGCCTCGAATCGCTTCCGCAGATCTGGCAATGACGATACAATCAAACCGCCTCGTGATGTGCTTGTCGGGCAGTACCAATCAACCAAATACCCGCCCAACGTCATTTCGAATGCCAAATATACCCCCTGGAGCTTCCTTCCTCGGACACTCTACAACGAATTCTCCTTCTTTTTCAACATCTATTTCCTCCTCGTCGCATTGTCACAGATCATTCCAGTGCTCCGTATTGGGTACATGTCTTCATACATCGCTCCTCTGGCATTTGTGGTATCTATATCTCTGGGTAAAGAAGCTCTCGATGACATAGGCCGGCGCGGCGGGATGCGGAGGCCAATTCTGAAGAATTTACCGTTCTGTCTTTGGACAGAGCGAATGTGTTGGAAGTGACCAAGAAATCTCGCGACTTGAAAGTCGGAGATGTTCTCAAAGTCCGAAAGAACCAACGTCTTCCCGCCGATGTTGTGATCCTTCAAAGCCTCTCGAATGATTCGAATACGGAACGCCCAAGCTCATTCGATGAAGACGCCCCCGAAGTATCGACTGATCTACTTGAATCGGGCCAGGGATCATCCGAGCCCGTCGCCGATGCTTCGGCCAATGCCGATTCGTCAAATGCAGCAAATGCTTCTTCCACCAGCGATACCTTCATTCGAACCGACCAACTAGATGGTGAAACTGATTGGAAACTCCGCTTACCCTCTGTCCTATCCCAATCACTCTCTTTCAGCGAATTTACCCGACTCAAGATTACCGCAAGTCCTCCAGATCAGCGCGTCAACGAGTTTGTCGGTACGATTGAACTGGGCCCTCCCACGGGCTTTTACGATGCGCATTATAACAAGGCCTCGACTTCGCAGCCTCAGGGTGGACGAACTCCGAATGGCGAGACCGATAACTCCAACTCTGCACCTCTGAATATCGATAATACCGCCTGGGCCAATACTGTCCTCGCCTCCAACACCATTACATATGCCGCGATCATCTACACCGGCTCTCAAACCCGAGCCGCTCTTTCCACTTCACCATCTCGTTCGAAAGTGGGCTTGTTGGAATATGAGATCAACAACCTCACCAAAATTCTATGCGTGCTGACGCTCACTCTATCCGTAGTGCTGGTCGCTCTGGAAGGGTTTGAACCAACGAACGATAAGGTGTGGTACGTGGCAATCATGATCTATCTGATTCTCTTTTCAACTATCATCCCAATGAGTCTGCGAGTCAACTTGGATATGGCCAAGTCTGTGTATGGTCGATTCATCGAGCGAGACAAGGATATCCCGGGTACCGTCGTGCGGACCAGCACTATCCCTGAGGATCTTGGAAGAATCGAATACTTACTCTCAGACAAGACTGGGACTTTGACCCAAAACGGTAAGCTCTTCAGACACATTTATCTCACGGATTAAATCTAACGTGACTATAGAAATGGAACTGAAGAAGATTCATGTTGGCACCGTCTCGTATGCTAACGAAGCAATGGACGAAGTCGGATCATTTATTCGTCAAGGTTTTGCAGGCAACACCTTGACGACACCATCAACTATTTTTGGTACTCAAGCTGGCCAAGGAGCGGCACCCCGTACCAGGAGAGAAATCGGCTCCCGAGTTCGCGACATCATCTTGGCTCTTGCCGTCTGCCATAACGTGACGCCAACAACGGAGGTTGAGGATGGGCGTAAAGTCACAACTTATCAAGCATCATCACCGGATGAGATCGCCATCGTTCGCTACACGGAAGAGGTTGGGCTGAAGGTGGCTTACCGGGATCGTCAAAGCATTGTTCTCGAATCCACAGACTCCAAGCAGGTTGTTGTTCGTGTCCGAATTCTCGATGTCTTCCCTTTCACATCGGACAGCAAGCGAATGGGCATCATTGTCGAGTTCCAGCAAGATGAGAATGACCTCGAAACATCTACCAAGAACGAACCCGAGATCTGGTTTTATCAAAAGGGCGCGGATACTGTGATGACCTCCATTGTTGCAGCGAATGATTGGCTTGACGAGGAAACTGCTAACATGGCTCGCGAGGGTCTACGAACACTCGTCGTTGGACGCAAGCGACTTTCTCTATCGCAATACCAAGAATTCTCCGCCAATTATAAACAGGCCTCCATGTCTTTCCAGGGCCGTGATATCGGTGTGGCTAAGGTTGTGACCGAGTATCTCGAACGGGACCTGGAGCTTCTTGGAGTAACGGGTGTCGAAGATCGTCTTCAGCGAGATGTCAAGTCGTCCCTAGAATTGATGCGCAACGCCGGTGTGAAAATCTGGATGTTGACTGGAGACAAGGTTGAGACAGCACGTTGTGTCGCGATCTCTGCAAAGTTGGTTTCACGGGGTCAATACATCCATACTGTTCAAAAGGTCACGGATAAATCTGTTGCCCAGGAAGCCCTAGATTTCCTCCGCAACAAGACTGACTGTTGCTTGTTGATTGATGGCGAGTCGCTCAATCTAATGCTCGGCCATTTCCGCACTGCTTTCATCTCCGTCGCCGTTCTCCTGCCAGCCGTGGTGGCTTGTCGTTGCTCGCCCACCCAGAAAGCAGAAATCGCCACCTTGATCCGCCAACACACCAAGAAACGCGTTTGCTGTATCGGCGATGGCGGTAACGACGTCTCTATGATCCAGGCCGCTGACGTCGGAATCGGTATAGTGGGTAAAGAGGGCCGACAAGCCTCTCTAGCCGCTGATTTCAGCATCACTCAATTCCACCACTTGACCAAGCTCCTAGTCTGGCATGGCCGCAACTCATACAAGCGATCTGCAAAACTAGCGCAGTTCATCATGCACCGTGGTCTCATCATCAGTGTCTGCCAGACCATGTACAGCATTGCTGGACACTTCGATCCCAAGGGTCTCTTTATCAACTGGCTCATGATCGGCTACGCAACTGTCTATACCAATGCACCTGTCTTCTCACTAGTCTTCGATCGCGACGTGGACGAGCGACTCGCCAACCTCTACCCAGAATTGTACAAGGAACTGAAAACGGGAAAGAGCTTGAGCTACCGCTCATTCTTCAGCTGGGTTTTGATCTCCATTTACCAGGGCGCTGTCATCCAAGGCCTTTCACAAATTCTGCTCCAGACCGTCACTGGCCCCCGTTTGATCAGTGTCTCGTTCACGGCTCTCGTTCTCAATGAGCTGGGCATGGTCGCCATTGCAATCACCACCTGGCACCCTGTGATGATCTTCTGCCTAATCGGTACTCTGCTTCTATATATCGGCAGCGTGCCTTTCCTGGGTGACTACTTCAACCTACGCTATGTGATCACTGTCGATTGGTTGTGGCGCGTCTGCGCCGTGCTAGCCGTCTCATTGGTTCCCGTGTGGGCTGTCAAATTGATTAGACAGTCCTGGAGCCCTCCAAGCTACCGGAAAGTACGCGGTTAGAGGATTTGATTCTAGACTTTTGGTTTTGGTTTTGGCTTTTTGTATTTTTTTTACTTGCATTATTTTTGTTCCTCGTACCTCCCCCTCACCCATTGACTCGGTCGGATCGAATCGAACCGGCTGTTGTCCTCTGTATATCCACACCGAGCATCATCTTTGTTGCAAAGCGCATCAGGCGTTGGAAGCGTGAATCATTTTCTTTGGCCTGTTATTGCGGTGATATACTTGAATACATTTTCATTCATATAGAATAGACTTGGAGTTGTGGTTTCGCTGTATGTATCTAAGTTCAACTTGGAAGAAGTTTAGCTTAACTTGGAAGGGCTTGAACTTGAAGTTTACCAAGGTAGCTTGGTCCGACCCGACTGATGCACATCAACCACTGATAGTACTACGAGTAATGGTATATCATGATCATGGTAACCCTAGTATGTACCGGAAGACAACCTGGACATGTGTGCCACCAAGGGTGGCACAATAACTACTACCTAGTGTGCTCGTACTGGGCAATATTCTTCACCAGGCTGTTCTCGTGGTGTCTAGATACCAAAGCCCTGGAGCGAATCCAGCGTACCGTGGGGCCCCGGGACCATGACCGCACAATCACATCATTACCTACTAGGGGGAAAGAGTATGAAACCCACTCGATATTTATCCATATTATAATCCATTTTGCCCACAGGTGGTCTTACATTACCGGTGAAGGTGTCCTAAAATAAGATAAGACAACTTGGGGGACACGCCCGAGCTTGCATACGATCTGAGATCGTAACGTGGCGGATACGGCATGGCGTCCTAGGGGTAGTTAGTGAGCCGGTGACATGGGCAGTTAAGATAACGTTGGATAGATCTAGACGTCAGAAATTTAGGCCGCTCTCGCCAGTGCTACTGATTTGTTAGGATCTTTGGTCCTCAAATGATATTAGAGCAGAGATGATTAATTTGTTTTCCAATATACGGGCTGCAAGGAGGAGTTATTATCAGAATATCAAGCTTCCTACAACGGTAAGCGTCTGGTATCAGTACCATGGCTCACTTTCCTCTGATGACCATCCCAATATAGTAAAGCTCATGTTTCGAGGTGGCTAGATTGGGCGCCGTTGGCTTGGCCACTTGGGTTGGCCACTTCGGATTGATTATGCATACCTTGATACGTCATGAGACAGGTAAAACTACTCCAGAAAATTCCAATGTGTACTCGTACCGGTGGTTCATGGTAATTAAGGTTTGTGAGATGATCGAATCGAAGGGTGGGGAAGTGACAGCCACTTCTGGGGTGTTATGTATCGCTCCCTGCAAGGGCCGCCGCTGATAACTTCAATCCACATGTGTCGTGAGCCAGCTGAGAGTGCCAAATTCTATATTATGAATGCCTTAAACGTACTGGTCACTTGATCTGTCTCTTTTGGGCAGTTACAACTGGCAATACACTCATGGTTCGCTTTAAGCCTCGAGCGGCCTAGAACATCACGAGGGGTCTTTCATTTGTTACCGCCCAGATAGACCGTTTAGAAATTTGAGATTCCACTATTGCGAATCTCGTAATCCTAGAACAAACTTATTTTACAAACCGAACTGACCTACTGCTCACACTACCTGAAGGAATCGTCTTAACGCATCCCAACTAGCCATAAACTTCTTTTTGACAACTCTCAAAATGGCTCCTAGTTCCTACTCCGACGACTCGTCAATAGATGTTCCAAAAAGGCCGACTATGTTAAAGAGCCTTCGATCTCAGTCCTACAGAGTGGCTTGGCGTCCGACACTCGACGAAGTCTTGAATAATACTGCACCTCCGCCGTACACCCTTAGCGCATTCACAAGCTACCTCTCCCATAATCATTGCCTTGAAACATTGGAATTTATCCTCGAAGCGAAGCGATATCGCGAAAATTTCCGCTCATTACTTGAGCCAGCAAAGGACTCAATCGTGACCACCACTGGCAGCCACCCCACAAATATAAATCTGAGTCTCCTCTACCAGATTCTACTGGAGACGTATATTTTCCCCGGAGCAGAGCGTGAGGTCAACCTACCTGTCAAGGTACGTGATGACCTTCTGCAAAACAAAATATTCTCGACACCACCCTTACCCGAGACTCTTGACCTTGCCGTGAGAAGCATTCGCGATCTGATAGAGGATTCAATTTTCGTTGCATTCCTGAATAGCGCGTCCACATATATTTACGAAGAACCTGCGCCGAGGGCATCGGGTGAAAGCAGCAGGTCTTTCCTTTCAACTTTATCCAAAAGCTCGGATGGTCAGTCGGTTGAGCCTGTACAAGCTAAATCTAAGCGCCCATCTCTTCTGACCATCGGAAAGTCTTTTTCTTGGCCGCCTTGGAGTTGATGGGCTGACATGATAAGCCCTTTTAAAGATTGCATATATGAAATACCTCAAGCTATGCCGTTGTTGCCAGTGTCACAAACTTGTGAGCCCTGGTGCTGCCACTATTCTATCAACTCCTACAGATTCCTATAGCGTACGAGACTCCGCTATTCATGTAGATATGGTACGCGTAAAGAGAGTGATGCAAGTTGCACCATTTTCAGGTTTCTCAATTATTTGATTAACACGGTGGAAGACCAAAGTTCGATCCATATTTCGAAATATGAAATTTCGACTGCCAAATCTGATGAGTCTTGACGAACAAAGGCTTAATCTTAGGAATAGAAGTCGTGATGATAATAATGTTGATTTCAACCCTATTTTCAGTCAAAATGATACCTGGGCAGCTGTGGGCAGCGGGTCCGGGTAACTCACGTATACCAAATAACTTGGAAACAGAGAGTATCTAAAACTGGTCAGCTGGGTCCAAGGAATCATTATGGGCACATTATGATACATGATTGATCTTGTGTCCCTAAGCCTTGGACATAAATGGTGTTCATAATGCTTCCGACGGTAGCCCTGGTTGAGAATTAGGGAAATTGGTGACCTTCCAAAAAAGGATATGTGATCCTGCTCACAAGATACTCAAACATGCCGTCAACATGAACATAATTTTCGTTGCAGGTTCCAGATGAAGAGGATATGTGAGATCCACAGCCAAGATTGTCCCCGACAGATTGGTGAAACTATTGATCGCTATCTATAAATTAGCATATGGAACTCGTGAAAGACACAAGAAATTGAAAATATATACATACCTCCTTGAAAATAAGCATACCCTTTGAATATTTTTGTTGGCCAACACATTCCGGGTATGGTCAATCTCCAGAGCTTGTTCACTGGGTGGCACTGACAAAAGGCGAGAATGATAAAGGGTATATTAGTGACAATCTGCAATAACATCAAAATCCGACCGAACTGCCGACGCCGCTGTGATATTAATGCAAGTAATGTAAGCAAAAGAGCAATAAAGGATATACGCGCTAACATTGGCGCGAGCGTAGCGAAAGGAAATGCCAGCCAATGGTATTTGACAACGGCTTCGAAGCTTGTTAGACCAAGGTCAACGTAATGCTGGCCAAGGCCCCATCGAATGCTCACTGTATTAAGCGCACAACATACAGTGTGTAGAATCTGTATCACGACGTCGTTAGAACAAATCTTGTACTAGTGCTCTTGGAATATCCATACTCACCCAAGCCGCCAGCATCAAGTAATCGTCTCTTCCAAGCCGCTTCACAATGTTTATTTGGACCAACAGGCGAGCCCAGAATAAAGTACTTGCAACACCAAAGGTAACCCACATGGCGATGAGTGTTCCATGACCAATGTCCATGCTGAGGAGAAAGGAACCAGGACCATCTGGTTCGATTTTCACCTCGTAGAAGCTAGGGACTTTTTGCGCATTGTAGAAGTTTGAGCATTTCACAAGTCAAAAGTGAAATCTGATCTCTTTGGACATAATCACTTACAAGTTTCACATAGCTTTTGTATTATTATTAGTCTGACTTATCTGAATGGAACATGTCATGCGGCTCTCGTGTTCGACTATGACGTCATTACTTTCTCGATCTTGGGTATACCGCTTTGAGACTGAAACTATAAATAATTGGACACATCTACTTGGAGATCAAAGAGAAATAGTTTGTAACAGGTTTTTTTCCACCACAGGTGGTTGTAGCTTTCGTCCATTACTAGTACAAGGAAACTTTTGTGTTACTTACCACTGCATACTAGTATTATATATAACAATCACAGATGCTCAAGATGAGCTTATCAACTTCAAATTTAGTACCCTAGGTAGGTACCTATGAGAAGGTAAATTCAAGTCGAAGGCAAGAGCCTCGATAATAGCACCGTAGTATAACATCTGGGTACATAAGATCAAGCACTTGCTTTTACATCGCTGGCCCTCCAAGATTTCCAAGGTTTCAAGTTCAAGTGCAAGTTGTAAGTAGTGGGACCCACCTTGAAACTATAAGTGAGCTCTAGACTCCCGACAGGCATATATAATTGTGATTTAATGCCTTAATACATTGAGCGTTAGCCTATAGAGGGCTCTGCAGCTTCAATTTATACTGTGGACCTATACAGACCTACAGAGAGACAGTTTTATGTGTGCTGCTCAGCTAGCTCGGCCCTCACGTATAAGGCGCGGTGCGTTTAAGCTCCGGGGGCCCCGGGGCTTCTTCACCACTACTACTAGTAGTTAAATCTATCCAAGGCATTGGTATAACTACCAAAACAGACTAGTAGTGGGCGTTTGGTGCCTGCCTGAACAACCTTGAAATCTGGGACCCACTTTTACTCTTTCACTTTCATACTTATTTACCTTAATTCACTGCAGGTACACTTAGCTTCTTCAACCTCAACCTCATCAACCTTATCAACCTCGACATCTTCCACTCCACTGTTATCACACCTCTTCCTTTTTTGTCCTTCACATCTCGAACATACGTATCTGAGCATTCCAAGATTCGACTTTGCGATTTTCACGATGGACGGTAATCCTCGCGATCTACCTGCTATGCTGACCGGATGCACCTTTGGTATTCCGACCATGGATCACAAGTCCCCAGTTCTTGAACAGTTTGGCAAAGCGGTAAGACTTCGAAACTCACTTGATCAAATTAAATCAAATGACTGAGAGTCTACCGGGTAGGACGAGGTTGCGCACCGGCGTCAAGTCATCGCTGATCTCGAGGGTGCATACCGTACGGTCCTCAGAGATCTCAAAAGTGTCGATGACGATATCGAGAAAGAACGCCATTCTCTCTTGTTCAACCCGACCAATAGTTCATATTCCTATCTTGCAAGTAACAACTAGGACCTCTCTTGAATACTACCCTGGTCTTGAGGCCCATGGCAGGTGATTATCTCCAGAAGCTTACATGGGAGTATGAGAAGATGAGTAAGCTCGTCGACTCTGCTTTTGAAAAAAAAGTTTGAGGGGGCACGAGCAACTGCACGCCGGCGACGATCTAGCCGTCGTCTACGTGCGGCTCCTACTGCCACGACTGCTGAGACCACCGCCGTGAACGAAACATCCGTGGACAAAGTACCTTCCAACGAAACACCCATAACCGAAGCATCCGTGTCTGAAGCACTCATGAAGGAAGCTGAAACTGTTGAAGACTAGCTGCAATGGAAAATGTGTCTGAGGATCATGTATTCAGTATTGCACAGGTCGTGGATTTGCAGTTCTTGTTAAGGAGACTGGGGTTTTATGATCAGATGTTCAATTGAACGATTTTATGACATATCTTTTTTAATTTTCTACGTAACTTCAATCTACATTCTCTAAATTATTGCCCAGCTGTCTTGAAGGATGGTCGCCATTCCACAGTAAAGAAGAGGTTGGTTCCAAAATATTCGATAGATAACACCACAAGATTACTACATTTATGCCTTAGGTTAAAGAGAAAAGGGCATTGACTCGTCCGCGCAGTAAAGATAAAGAAATAATTTGGAGTTTGAGCTACATAGTGCCCTGACCACCTAGTCCTAGTGCGCGGGAACGCATATGATGCGGATGACCCTTAAAATGAAGTAATATCCAATCACTTTTTGGCGTATGTATCCTAACCAAAGCACGAAGTTCTACTCAAGCGCAGGAGACTTGAACTATGCCCAATCACTTTTATATAGTATTTATCCCAGAAGTTGGGTATGTCACTTGGTGAAGGGCGTTTCATTAAGACTCGATCGTTGCCCGTCTTCGAGAGTTTTCCGGATTCCATATACTCTTCTATAGCCCACAATAGAACCTTTCTCTCTGAAGTTTATTATGTGCCGAACGTACATATGTGGGTCGCCACGTTGGAAACACAGTTGGGCAGTCAATAGGGATACTGTGATGGAAGTACCACTGACAGCACCCCGTGATCAAGTCTCACTATTTATACGAGTATTTATAGCAGCTGAACGAAGCCACAACGGGGACTCTCGCCTGGATAAACCATATTCAAGCCGCCACTAATGCACCCCGCTAAATTGAAACTCGTGGACTTACAATTTAATTTTACTAGAGCCGAATTCAGTTTTGGGAAACCTAAATGGAGTGGGCAAAATTAGGATGCCGCGGTATACGCTTTATTTCTGACGTATGAGGAGAACACAGTACAAGTGAGATGAATCAAGGGAATTCAGTAGTCCGGACCCAAATAATTGTAAAAGGTAAACAATCATTTGACCAAACAGGGACCGTACCTGACTACGGCCACCAACATTGGGCGTGGGATGACATGGTAATGCAATCTCCAATCTCTCCCGGAATTTCCCACCTCCATCCACTGCCATCTCAACACCATCAATATAAGTGGCCAACCAGTATCGACACCAACCTTGTTGTTTCTCATCGAAATCCACATCAAACCTCAACCCGACGAATAACAATCTCGGGTCGCGGGAAAAGCCCGCAACGGTCCTCTCACCCGACACCGTGGCTGGGGCGAAAACAAGAACCCGAAAAAACATGGTCCAGGGACCCGTCATAGTCAGATACTCGTCCAGGTACATCCCATAATCGGGAATCGGTTTCCATCCCACGCCCTCAAATCGCCTCTTGACTGGTGCATATTTCGCCGAGGTGTCGCCGATCACCGCACTGGAGACTCTCCATGGGGAAGACGAACCCCAACTCTTGATTTCGCTGCGTAAGCGAATGGAGAAGACCCGGGATCCCCCATACTACTCAGTCACAAACCCGGAGACTGTCCGAAAGGAAGTCCATGTGATGCCCGTGTTTTTTTCGGCTTGCGGATCCCCTTTCATCGGCCTGGGGACTCGGCCAAGTCTTCATCCGCACCGCCAAGATCCACTCAGGGCCGAGTCTCACTGAATATCAACACGGGAAGCCGGGAATTTTCCAGAACTGCGATCCCGACTGTGCCCGTGGATGGCAGTAAGATTAAGGAGGGTGTATATACAATATAGAGTCTTGTGGCTTGAGTTCAAGCATTCTTCGCCACTAGGGCACAGACTTGATGTGCGTTGCACCCTTGGGAATAGGGCCATACTAAGCTTTTCTGCCCTGCGATTCGTCCAGTTGTCCGACCATAACCCATCGAATCCCCCGGGCCGGTAGTTCTCCTCCACATTCTGGTCTACTCCCTGGCCATCTCTCCAGATGGAGAGATTTCCCCTCGTTTTCCCGGGCAGCTAGGGCTTGTTGGGTCACCGGTGAACATTTATTGAGGCCCTGCATTGCGCTGTGTCTCCCCCCTTTTTCGCCTCCAGTCCCGATCCCCGGCTTCGACCGTTCCCGTGGTTGGCTCGGCTGGCCGACTGGGTCGTTCTCCACACGGAGAGCGAGACAGAGTTTACTCGTACCTAGAGCTCCGTCTCCATACGGAGAAGAAGAGGCTGCTGGGGCATCCCATCCCGTCTCTCCAGGTGGGATGATGCGTGGAGGCGATCTCCAACCTGTTAGACTTTTCTTTTTTCTTTTTCTCCCGATATGTACTTCTCCACTTAGTCTCGTACTGGCCCTTGGGTTTGCGTCAGAGTGTACGGAGTATTTCCGGTCGTCATTGTAATGTGTTGCGTAGTGTGTAGTGTGACTTGAGGTCGGCTTCAAATAGTTCCTGTCTCCCCTTCCATTTCCCCTTCCCCTCCGTTGATCTTCCTCTTTCCAATTCTTTTTCTCTATTTACATCCCTCTTGATAGTTAGGGATTAGACTGGAACGACTGGCTCGTTTCTCTTTCTCTTCTTGAAATAGTCTCATTCTGCTCTAAAGGCAGTCTATTGACTACACCATGGCCGAAGTCAAGGATATGCCCTCCGACTCCCACAGGGAGGACAAGGAGGTTGGCGCCTTCGAAGTGGACGATATTCAAGACCTCAAGGAATCCAAGGAGGATCGTGAATTGACCGAAGCTGCTATGGATGCCGAGCTGCAACAATTGGAAGAGCGGCTGCAGTCACTTCCCAAGCCCTTTTTCGAAGTCACAATGAACAACCCCGCCCTTTTTACCTACATCATCGTCGCCTTTGCCTCTATGGGAGGTCTGCTCTCCGGTCTCGATCAGTCTCTCATCTCCGGTGCTATCGATCTACCCAAGGACCTACACCTGAATGACTCGCTGAACAGTCTGGTCAACTCTGGTATGCCCCTCGGTGCCGTCGCTGGTGCCCTGATCCTTTCGCCTTCGAACGAATATCTCGGCCGTAAAATGTCTATCATTGTTTCTTGCATTCTCTACACCATTGGTGCCGCCCTGGAGGCTGGTGCGATGAACTTCGGTATGATCTTCGCCGGTCGTTTCATTCTCGGAGCCGGTGTTGGTCTTGAAGGTGGTACTGTGCCTGTCTACGTCGCTGAGTGTGGTAAGTTCTGATATCTGATATCTTTCTTCGTATCCATTCGAGTCTTATATACTAACTTTTTCACTTCTGATAGTCCCCAGTCGCATTCGTGGTAACCTTGTCTCCGCCTATCAATTGAATATCGCCCTGGGTGAGGTCCTGGGATACGCCATTGCTGCAATGTTCTTCTCAGTCACCGGTAACTGGCGCTACATTCTGGGTTCCTCTCTGGTCTTCTCTACCATTCTGCTGGTCGGAATGATCTTCCTCCCCGAAAGTCCCCGTTATTTAATGCACAAGGGTCGCGACGTCGCCGCCTACTCTGTCTGGAAGCGCATCCGCGGCTTCAGCGACTACGACTCCAAGGATGAATTCCTCGGTATGCGCCAGGCTGTGACCGCCGAGCGTGAAGAGCAGCTTGCCACCGAGAAGTATCCCTGGATGGACTTCTTCACCAAGCCTCGTGCCCGCCGTGCCATTGTGTATGCCAATATCATGATTATCCTTGGCCAGCTGACCGGTGTGAACGCTGTCATGTACTACATGTCGACATTGATGAAAAACATCGGCTTCGACGACAAGACCGCCATCTTCATGTCTCTTGTCGGTGGTGGCTCGCTTCTATTCGGATGTATCCCTGCCGTGCTCTACATGGAACGATTTGGTCGTCGCTACTGGGCCAACGCCATGCTGCCGGGTTTCTTTGTTGGTCTTGTTCTAGTCGGTGCCGGATACACCATCGACTACAACACCCACCCCAAGCTTGCCGAAGGTCTCTATCTCACTGGTATCATCTTGTATATGGGTTTCTTCGGTTCATACGCCTGTCTCACCTGGGTTATCCCGTCCGAGGTTTTCCCTACTTACCTCCGTCACTACGGAATGACCACCGCCGACGCGACTCTCTTCCTGTGCTCGTTCATCGTCACCTACAACTTCACTCGCATGATGGAGTCCATGACCCGGATTGGTCTCACTCTCGGCTTTTACGGTGGCATTGCCCTGCTTGGATGGTTTTACCAGATTATCTTCATGCCTGAGACTAAGAACCTTTCTCTCGAGGAGATTGATGAGCTCTTCTCCAAGCCTACTTCGGTTATTGTGAAGCAGAACCTGAAGCAGACTTCCGAGGTCATTCGTGATCTGTTGCACTTCCGCTTCAAGAAGGTCTTCTCTCCTGAGCCTTACAAGAAGAAGTAAAGCTGTGGTGGGAGAACTTGAATATATCAAGTTTGACTTTTGTATTTCCTTCCGTTTTCTCTTTTTTTCATGAAGTGGTCTGACCATGATACTACTAGTATTTTGGTCTATTTATTCCCCTGTGGATGATTTATGTAGTGACGATGTGCTCACGATGCACACCAATATACCCCAATCAATTGAATAAATCATCAAAAACAATCTCCAATTATATCCCCTTAACTCCTACTCAGTATCGCTATATGCATAGTAATAACAAAGACCGACCACTCAATCCAATATATACACCCATATCATCAACTTGAAGTCCCGAGGTCCTTTCCAAGGCTAACTTATTTATCCTGAGCCGGACTATGCCTCCCATCCCCATTCCCATCCCCATTCCCATCCTTACTCTCATTTTTACTAGCACCATTGGCATCATCCCCAGTCTTCCCCTCCGTACCAAAAACCCCAAAATCACCCGGAAGCTCAGCGTGCGGCGTATCAGGACTCTTCTGACTCGGCATCTCGGTCAAAACATTACCCCCCAACGCAGACAATTCCGCCGGGGGCACCGCAACACCCCTCGCATCCAATTCCCATTCTCCATTCCGACTCTTATACGGATCAACCCGTGTCTCACCATCCAGTTCCGGCTTCCCAGCATACGGATCCTTCTGCGAAGAAGTGACCTCTTCAGCAGCGGCAGCAGCTTCAGCAGCAGCGTCCTTCTTCGCCCTCGTCCTCCGCCGATGCCACCAAATAAAGACCAAAGCAGCGGTAATAATAATTACCACGGGTATACAAACGCCAATAGCGATCTTAGCGCCTGTAGATAGAGTGCCCGAATTTGAGGATCCGCTGCCGTTGGAGCCTGTTGCTTGGGGGATGGAAGTTGAGGAGCGGGAGTCTTGGACGATTATGACTGGGTAGGCTTCGAAAGTTGCTTGGCCGTTTGAGGCGGATGAACCGATTGATTGGAAGTATTTGTAACTTGTTGTTTGGATGCATTTTGAGCCGGATGTTGTTAGGAATGGGTGGGCTGAGGCGAAGGATAGTGTGTGGCTGACGCACATGGTGCCGTTAAAGTCGTAGTTTCTAGAAGGAAGAAGGATATTGTATTAGTACTTGTATTGGAGGACTAGTAGTCGTCTTCAAGTTTGTATATTGAGAACTTGAAGAAGGGGCGTTTGTTTCGAGGTCTACATTTAAGTATATTGCAACGCATGGTACTCACCTGGGACAACAAGCAGTAGCAAGATCATGCTGACCCAAGTCGGTGATATACTCAGACAAAACGAAATGATTAGATTGCTCAATATGGCTAGCCGAGGCAGCACCGGTAAATCCACTCGGACACGCCAATCCGGGCGAGAAGCCTTTATAACTCAGTGCGCTGGCGTTGGATCCTGACCATCCATCTGGATAGCATTCAGATGCGAAGCCAATGGTTCCAGAATCGCATGTTGCGCCCCATCGTAGAAGTGTGCCGCCTTTAGTAGAATCGTGGGCGATCCATCGCTCGTTCGAACACCATGATGGTGGAGTGAAGATTGTGGTGAGAGGGCCGAAATTGGAGGGGCCGGTAGCGGTCATTGTTGCATTTATACTAGTACTCGCTCTGTGATGGTGAAGAGTGGCATATATACTAGTACGGGATAAAGTAATATGGGACAAAACCGCGCGAGGGGATAGTAGCCTGGAGGGAAATGAGGAGAGAGAAAGCAAGAAGAAAAAGAAAGGAAAGGAAGAGAGGAAATCAGAGCGACGATCGAATCTAGTTAAGGTCTGTCGTGGCTGAGCAGATGTCATGAAATTAGCGTATGCTTGGTTGTATTCTTGTCCCCGAAAGTCCCTTGATTTGCCCCACAAGAGATATAATTGGCTTCTTGGTCGTCAATAACGGGGAATAATCATGGTCTATCAGTCCACAACTTGGCCATACACCAATTGCGGCTCATGTTAGGTCAAGTCAGGCCGACCATGGGCCTGTGCTGATGCAGACAGGGTCCAATGAGGAAACCTGAGCCTCCTTTTCGTTCTTGAGTTTTGGGGCCAAAATCGAAAGGCAGACTCGGATCGATCAGCATGGGATTCAATGATTTTACATGTCGTGTGAGCTTTTTCTCTTCAGGGGAAATAAGGTCGATAGCAACTAACTACTAGATGGGAAGTACTGACAGGTACAAACTATCTTTGAAAATATTGATGATTTCTGCCAGTGATACTCCGTACTCGTACCTTAAATAAAACAACGTGCCCTGGGCCAATTTACCGAAACATGAACAAGGTTTAACAAAACGCACTAGAGTACTCCGCACTTCGTATTAAGAGATCACCGCCTTGAGCGTTGGACTCCAAGGCTGATTGGAACTCCACGCTATAAACAAGTCAATTAGGTATCATATGATATCATAGCCTCTCGCGATATACTGGAAATAAACTCCGTAACTTCGTAGTATAAGAACTTGAACTATACCCAGGTAGGCAATTGAATCCAGCTACATTGGAAACTTGAGTGAAACCGTAGCCGACCAACATACAAGATATTCCTGAAATCTAATCATATTCTTCATGGATGTAAATATGTACGGCAAAATTCAATGAAGCCAAAACTAATACAAAAATCAAAACACCCAGCGCCATGCTACCATGCAATTCAATCGCAATCGCACCTCACCTCACCACCGCGAACCCGGTCCACCAACCGGCTTCCGCACCTTAGGATCAACATTCGGACTAGGCGACCTTCCACCCTGCAATCTCGCCCGGAGTCTCTCCTGCGCAGACCCCGCACCAGGCCGGTCCTGACTAACCCTCTGCTGACCAGATTGATGCGACCCAGAGCGCTGACTCGGCAACGGCCGCGCACCAGCCGGATGCAATGAACCAGACGGTGTAGGCGAATGGGACTGGGCGTGCGCGAGCGGTGGGGAAGGTGTATGCATTGGACCAGGCGGTGCGCTGTGCATCGGGACTAGAGGGGGTGCGACACCACCGCGTCCGCGACGAAGGCTTGTTGTTTGGGCTCCGGGAGTTTGCGATGCACCGCCGGAATCACCCCATAGATCACCTAGGCCGCCGCCACTGCTTCGGCCGTAGGCGCCGGTGGCGGGGCCTTGGCCTTGGCCCGGGGATTGGGAGGAGGTTGCGAGGACGCGGGCGGGTGCGGCTTGGGGTGCTTTTGGGTCTGGGGGGAGCCAGGCTGGGAAGGGGCGGCCTTTCTCGGTGTAGTAGGCGCGCAGGGCGTTGGAGATGTGTGAGCAGTCTTCGTTGTCTGGGTCGTCTTTCTCGTCGCCTAGTGTGATTGCTCGCCGGAGACTGTTGAGTCGGGAGCTGAGGGCGGTTGAGATGGAGGATGAGGAGTAGGAGGAGAAGTAGGAGCTCATTGTGGCTTTTGTGGGGGTGTTCAGGTGGTTTGTTCACAGTGGTTTGTGGTGGTTGGAGAGGACAGCTTGGATGTGGGGTGGGGTGATGCGGAGCTATTCTTCTGTTGAAGGCCGAGGTGGCGGGGGGAATTGTGAGATGCTGGTGGAATTGACCAAGAGCCTTGCGAGGCCGAAAGGAGGAAGGCACAGAAAACGCGCGGGATCCGAATTATATTTATGTTGCCCAAGAGCCGGCTCCAGTGGGTGAGTTGGAGAGAACAAGAAAGCAAAGCGGCGTGTGGCGGTGGTGAAACAGCTGTGGCACGTGATCTTATACTTGGTTTCAGAAGAATTGCAGGAGATTAATTGGATCGTCCTGGAGGGAGTCCCTAAATAATAATAAGAGTAAGTAGATGATATAGATGATATTAATTTTGCGAATATACTCCATACTAGTATCAACCCGTGCTACAAGGGCTGGTGGGTTGGTAAGCTTGCTAGTACTTGGACGTCATCGGGTTCGGCTTCATCATCCACTAGTATGGGTTTATTGAGAACAGCTACTACTACGAGCATTAGTAAAAATCTACACATGAAAGGCATTGTTTCAAATAATTCAGTAACTAAGCATTCAGATGGTATCTAGACCCGTATTGACAGATATGTATAAGTAGATGCACTATCCGGAATGAATCCAGACCATAGAATCACAGAACACAGACAAAGAAATGAAAACAAACAATTAGGAAAAGAAAATAGACCACATCCTTGGAACGCCATGCAACAGATGAACTTTTCCCAAAGCCCCAGCCGAACAAGTCGAACAAGCCTAAGCCATAACCTGCTCCTTACCAGCGCCCTCAGTCTCATACTCAATCTCAATACGAGGACCCTTCTTGCGCGGCTTAGCCGTAGGCGCAGGAAGCTTCCGCTTAGAACCAGGCTTAGGCTTCTTCTCATCCTCACTGGAAGCCATATCCTCATCACTATCCTCATCATCGCTCTCATCCTCCTCAGACTCATCCTCATCACTAGAAGCACCCGAGCCCTCACCAAGCCAATCCTCAATATCTTCCAAATCCTCCTCCTCGTCCAAATCAGAAACATACTCCACTTCACCAACACCCTCTTCCTCCTCTTCCTCAATTTCCTCCCCATCATCAAGATCCTCATCCCGCTGCCCATCACCAGCACGCTCCAGACCACGAAGAACCTTCTTCCAAATCCCCTCATCAACATTAAGCGGCTGATCACCGTACGCACCACTGCGAAGACGCTCAATCAATTCCCGCTCAATAGCGCGCTCAACCTTCGCAGCGGAAAGAGCCTTCCGTTCACGAGTCTCTTCACGACGACGGATCTTAGGCGCGAGTTTAGGCACAACTCGCTCACCGAGACGCTCGTCTTCCTTGGCGATATTGCGCATTCGGATATTCACCTGCGTCAGACGGGTGAGACGCTGCTTGCACTTGTGCGTCAGGAACTTGGGCCAGTATAGGAGTCGCTCGTCTAGTTGTTCCAAAGCCTTGGCGTAGTTTGATGATAGACGGACGCGCTCCCACCATTTATTGGGCATGTGTGCTCGTTCAATTGTTTTCATGTACAGGTACATGACTCCAGTCTCGGGGTCTGCACGGACAGTTGCATAGCGGGAGTTGGCGAGGGGGCAGGATTGCCGGTTGCAGAGGCCTGTCACGTTGTATTCATTGCGGCAGAAATTTTGCTCCTTGGTTGTTCTGTAGAGGTGGTTGGATTGTTAGTGAGGTTGTTCTTTTTTTTCTCTTCTTTCTCACATTCTTTTTTTTCCTTTTGGCCCATTGCACTTTTACTTGCAGTGTGCTTCAGTTCCTTTCCATCGCTAGGGTGCTGAAGTCAAGTCCATAGATAATTGCTGTCACATATCGTTGCGAAAGCAATTTTTCGATGGGTGGATCCGCCATGCCGATTCTTCCAACTTTTTTGCTCAAGACTGGGTTGCGGGAATTCTTTGGGGTAGCACACTCACTTAAGTTTGTAGGAGCAGAATTGCTGGTTAATCACCTGCCAGACGATTTCGTCGGACATGATGGGCACGGAGGGAGGTGAGGTGAAGTGGAGTGAACGGTGCTGGAACTGGAACTGGAGTTCTCCGTTGCACTTGCCGTGTTGATCGAAGAAAAAAAAAGTCAGGTCACGTGGTTGCTTATCGATAGGCGGCTTGTCAGTGGCTGCCCCGGGCCACCGCTTTGGGAAGTATACTACACTACAGCATTCTGATATTCTTATTCTACTGGCATTCTGACGATCTTTGCTCATGCAGGGGTATTGTAATTGGCACGACTCGCTAAAAAACGGCTTACGGCATGTGTTTCTTTCAATTTCAACTTCTCACGCCCAACCCTCCACCTGAAGACCACCATCCCATTCAGTCCCATTCATCGCATGGTTACCACCAACATCACCTTCCTCGGCCATATCCTCACCACCCCAATCCATAGACTCAAGTTCACGAACGAAAAAATCGCGCTCTTCCTCCATCATAGACGCACCCTCCGGTCCGCCCATGACATCCTTGTACCGTCGTAAATGCCACCAATGCGTGAGTCCGCGGAGCGCCTGTTCCAACGGCAGCGCTTCTTCGACCTCAGCATCCACGTCCGACCCAGCGAGCCAGTCATCGCGAAGTTCTGGCTGACAGTAGAGATAGATGGCCGTTATGACGCGCATGTTGCTCTGGCGCCATTTACGGCCGCAGTAGGGGACTTGGGATTTGAATAGCTTCAGCGTGTAGAAGCGGAGATGGGGGTCCGGGATCTTGAGGCCTTTGCGCAGAATCGTGCTGGACTTATATTGCACGAGGAGGAGGCAGCGGTGTGCTTTGTCCCGCGTGATCTTTTGCATGATGTGCAGGTAGTTGATGGAGGAGAAGAAGTTGCGGAAGGAGAAGACGGTTATCGGCTCCTTCGGGGGTGGTGCGGTCGGATAGCCTAGTTCGTCGACCTCTGGTCGTGTAGGTCCCTCGAGTTGCTCTGCAATGGACTCTTCGGGCGATAATCCGCGAGCGGAGTTGGTGCCGTTCACATTGGGGCGGTGGCGGGATATCGGGGGTGGAGCTGCGTCGTCTTCGCTCTCGGTGTCTCCGCCGTTGTCGTCTTGTGAGTCGATGCGGTGGTCAGAGTGTTCGGCGCAGAAGTGGAAGAATCTAAACAGTTAGTATAGCGCGCGGATGGGATTAAAGAGGGTAAGGAGGGACTAACGCTAATTCCTCGCGGTCGTTTTTCTGCGCAACCGCCTGGTCAACGTCCTGATGGGCGAACATCTTCAGAATCAATGGGAGATAGTTCGAATCAAGCAAGAGCTGAGTCATATATTCGAATTTGAGGATATCTAGGATCCGTTAGCAAGTGGCTTTCTGAAAAAGAAAGATCAGGTCGTAGACATACGAGACCGCTTGAACCATTTTAGCATGAGAAGCAAGGTTCCAGAAACAGCCTTTCCAGTGATCTCCCGTAATCGAATGTTATCCAACTCATCAATATGAAGCTCAGGGGGGAACATCCCAGACCCGCCATTGATACCATGACCATTGCTAGAAGAAAATCTCGTTAGAAGCGTTTTTCGAGTTAGGATCCGAGAAGACATACACCATGCTCTGTACCATGCTTTGTGAATTGGAAGCATTGGCCTGGTTAACCACAGCGCTAACATTTGTGAGAATGATCTTCAAAAAGACGATTGTAATGGACTGAAGGTGAGACAAAGTGTGGGCCTGAGTACGTCGTTAGCTTTTAATCGATTTAACAATTAATAAGAAGCTTCGTTCACTCACATAAAAGTCTTCCACAGCATCAAGTCGCCGTTGGATATCTGGATCATCGATCTTCTCCTTAGGACTCTTGGGCTCAGTTTGGGAAGACTGTTCGCTGCCATCCAAGTCAAGGTGGCTCATATCCTCTGGCAGCTTGTTGGTCCAAGAATAGTCAGGCACACGCGAGGGTTGCTCGTGATTCCAACCACGGTCGTACTTCATGAAGTTCTCGCGTTCGTCCCAAAGTTGTTGCATTGCTCGTGTCATCTTCACGTGCGTGGAAAACAGTCTGCCCGCTTCAATAATCGACGCTGGCACGTCGTTGCCTTCCCATCTCTTCCCCACCAGGACATCCTGGCGTTCGGTGGAGCCTTTGCCACCAATCAAATTACTGGTATCATCCAGAGGAGGATACATCAGCGGGAAATTCTGGTTGGTTTGGTAATTTTGCTTTTTGCCCGCCTTCCCACCAGGGCCGATGGGCGATGGGGGCGGTGATGGAGCCGGGGTCGCAATGTGAACGGATTGTTGCAGGATAGAGCCGTTGCCACTGGCGACAGACGGACCAACTCCGCAAAATGGCGCGGCTGCTTTGTGGGGATGCTGGGGGAGAGGTGGGAGAATTGAATTATTATCAAGCTCGAGGGGAACGAGAGCAGGCGGCGGATTGTAAGCAGGATATTTGGATGTGATTTCCTGACGGAACGTCTGATAGTCCAAGGGTGATGCAGTCAAGAAGGGAGTTCTTCGGTTCGTCGAGTCTTCTTCGGTCTTCTTGAATTTGGGTTCCAGAACTTCTTTGGCTCTCTTTAATCGCTCGGTGCCACCGAAGACAAGGAGTAACGTCTTCCATAGAAGCAAGATGATTCTAGTGAGGGGAATATTGGCAGATTCGTCCCATCGTAGCCTCGCAATAATTTCAACAATTGAAACCAATAGGCAGGGCTTGGATTCGACAAGCGAATCACGAATTAGAGTGCACTGGGGGTCTTGGCCCTCTTGCCTTCGGCCCACTTCAACAGTAAAATACAGTGAAGTGAGCAATAAATTGGCCTCGCGTTCTGGAGCAGCAATGTCCCCTGCACTTAGACGTTCAAATTCAATCCCATCAGGGTCGGGACCAAAGGAGGGGCGGGTCTTGTCGAATATTTGACTCAACCTCTCCACTAGAACAGAAATTCCATCGCATTGCTGGACAAGCGAGACGTTCTGTTCAATCCACTCAATTTGGAGAGATTTCGATCGAGAAGTCTCCGCTGCCTTCGAATCGGGGCTGGATGGGAAGTCTTGCGCGACTCGTCCGGCGGTGGAACCCCATGTACCCGTCACAGCATAGCAGATATTCTCCAGGGCTTCCAGTCGCACCGAAACATCCGGGTGCCGGGTTTTATCGAGAGACTCTCTAACAAAATTCCGGCGCAAGCTTTCCGAGGCTTCTATCCATGATACTCCAGGGGTTTGCGAGGCATATCTCAAGGTGAAGTCGGTCCATTGGCGGCCGAAAGTGGACTTCATGCCAACCAACATGACTCGATCGAACTCATTGTACTGAAACCATTCCTCAATCTCATCTGGGAATGATTGCGAATCGGCATATTCGAACGCATAGGCGGGTTGTTCGATTTTGGGCATTTCTTGCACAAGCTTACGCAGCTGAGCGAGACTTAGGGAATCTGTTGGGGGATCCGCATTCTGCTGAACTGGGGCTGGAGGAGGTGGTTGGAGCGGAGGAGGAGGAGGCGCAGAGTTGTCTCGACGAAGCTCGGGTCGCTTGGGGGGTTGCTCAGGCTGGGTGGGTTCCGTTGTAGGCGCGGCCTGTTCAGCTTGTTCTTGTTCTTGGCGAATACCTTGGGCGACTTCCTCCATCAATTGATCGTCTGAGATGGGCGAGATATCTGTGCCCGTCTGATCCATTTCGTCGGCCTTGACGATGTGGTGTTCGGACTCGGGTTCGGACATAGCGACGTCGCCAGCCGGAGGCGGGATGTCCATGAGGGGTGGCCGCTGAGTGTGAGTAAATGTTAGGAATGAACGTAGTGGGTGGCCAAAAGAGTGTCGTCCGTGAGAGAAATTAATAACATCAGGGTGATATATGGGTGATTGGTGATAGAGGGGGTTTAGAGGTCGAAAGGCCTCGATCAATCCATTGAATGCGCGGTGTGGCCGATCCAAATGGCCAAACACTCGGGCAGTGGCAGCCGATAAGATAAGGGTCATGTGATACTGCCCAATATAAACATAGTAGCATCTACAGTACTTCCCGAAACTGGTCTCACCAACTACACTCTTCAATCGTTTCTCGAATCCTAATGCCAAGATATACTATACCATATTAAGAATGGACTCGGCATATAAATATTCCTGTAAGATTGTCTATACAGTATTTTACTCTCAAGGATACCTAAATTCATGTATCGTTAGATTCGTTACTGTATAGAGTAGTCATTGTAGCTAGAACTTTCCATATGAATACAATCAAGTTAACATGAGGGCTGAAGTGGGCCACGAGAATCTGGCAAGGTGCCATGTCCCTCTCCCACTCCAGTTCCCAAGTGACAAGCTAAAAGGTCAACTGAGTGCACATCAGTTAGCTATGCGCGCATAAAGGCTTGGCAAGGGCCTCCAACTTGAAGTTCTAAAGGTCCGACTTTTTTGCTCCGCCTTAACTTATGATTAGTATGCTCGGGGCCTTCTAGATCTAGCCAACTATGGCAAACCACAACGGAATAGACTGTATTGAATTTGGATCCTTGTGGAACTCAATGGAACATTCCACCAACACCGTAGAGCCATATAAATTGACTTCTCCTCTCATGCCCTTCTTTTACAAAGAGATTAGAAAATAGAGGAAGGAAAGGTAATCTAAATGGCTGACACCTGCTAGACTTGAAATCCTATAAATGAAATCTGCCCTGATGCGTGTCCTAGAGCAAGTAAATTGCCATTGATCGCGGAACAATTAGGCCGAGACCCAGGAGGAAGCCAAAGAACGTTTTTGCCGTTCAGCTTTATCCACTCTTGATCGATGAAGATCTCCCGATTCACATTATTTGAACTAGACGCATGATTTTCAGACCCGGATTGAACATCAAGGGAGCCCAGATTAGTGATTATATATGATCCATCCTGATCAAATTTCAGGTTGGTGACTCTTCCATTAACACTAAGTGTCCGCTGTAACGCGCCGGTCGCCGTGTCCCAGAGGCGCACGGTTTGGTCATCGGAGCCGGACGCCAGCCGCGCGCCGTCGAGTGAGAAGGCCACTGACCGAACCCAGTCTGAATAGCCTTCGAGGGTCTGCTGCAGTGTGCCTGTTGCTAGGTCCCAGAGGTTTATAGTTTTATCATCAGAGCTAGAAGCTAGCTGTGTGCCGTTGGGTGAGAAGGCTACTGACCGAACCCAGTCTGAATGGCCTTTGAGAGTCTGCTGTAGTGTACCTTTTGCTGTGTCCCAGAGGCCTATAGTTTGGTCATCGGAGCCGGACGCTAGCTGCGCGCCGTTGGGTGAAAAGGACACCGACCGGACTAATTCTGAATGGCCTTTGAGAGTCTGCTGCAATACACCTGTCTCTATATCCCAGAGGCGCACAGTTTTATCATCGGAGCTGGACGCCAGCTGCGTACTGTCGGGTGAGAAGGCCACTGACCAGACTGAGTCTGAATGGCCTTTCAGAGTCTGCTGCAGCGCGCCTATCGCTATGTCCCAGAGGCGGACGGTTTTGTCATTGGAGCCGGACGCCAGCCGTGCGCCGTCGGGTGAGAAGGCCACTGACCAGACTGAATCTGAATGGCCTTCAAGAGTCTGCTGCAGCGCACCTGTCGCTGTGTCCCATAGGCGCACAGTTTTATCAGTAGAGGTAGACGCCAGCTGTGCGCCGTTGGGTGAGAAGGCCACTGACCAGACCCAGTCTAAATGGCCTTTGAGAGTCTGCTGTAGTGCGCCTGTCGCTGTATCCCAGAGGCGTAAAGTTTTATCATTAGAGCCAGACGCCAGCCGCGCACCGCTGGGTGAGAAGGCTACCGACCAGACCCAGTCTGAATGGCCTTCGAGAGTCTGCTGTAGCACACCTGTCGCTGTATCCCAGAGGCGCACAAGTTGGTCATCGGAGCCGGACGCCAGCCGTGCGCCGTCGGGTGAGAAGGCCACTGACTGAACCCAGTCTGAATGGCCTTTGAGAGTCTGCTGTAGCGTGCCTGTCGCTGTGTCCCAGAGACGCACAGTGTTATCAGCAGAGCCGGACGCCAGGCGCACGCCGTCGGATGAGAAGACCACCGACCGGACCGATTCTGAATGGCCTTCGAGAGTCTGTTGCAGCGCGCCTGTTGCCGTGTCCCAGAGACGCACGGTTTTATCATCGGAGCTGGATGCCAGCCGTGCGCCGTCGGGTGAGAAGGCCACCGACCGGACCGATTCTAAATGGCCTTCGAGGGTCTGTAGTTCTGCACTCCATCTTTCCTCAACTCTTGGTAACTGGCATATCCAAGTGGGGAACTCTGCTTTGAATTCTCTCCGAATTATGGACATTTGGGGGGCAAATATAAGTCCTGCACAATAAACCTGGAGAGGCGCCTCGTCGGCTATTTGGCGATTTTTTAGAATGAATCGCCTTGCATCTTCAAGGAAGGCAGGTAGCTGAGATGACTTTATCTGGCAGTTAGTATTAATCTTTTGGTTCCAGTTCAACGTCACTGACCTTTGCCAGGGACTGTAAAGCCGTAATGCTTCCAATCGTTTCCGAAACCCATCCAAGAAGGCTCATCACTTCCAACCAATGCAAGAAATGCAACTTCAAAAAGTCTTCTATTAGTCTCCAGTTAATGCCAGACTGGTCACCATTCTCTAGATGGCGTATCCAGTATCGACAAGCGTATCGAAGCTCAGGTGAAACATAACTCTCAAGTAGCGTCTTTTCAATTTCATCTTTTCTTACGCCTGGGTTTGAAAGACGGCCTATATCTCTCTTTAATTCTCGATTCATACACTCAAGACAATCCTTGGTAAGCTGTGTATGACCTGCCAGTTCGTCAATCCAGAACTCGCCGGATGCTGAATGATCAACCAGAAATTCTCGAAACGAGAGATGAAGAAGCTGAACAGGGGCGTCACTGTCTTTTGGCACTGACACCACAGACTGGAGAGTACTGAATCTGACTTGAACTTTCGCTTTGTCTGAACAAATGAGCTTGGCCAGGGAGACGGATGAGAGTGGGCTGAAGAGAAGAACAGTGGCACCCACGATTCGGCGAAAGTCATCCATCCAGCATCTGAGTTCTCTCGACTCTTTCTGCGATACAATATGCTTTAAAACTGGGAGATAGATACCTGTCAACTTTGAATACTCGCCGTCGATTTTCTCCATTCCATCGCTCGAGTGTGAAGATAATATTGCTTGCAGTCGGTCGTTCGGAAGTTCTCCTTCACAATTGATGAATCGATATATTGTCGCGGCATGAATGAATAGAGGGACAGCCATATTTACTAGGGCTTTGTGGGTCTCTTCCCCGGGCCAGTTTTTCGCCAGTCCATGATCATCTCTAATCCTCTGAAACCTTTCCCGGAGAAAGACTGATATATCATGCTCGATAATCGACCTCTCAATCTGATGGAGAATAATCTCATCATTGCCGATTGATCGAAACCCTTTAATGACGGGTGGTTCTGGCCTACTAGTGATAAAGACTCGTAGTTGAACATTCTTCAAGTCGGTCAATTTTGGCAAAGTTGAAAAAAGGGCCGCGACATCAGCTGGCACTTGACACTCATCCAGGGCGTCGATGACAACTACCAGGATCAACGGGGATTTTAATCCAATATTAAGGCTCTTGAGTGGCTTGAAAAGCAATTCGTTGAACTGTTCTTGTGGATTGTTGCTTCCAATACCACGCGTTTCCTTGATTGCCCTCTTGACTGGTTCCTGAAGCTGAGGTAATCTTTCCAATATTTGTTTAGTAAGGGTGGTGAAGAGTCGTTTGGCGTCTTCTCGGTCTGTTCCACCCTTCTTGAAGAAGAAGCTGCCACCTAGCAAACCCTCGCCGTCCAACCACCGAGCTACTGTCCGTGACACGGTTGACTTTCCCGTTCCTGCCATGCCCTGCAGCCAAAACACGGCTTTTCTATCCGGATCGGTAGCCCAACTCCTGATGTCCTTAAGGAGTTCAGTTCGAGTCTCTTGCAGACATTCCTGATACTCCTCTCCAGTATTTGCGTTGTAATGAGCCTCCTCTGCAATTTTGAGCTCCGCAAGGACCATCTTGCCATTAAGTTCATTAAGTGAGTCTATCACTTGGTCAATATTAGTAAGCATTCTGTCTGCCTTTTCGAGAAGCTGCTTTCCCCTGTCTCTCTGTTCATGCCGGTCAACTATCTTAAGCCATCGGCCCAGATGTGACTCCGCCTCATCAATGGATTTTTGGAGATCGAAAAGAGAATCTTCAGAGATACTCTTCCAGATCAAGACGGCACGGCTGCGGTTATAAAGTGACTGGACTTGGGCAGCGAAAGTTAAGACTGCGATGTATACCTGGACGAGAGCTGTCTCAATGCATTGATCGGTATTCAGGTCCTTTTGATATTCCCGCTCCACCAAGCTATACCGGGTAAGAACGTCTGCGAGAAAGGTGCAAGATTCCAGCCAAGCCACTTTCTGAGTGCGATAGTTTTGCGTCATCTAAAAGTGGATTCTATTAGTTATTTTACCTTTAATTCTTTGAATTAGGAGATACGAGCATACAGTCAATCCCAAAGACACAACTACCCAGACGCTGGTTGCGTATCCTGTCGGATCAAATGCCACAGCTGACTGGATAAGGTCCTGAAAGCTAAGAACAGCCTTAATAATCTTTTGGGCTGGTTCTTTAATCCTGGATTTTCCTTGGTCGATTTCATATTGGGTCTTCACGGTTTCGATTACCCCATTCAATGCCTTTAAACGGTCCACGACACCGGGATCGGTATTCACATCATTAGAGTCGATGGTTTTGTTGGATTTTGGTATCAATATAGACTTGATAAGTTGTTGTTTTTTAGGCTCGAGGTCATCAAAAGCGCGTTGCCACAGATCTGGTTTCGTAGCAGAGGCAAATGCATGGTGGATCGAAGAATCATTCACAGATTGATTCCTTTGTCTAGAATGGAAATTCTTCTTGTCGTCCTTGTCCGAGTGCTGCTTCCTAAAGAATTGTCTCATTTTTTTCACGGGCCATGGCTGACCAGGATGAGTCATCAGTTTGATTCTGTGAAGGATTTGCTGTTTGAGAAATGAAAAGGTTAGGCGGAATCATAGGGTAGAAAGAGGGGTAGAAAGGGGGGGTCTGGCGCTTCTCCAGTACACCTCAGGCCCTACTGTGACTAAGCACGCGTTACCTTGGTAGTTATAAAGCTAAGTAAGACTAAAGATCCAAGGAGAGTCGTCCACAAGAAGCGAGCGCTATCATATATTCAAGGTGAAATACCAAAACTTAATTATATCGTGCTCCAGAGAATGCAGAAACGGAATCTGTCTGGTGGGTACTGGATGTCGGCTCGACTGTCGGCCCGAACCGACCCCGACCTATCTCGTTGCCCTGTACTCCTCAACTTTATTGGGGGGTGCTTTGACGCTACCAAATGTCCGAATATTGGAAGAGAGTCTTAGGATGGTACGCTTGTTGCAGCCAGCAGCCTTTGCCATCTGCGACAGAGATAGTTCCCCACTGCGGAGCATGTCGTATATAAGCTCATGCTTCGAAGGGGCTCGTTGGGTGCCATCTTGGTGTGACCACTCGTAATTGATTGTTAAACCTGGGGTAACGAGGTGTCGCTTGTATCAAATTACAGGTTAATACACTCCGCTACATATCCAGATTACTCTACGTAAGAGTCAACACAGGGCCCACTGATAGGGATACTCCGGAATAACTCCCAATATAGACTAGTCTGTCGTGGCAATTAGGGGTTGAGAAATAATCAAAGAGTGTAAGTGGTGACACCAGTTTCGGGAAGTACTGTATGTCGATCACCAGTGTTGAAGATACATATAAAGAAATACTGCTACGAGTACTGTTCCGCGGGGAATCAATGGGCATCTGGTAGGCTGTAGCAATAATTGGGAGTTAAGAGTATGTTCAATTCAAAATTGAGGGAAAAAATACCCTTGGAAGCTCGGACTTCGTATGCCAGTTTTCTAAGCTTCCACGGAGATTTTGCACGCCAGTCCGTTGAGAAGAAGCAAAAGAGTGACTGTGTCCGCTGGGCTAGGCAGTTGAAAGCCCGGAAGTACTCTCGAAACCCTGGAGACAGCAATGCAAATCAGACAGATCGAGACGCTGTATCGCACACAAAACGAGATTTGATATCTAGAATGTACAAGTAAAGAGACTCGCTAAGAACTAGGATGCAGTGCAGTGAAAGAAATCAAGCGCATAAGCCTCTAAGATAAATCCCATACGACAGATGAAAAAAAAAAAGCAAGGAAGGGGGAATATGCAAAGACGCGCAGAAAAAAGGAAAAGGATACAGATCCAGATGGAAAAGCAAAAAAAAAAGTGGAGAGGTAAAACATTCATCATAAAAGCTGCATGCGTAGTGTTCATGGAATTTTCGTCGCTCATGGGGATATGTGGTATGGCATGTGCAAAGAAATAAATCAGACGGAAAAAAAAATGCGAGGAAGCATGAGAGGCGTAGTTGTGGCTTTAGAAATCATCATCGTCGAGCTCATCACTGTCCCACTCATCTTCACGGTCGTTTTGCACAAGCTCTAGGAAACGCTGTAAGCCAGCGCGGAAGTCTACCGCTTCCCGACCTGGTCCGAGTGGTCGGACGGGACGCTCAGCGGCTTCACGGCGTCGGATCTCGGCGATAGCGTGTGCTTGTGCTTGTCGTTCCAATGCTGCGGCGCGCGCGGCACGGTCAACGTTTCGACCTTCGTTTGCACCGGCGGCTCTAGCAGCGCCGCGGTTCGGACGAGGTGGAACAGGAGCTGGAGGGGGAGGGAGGTAGATATGGTCATTTTCATCATCGCTGAAATCCCAACCGTTGAGGCCGTCATCCTCATCCTCATCGAAATCGACATCGACATCGACGTCGGCATCACTCTCGCTGCCAGCGTCGTCATGGTCGCCTTCAAAAATCAGGAGTTCGTCTGGGATGCGATGTAGTGCTTCAGCGCCTTCAGGATTGGTGCCGTCGCCGCCTTCAAGTTCCCAGAGACGGTTGAAACAGCTGCTTTCGCCTTGGTTGTAATGCAGGTATGGATTCGAGGGATCCAGCCAGGCGGAGCAAAGATAACAGAAGTGTGTTTCGCATTGAAAGCAGCGCATGTGGTTGCAGCCCATGCGTTTTTGGCATGGCACGTTGCATTCTGGACAAGGTGTTGTGTAGAGAGAAAGATATTTTTCTGTTGCCTTCTCCTCTTCTGTCAACTCTTCTTGGCGACGTGGTGGGACGCAGCGCACAATCTCGCCATGCCAGCCCTTTCGACAAATGTTGCAGAATGCATAGTTGCAATCTTCGCAGATTGCAAGTCGCTCCTCGATTGTTGGAATTGGTGCAGCATCTTCATTCGCACCAGCGGCAGGACCCTCGTCGTCATCAGATGCCTCGTCGTCAGCCATCGGGTCAACTGGTTTGGGGTGTCGCTTCGATCGAGCAGCACCTTGGCACCACTGTCGCGGGCAGTAAACTGTAGTCTTATCCGCCTCGATCTGCTTCTTGCGTCGGAGGAAGACATAACGTTTCACCGTGTCCGTGGCGAGTGGGATCTGAAGAAGTTCGCTGGGCGTGAGAGTTCGACGCTTCTTACGACGCGGCGTATCGTCGCCTGCCACCGGATCCGTGCCATGGGCCGTGTCGCAGTCCGGTGCCAGACATTTCACATTATCCACATCGCCCTCGCTGATGCATGTGTTGTAGAAGTCCTGCAAGCAAGCAACACAAAAGACGTGGGAGCATCGCTGTAGTCGGTAACAATTGGCACCTTTTTTAGGCTCCAGACACACGCCACATTCAAAGGTTTCTTTTTCGAACTTCTCGCGTTCGGTCTTATTGTTGAACTCTAGTAGGGCAATCTTCAGGTCCTGCGAGAGACAAAGTTCGCCATCGGGTGTGTCTTGAATTCCGAAGGCTGATTCGGCCAATTGTTGTAGGTGGTCGATGTAAGTGAAGACCACCATATCCCGACCACACTCTTCCCATAACCTTTCGCAATCGATGGTCAATCTCTCAAGCCTACGCGCTGGGAGCCATGGCGGGTGAGTGTTGAGCCGGACAACGGGGCACTTTTCGGCGGGGTAGCCTTCCGGTAGGTGAATCTCAAGACTGAGAGGAGGTAGGTGTAATAAGATATGAACATCGCGGGCTGCGACCGGGCCGAGCTCAGCTTTGGTGCCATCGACGGAGGTTGGAGGTGTCAGCGCGGCGGGCATACCGTGGTCAGGCGGTTGTTCAAAGCAGAAACGGGTCGGCGATGGTAAGGTCACGGGTAGATCCAAAGAGGCTTTGAACGGCGAAACGGGGTCGATGTGAATCTCCGGGAAGATGGCGACGATGGATGACAGCTCGACTGAGCGTTCGTCCTCTTCGGAATCGGTCATCCTGGTAGAATGAATGGGAAGGGGCCTTGGGGGAAGATCTGTTGTCAGGAACAGGGTATCTGAGATGCGTCTGCCGCGGTCTGGCCTCCGCAACTCCGCAACTCGGGATGGGTTCTGTTCAAGAGCGAAGGGTCATGGCTTGCCCGTCCGCAAGAGGGTTGCGTACTAGAAGTAGAAAATGGAATAAAATCGAGTGGCGATCGGGCAGAAATGGGGGGTGACGATTCCTGCAGGAAAGACACGCCAGTCTGAAAAGAGGCGAGAACGGAAAGGGACCAACAGGAACCCCGAAGGGTTATTGTCGAAATCCCAAGATCAAGGAAGTTGAGGTTGAACTATTCGTGCTCGGTAGTGTGGATTTGGTAAATTTGGTAAATTTGGTAAATTTGCTGAGGAGGGGTATATCAAATGATGTAACGAGGCGGGTTGAGTGTGAGCGGCAGAGGAAATGGACGGGAAGTAGAACAGCGACTGCGTCATGGTTTGAAATGAAGAGTAAAAGGTTGGGCCACGAGGGGTGGAGGGGAACTTTGTAAGTTGTGAGTAGGGAGGGAGAGAGAGAGAGAGAAAGATGAGAGTGGGAAGAGTGAAAAGTGAAGAAGAAAAAGAAGCGAGAGGCCAAACAAAAAAAAAGAAAAGGAACGTTCCTGCCCTTTTTTGTGCCTGATCAAAAATGGACAACAGGATCGTGCCTTCCCTCGAACCCCTCCAAAACAAAAAAAAAAGTACCCTCAAGTAAGCTAAGTAAGGCAGGTGCCGGGGGTGTGTTCCTTCCCTATCTTATCGCCCTTAAAGCGGCTAGTTCAGCATGGGAACCTGGCCGAGCTATACTTGGCAACTCTTGACACTCTCTTAACTCTCTTGACTCGCTCAACTCTCCACCTATTCTCCTCCTCCCTTCAAGGTGCACCATGGATACTCCGTTGGCATCTCTCTCCCTAACTCATGTTCACTATGTGAGTCAAGTCCCTGGTGATATTCCATACCATTCCATTTAACACGAACACCTTTAGAACCCCAAGGATCCCCTGTCCTTCATCTCCGCATGGCTAGCTCTACTCCCCCAAGCCCTCTGCGTATCTTATGCCACTCTATGTTGGGCATCAAGAGAAATGGAGGTCATCTTAATGTTTGCTGGCCAACTGGGCTGTGAAGCATTAAACTTTGTACTGAAACGCCTCATCAAGGAAGAGCGACCGCGAGGTAGGTCCCATCTTCCAGTCCATTCTCCAATCCCCTCCCACTCCCCCTCACACTCACACCCAACCGTGGAACCGAGACACTAATGGTTAATTCTACATTTTAGAAATGTTCGGCAAGGGCTATGGAATGCCTTCATCACACGCTCAATTCATGACATTCTTCGCCGTCTACCTCACCCTCTTCCTCCTCTTCCGACACACCCCATCCTACGCAAGCTCCTACCCTTACTCCGACTTCCTGCTCCGGGGTGCCTTGACCGTGGGCCTCTGCGCCAGTGCAGTGGCCGTGTCGGCCAGTCGTGTCTACCTGAATTACCACACTCCCCGGCAGGTTCTTGCTGGCTGTGGAGCCGGCTTCGTGTGCGCTTGTGGTTGGTTCGTGATCACCGGTTTGCTTCGACGCCTCGGGTGGATCGATTGGGCCGCGGACCTGACAGTGTCCCGTTTGCTGCGAGTCCGCGACTTGTTGGTCAATGAAGATCTGGCCGAGCCGGGCTGGCAACGATGGGAGGCTAAGCGGTTAGAGCAGCGCCAAAATGCGGCGCGCAAGTCGCAGTGAAGGGAGTCGGTGGATCCCACTGTTTTCATTGCTCTGTATAGTATTATCGGTATAAACATGCATATAGGGAAATACCCGCCATCTATTCGAAACACAGCACACCATGTCTACACAAATATATAGACGCTTAATAACAATAACCATTGGATACATTCAACATTCATACTCGCCGATGTTCGATTTAAGCAAGGCTGCTAGTGATCGCGCGTGCTAGTATGGGATATCTCATGACAAATTCCATTTCAACGTCTCCGCTGTTTACTAGTTCCTACTTGTATTTGAAAGAAGATGTAGCTACCAAGGTAGCTACTACTCCGGTGACTAGTATAGATAGTAGCAATGTGATGTTTATAAATAACCAAGTGATGATTTGATTCAAGTTTGATTCGTATTGACATAAATCTGAGTGAATTTCAAGTCCCAAGCCCCGAGCGCCATTTTGATGAAATTGGTATCGAAAGAATTAAATTGTGTTAACATGGTGGTAGTAATGTCATTTGTGCATTCAGTCTCGGCGTCGCTCAGCATTAACTCGTCGCTCGGCGGGGGAGTAACTGCGATCTGCTCGTCGATGTTTAGTATGTCCATCATTTTTGCGATGAGGACGGTCTCGCGAGCGCGAACGAGATCGTCTTCTGTGGGGACGATCGTGATCCCTGGACCAAGACCGATGCCGATGGCCACGAGGCTGACGATCTCTAGTATCCCGATCCCGATCTTGATCCCGACCACGAGCCCGATCATCGTGGTCTCTGCGATGACGGCGATCCCGATCCCGACCACGATCATCACTGCGATCTCCCCGTCGCTCTCGTTCCCGCCGCGGGCTACGACTGCGCTCCCGTCTGTATCTGCGATCGCGATCGCGATCTCCGCGAGATTCTCGGTCCGACTTCCCCGCACCAGATCCGTTGTTGTCATTTTTGGCTGACTCTTCTCGGGCCGAGTCTGGATTTTGACCGCCGAGGGGTTCGAGGTTGGCGTTATCTCGGACTTGGGCTTTTACTGGTGGTGGAAGACCCAGCGCGAGGGCCATGGCTTCTTCTTCGGCATCCTTGACTTTTTGTCGTTCTTCTTGTTGCTTGCGGGCTTCTGCCTCTTGGTCACCTTCCTCGCCCTTGGCATACCAGCCTAGATCTTTGCCTTGTTGCCAGCGTCCGACTGGGGCCATCACCGAGTGGCCCAGGTAGTTTTCGCGGTGGGTGGAGTTCTGGACGTCAGTCCATTTGAACTCGTTGCGGCCGCCACTGGTGGAGGGTTAGTCAGTTCTGCGGAGATGAGCGGGGGTCAAGAAAGATAAAAGAGAACTCACCGACTCCCTTCTTTGCGTATACTAGCCACCAAATCCATGATGTGTTGGAGTAATAAGATGGGGGTGGTAGAGATAAAGTGGAGTGGAGTGCCGAGGACAGTAGCTTCCAAGGTTATAAGTTCTGGTCGAGTCAAAGGCGGTGGACAGCAAGGGAAGCTCCACCCCCGCTTGGGTCATCGACGTTGACCATCTCGCCCTGTACAGAAATACCCTTTTCGTGCTCCTCTGAACTTCTCTTTTGCACCATTTTAGGTCCTTGGCAATGACAACCCCGACCCCATTCCCTTCTTTCCCTCTCTTGTTCGCCCTTCATCCCCGTCCCACCTCCTCTCCACACCCGGACATCGCTCAGCCTCAGCTGCAGCTGCACCCGCACCTGCATTTATAGCTTGGGAAATGGATTCTCCCAGCCCCGGGAGGCTAGACCGGAAGGTCGGTCCCGATGGCCGGGATAATCAACGACTAAGGCCTCGTATTCAAGCTTTGAATGTCGAAAAGGATGACGAAAGAGTGAGTGGGCTGATATTATATATCGCATCTCCGATACCCCCTCACGTGAGCTATTGAAAGCTGACTCGGACAGTTCTCCAAGTATGTTCCGAGGGCAAAATCCGTTATTTTGAGTTATGGAGATATTGATTCGAATTTTGCAGGAAACATGATGAGTTTGGCCCGCCAATTGCGACATGGCGAAATAACCTGGTAAGAAATAAGAGACAAAGGACCCTTCATGCAAATTAAATAACCTCAGGCTAATCGGCCCCCCCAAGTCGGCTGCCTCGCAACGGAGAAATCTCATTTTCGTGGCGCATCGGTGTGATATCTTTGTTTGGATTCCAAAGGGTCCTCTTCAGTTATTGGGGTCACAACCCGAAATGATCATCAAACCTGTCATGAAGGAACCGTTGATGGAAGGGTATATTGATCGTGTTCACCCCCACACAATTAACAACATCATTGTGGATGATCTAGGCCGCGACGAGGCTCTGTTGCTGGCGACAGACTCGGGAAATATCTGTGGTTATCATGTAGAAGCGATCTACTCCGCAGTCAACCGATGCGCAAAGAGTGGCTACAAACGACCCTTTGATGGATCCGAGGTCAATCCGTTCTTCGTGGAAAATGTTGGAATGAGCGCCTGGGGCTTGGCCACCCATAAATATGCTCGTTTAATTGCGGTCAGCGCCAACACGGGTCTCATTACTGTATATGCTTTTGCATTGGTGGATTCAGCTGCGGAGAACAGAGATGATGGAACTGAAAACCCCGACGATACCAGTGCTGGTATGAGCTCAGCAGATCAAACCTGGGTACCGGTGGAAAGCAGGAAACAGCTCTACGAGCTACATCAGCTTACGCCGCGAAACTATCGATCCCGCAACCTGCGACTAACCTACAGAGGTCATTTCGATAATATTCCTTGTGTGTCTTTTGCCAATTTTGATCTGAATCCAAATGGAATGTGGATGGTCAGCACCGATATCAGCAATAGGCTTATTGTCTGGAGAATATGGGATGATTTATGGCCGTCTAGGGTGTATTACCCTGGCCATCCATCCAACAACCCGCCTCAAAGGGGCTGGTCGGTCATTCCCCTCGACCCGCGCACATTCAAGCCGTGCCGCACAATAGAAGAAGCCTGTGGATGCAAGCCGGATGCACAGAATATTGCGCAACGAACAATTCTAGACACATCCCGGGGGATAGAGGGAGTTCCTGATGCATCGCAGATTTTTGTGTATGGCTTCAAGCACAAAGACTCGAGCAGAGACGTGGCACCTGCCTATATGCCGGATGATATATTTTCTTCCGATTGCTGCATTGAGGATAAACACAGACCTCGTTCCTATTTTGGCCTCGAGAAGGACTCTATGCCTTGGAACTTCGATGTTGTCTATGCCGTTGATACTGGGACTGAAAGAAGCAGCGAGCCCCGTTTTTACGATACTAGAAGCGCACGTCAAAATCGAATCAAGGATTCGTTTACTGACAAAACTCGGAGGTCACGGATACAGGGTCATTTACCTAACCTCCTCGGAGAGGATGACCATGATGATCATCACCGCGTACCACCGTGCTTGTATCCGGATGGCTCGGAGGGGGACCCTGACCCTTCCCTGGCGCTACTAAGGAACAAGGCAGTTCACCGTAAGTTCAACGTTAAATAATGCATACCAAAGAAACCCAATCGAAAAAGACCCCCATAGCTAATTACGTTTACAGCCCCCCCCAGCCGAATTTCTTCCCAGTCATCCATTTCTCTGAACACCACATCAGCCTAGCCGCCTACCCAATGGACTCAGAATACCAAATAGTCTGCAAAAACCCACTCTTCCAACGAGTCTCTCTCCACGCAGAGATCAGCTCACTCTGTGACCGCTTCAACATGGTCAAATACATTCCCGAGCTAGGCCTCGTGATAGCAGCATCTCAAAAGGGACGCGTGGCTATAATATCTTTAACCTGGCACGAAGAAATCGGCTGTACATTCCGCCTGGACTGGATCGTGCCATTCTCAACGCAAGAATCCGAAGAAGAACGCCCTATTATCCCGCTCCTCGGCATCACCGTCAGTCCGATGCCGGGATTCGAAATACCCCAAGATGTCCCGAGTATCCCACGCGGCATCGATCCAACTGATTGGCAAACTTTCAATTACCGCATCCTGAACCCGGATGAGAATGATTCTCAACAACAATCTACCACTTCATCTTCTTCTTCCACGGCTTCTGGAAAAGAGTCCAAATTTCACGCAGAGTCCGACCTCCACTCTAATTCTAGACATAGCACTGCTACAACTACTGCAACTTCCACGGCCCAACAAACTCAGAAGAAAAAGGGAGACGATAACGCAGACAAATCACCACCCAAAGAACTCACCCTCCCCGAATCACACGCACAAGCCTCACTCGCATACCGTCCCCACGAACCCTGGCACGGCTGGCACCCATCCCGCCATTACAGACTTCTCCTCTTATTCTGCGATCATACTGTCATGAGCTACGAATTCTGGCACGATTGGAAGACATAACGCCCTGCGATGGTTTTTCCATGGATGACGATGGCCGCCGCGCAGCCAGAGAGGGCCTTGAGGCCATGTTTTCCTTTTCCTTTTCCTTTTCCCTTCTTTCTCTCTCTATTCTATTCATCCATCTATTCATATCTACATACATACCCCGATTTCTTTTTTTTGTATGAGTACGCATGTGAAATACGTTATATGATGCGCATCTCTCTGTTCCCTGTCTCTCCTTCTCTCCGAGTCTGGGAGGGAGGACATTTTGCATTTTGGAGTTTTTTTTTGCGCCCCCTTTTGTTTTTTCTCTGTTTTTCTCCCTGCATTTTTTAGCATTGGTGTATTTGGTTGTATTTATTTAAGTTCTGTTTACTAGTAGCTTTTCATTTGCTCTTTTAAATTCATCTTATTTATGCTTTCATAAGGATTACGATGACGAGAGAATGCCAGTGGCTGTTGTATAGTATGGCATTCAGGTGATTGTTAATATTCACTCGCTTTGAATTTCTTCCGTCTCTCTTTTTCGTTGATAATTCGCTTCACCTTCCTTCTCGTTGCCTCAAAGGTCTCTCCTTACTTCTGTATTCGCCGAAGAACCATGCAAATGTGTGAAATCGAACCCCATAAAGGACACTTGCCCTGTTATGTGGGCCATGATCAGAGTATTCTTCACAACCAGCACATCAAAATGCGGGCGAAATTCCGAAGGAAGCCATAGAATGTCTTCGCCCCTGTGGCTTATCCATTCATCACGCAATGTTACTGACATATCCCAACTTAAACCCTTTAGGTGGCCGATGAGATGCATAGGACAATCTTGAGGTCTGGAGGGCTCTAGATTAGAGATGAGTACTGAAGAGTCCACAGTGAACTGGATCTTATTGATGAATTCTTTCTCATCAAAATTATGGCTCAGCCTGCCGCTGTTGACATCCCAGACAGAGATTTTCTTGTGACTCGTAACAGCCGCCAGCGACTGGCCATCTGGTGAGAAGCACAATAATCGAAACCCCGACGACTGGCTGTTTAGAACATGGCATAGCATTCCTGAGGTCGTCTCACAGAGGTTAATAGCAAGCCTTCCATCGGAATTTGGTCCGGTATATGCGACGCGGCCGTTCCGAGAGAATGCGACTAATGGATCAAGTACCCACACCGATTTGCCTTCATGAGGATCAACGTCAAGGTGGGACATAGAGATGAGATCTATATGTGCTATCGAACCTTGGGCCATGTTCCATAGGGAGAAAGTCATATCTCTGTTCGCAGCAAAAAGAAGGCAGTCATCAGGAGAGAGAAGGATAGAAAAGTTACTCCACTTTCACGCACTGGAATGCTATGTCTGTATTCGCCTGTCGCAATTTCGAATGTTTTGATTCCGTCAGTAGCATCCTTTTCTGCTCCATATGTCTCATATCCAACGGCCAGGACTTCATTGCTATGGGAAATAGCTGCTGATATAGAACGGTGCCGAGGAAATGCAGGTCAAATTTGCGCAAGTGCCGACCTTCGCTAATATCCCAAAGTTGGGCCCATGGATCCTCATTCATAGTGTATACAAGGGATACGAGCAATCGGCAATCTGGAGATATCGCCATGAGACGGATATTTTGTGGGCTCGGTGATGAGCTGGCTTGAAGCTTCCCTTTTTTGACCAGGGGATGCTGGGTCCTGTAATTCGATTTAGAGAAAGGTGACGGAGGGTTGAAGCTAGAAAACTCTGATGGGCGAAGAATAACCTGGCGTCGTCTATCGTCCTCAAACCATTCGAAGACATCAGAGACGGTCTCTTCACATATCACACCAAGATCTCGGAGCTGGATTATGCCGTCGCTCGATTTCGATGCCAAGATGTATCCATTCGGGGAGAGGGTAAGAGAAATAAGGCCCCCAAAATCGCAGAAAACATGCTGTAAGGTGCCCGAGACGAGATTCCACACCCGAATGGTATTAAAGCGGGTTCCTGATGCCAGCAAAATGTCATCGAAGGAAAATGCTAGATAGTCAGAGTTGCCCTTGAGCTTCCACTTCAATGCTTTTTTGGGAATATCCCATAGCTGGATGAATGGATTCGACTGAACGGCGAGTATCTGGCCATTGGGGGAGAATGTTAAACGAGGCCAATAACCACAGTCAAAATAATCGGAATTATGTGGAAAGCTCAAGGGTTGCAATACACTTGTGCTGTGGTTAAATGGAGAGTCCATGACCTCTGTTGTACCAGTGACTGTATCCCAGATCTTCAAAGCCGTAACGACATCAGCCCTGCGCTCTAATTGATAACCGGCCTGCACAAACACCTCCGTCTCCCCCTCATTTGAAGACGAATTGAAGATATTGGAGCTAGCTTTATGGATATTGTAGAATAGGCACGAGGCGACCAGCCGGCCATCGGAGGAGATTGTGATAGGTCCGACATTATTAAATGGGGACTGGTGAATCTTTTCACTTGTTAGTGGATTCCATATTTGAATAGGCTCTCCAAGTGGCGAGTATGCTATCTTCCGGCCATCTTTAGATATTGGAGACACTCCCCTTATTGCCTCCAGGCTGGTTGTGGTGGTGAAAACGCGTGGCATGGCCCGAAGCAGCCCGGGTGAAAGCAGAGTGTTTATCACAGTGCGTTGAATGAGATCATAAACAATGACATCTCCTTCTTCAAAACGGCAGGCTAGTAGCTGGTTATCAGGAGCAAATGCAATCGAGGATACATTCCCATGGGTTCGATCAAACTGAAGGCTCAAAGTATGTTGCACTACACCAGTAGTTGCATGCCAAACCCAAATTGTGTGCCGAACTGCATGAATGTCATTCAAAATGCCCCTTCTGCTTCCACATGATGCAATCATTTGGCTATCATGGGAGAATGCTATATGAGAGAGTTCTAAATCATCCTCCCCCTTATGACCCTCAAGTCGCCGCGACCCCGCCTCCCATAATTTGTTGACTTCTGGGAGAAGCTTTAACCACTGAGGAAATTCATGACGGTAAAGATCTCGGAGTATTGAGTTCTTGGGTGCAAAAATAAGGGCTGAGTTATAAAGTTGCAGAGGTGCTTTATCGGCGATAAATTGATTATTCACCGCGAAGCGTTCTCCTTCACGCAAGAACGAATACATCTCAGACTTTTCAATCTACGCTGGTCAGGACCCGAAGATTGATTGTTCGATCCGTTTTTGTGGGGCTTACCTTGTCGGACTTTAAATCCTGAATGATAGAAACAGCTTCTGATCCCAAACCAAGCAGGTTCATTGCTTCCAACCAGTGAAGGAAATGTTCACGAAGAAATTGGAAGCCTTCCCGAGTCAGTAGCATCATATCACCACTCTTCTTGACATGATGTGCCCAAAACCTACAAGAGTATTTGGTCTCTGGGGAAAAGCATTTATCGATGGTCCGCTGATCAATCTCTTTTCGCAGAGTTCCATCGCTGGGCAATGAACATATGTTTCTTCTCAAACTTCGGCACAACGCTAGACACTTTAGAGCCAGATTTGAATGCCCATCTTCTTCATCGATCCATAGTAAGCTTTTCTTTTTCGTGTCTGGGTGAAGAAGAAAATCGCGGAATGAGAGGTGAAATAGACGGAGAGGCATATTTCTTTCTTTGGGAATCCGAATAACCGAGTGCAAAGAGTTGAGCCTAGTGTCAATCACGCTCTCTGGAATATTGATGAGGTTAGATAACGAAGCGATAGAGAGAGAACTGTCCAGCAGGATAATTGCACCCACTACGGCTCGAAATTCTTCAGCCACTCGTTCTTTGTTTGCTCTCGTGTCCAAAATTCGGTTCAGAACCGGCATATATGTCCCATGTAATTGAGATCCCTCGCCCCCATAGGATAGAACCTCTGAGAGACAAACCACTGGGTCCAATTGATGATCCTGGAAAAGACGGCACATTGTTGCAGCAAAGATAAACAGTGGGACAGACAATTTGGTCAGGTCAAGAAGATCTTTTTCATTGGGCCAATTAGCTGGGAGAAGCCGCTCCCTTCTGATAGATGCCATTTGGTGCCGCAAGAACAATGTAATATCGTGTTCAGTAGCCTCTTCGGGGATTTGATGAAGTACGAGGTCTCGGGCATCGTTGCTTATCTCCGAGAATCCCAAACGGATAAGAATCTCCGGTCGACTAGTCAGAAAAACGCGTGCGATCATATGTTTTGACTGCCCGATACGAGGTAATAAGCGAAGCAAAATTTCAACATCATTTTGTGTCTCGCATTCATCCAGGGCGTCTATCACAATCACAATAGGCGATAAACGACAAGAATTGATAACACCAATGAGAGGCTCTAAAACCAGCTTATCGAACTGCTCCGGCAATCCCTTCGTCGCAATATCAGGATCCTCTCTGACTGCATTGAGAATACCCGGTCTTAGCTCCGGAACGGATTGCGCCAGTTGTTTCGCAATTGTCGGTAGTAGCCACTGCATGCTGCCTCTATTGCTTTCACCTCTTTTGAAGAAGAAGCTAGCCCCTAGCAAGTTTGATTCCTTGAAGTCCCTTGCCAATGTTCGTGTTATAGTGGACTTGCCTGTTCCAGCCATGCCGTTTAGCCAGAAAATGGGTTTCCCTGTAGGGGAATTGACCCATTGGGAAATCTCATCAATCACACCAGTCCTTGTTCCCCGAAGACAAAACTCATCGTGCTGGTTGATATAGGAGTCGAATTGGGCATCAAAAACAGCGGGCAATCTGTCGAATTCCATGCTGATCTCGATACGCTCCGCTGTCTCAGCAAACTGGGTGATGATTGGCTTTAGAGTTTCGATAATTCTCGTCTCCACCATGACTCGATGTGGAGGAATGCGATATAGGAGATCCTTGGTATATGCTGCAGCCACCATAGATGAGTAACCTTGCCATCTCTCGCTTTTGTGTGAATCGCTATAGTCACAGATTCCACGAATCACTAAGCAAGGGAACCCATTCATAAGCCCAGCAGCCTCCGTCTCAAAGCATAGGATGTCGTATTCGGCCGACAGCTTGTCTCTCAGCAATCCATCACTCATGAGCTGATCCGCAGACGCAATTAGCCCATAGTGAATGACCGGGCTGATCTCATCTTCACTCCGTGAAACTCGTGACACCAGCATAGATGGATCACTTGCACAGTTCTTTTCACAGGGCTCGCCTTTTGAAGGATGGAGAACCTTATTAAGGTAAAGCCGATCACTAGTTTCTTCTGGCCTCTGATATTTCTTTCGAAGTCGAGGCTTTCGCTCTAAGATTCTGTTAATGGAATCATCCAATTGATGGCCCTCGATTTCATATCGAGCTTGGAGCCCATTTACGGCTGCACGTAAGATTGTAGGTGGCTGATCAAGAACGCTGGTGTTCCGAAAGCCCTTATTCTGAACAGTCTCCCCAAAATCATATTGGAGCACACCACCCCGTCCATTAGAGGGTATACTAACAACGACATCGCCAAGACGGATATCATGTTTTTGACTCGGTGCGCCTCCACCGATTCCCACCAAAAGTCCAAAGCGAACATTTGGGAATCCATGTAGCAAATTCTCGGCTACCCGGGCGGCCGAGGCGATGCCATAAGAACCCATAGGTAGAACAGCAATGACGACGTTGTGTTTTCCAACTCTACCTAGAGTGTAATCGCTCGAGTCGCGCGAGGGTAGATGTGCAGGGCCTTCATGTTCTTCATCAAGGAAGGCTTGGGCGGCCACATACTCCGTGGTGATAGCACATATCCAGCCCACTGTATAGTCATTCGGGTCTGACATTTGGGCTAATTTCTTCTCAGTATCAAGATCTCATCTGTCGCTAAATTGCAAATTGACGCGGGGGAGGGGGAGGATTTAGTCCCTTCGTATCCAGACTCAGCCCAGGAGTACACGTGCTGCGACAGGGATTCAACGGGAAATGGCCAACCAGAAGTCGTGGCGACGCGCCGAGCACGTCGATACCTTTTCTATCGAGGATCGTACTTTTGTCAGACCCGCGCGCAACAGCCATTTACACAATACAATCTTCTGTGTCCGGATTTGGAGAGTAGTAGGGTAGGTATGCTACTACTACCAGTAATTTTGTGACTCGGTAAAAAAACGGCATCAATTGCAGCTATGAAGCGTCATAATCACTTGTCTAATTCCTTGAAAGATCTTATGCAACATTGGAAATCTAATACAAAGCCAAAGTCAAGACAAAGATACATCAACACCTCAATCAAACCTACAGCTCGTCATGCGACTCGGAGTGCTTGTGCTTGTTTGCACTCTCGCTGAGATCAGGCATGGACATCATGTTCACCACCATACTGGTCCAGCCGGTAAAGTGCTGAGTTCGCTGCCCCTTACCCGTGTCTGGATTATACTGTTCCCAGGCGAAACCGGTTTCCTTCCACTCCTTGAAGATGTTCTCGACCAGGTTCTTACGCAGCTGAGAGTACATTTCCCGCGCTTGGTCCTGGTGAGGACCCTTTGTGATGGCGGTATCCTATATAGATAGATGTGTTGTTAGAAACTGGCAAAGGAAATCGTCCCGGGAGCGAGCAGGGAGGGGAAAGTCAAACTTACGTAGAGATTCTTCAAGACCAAATAGTTAATAGGCATCCAGATGGGACTTCTCCAATAATTCTCCTCGGTACCATAAAACTTATCCTTCTTACTCAAACTGCGAATACCGTAGTCACTCCACAACTCTTCGGGGTCATGGATGAGATCCAGAACAGCCTTGAGGCGGGGACTATCAGGTCCAAGCATGCCAGTAAGGAAGGGGAAAATAGAAATATAACCCTTATGGCAGACGTGAACGCTCTCCTCGAATTCATCGATAGTAGCGTCGCAGAAAGTCTGCTCCTTCTCGTTCCAGTGCAGATCGTCAATGTTGCGAGTAATAGCGTTCTGGTAGTAAGCGAATTCCTCCGCATCATCTTCCTCGCCCAGGGTCTCGGCGATACGGCGCAGTGTACGAGTCATCATACCCATCCAGCTGATCAAATCCACGTGCAGTTCACCCGGGTGAGGCGGCTGGGCGCGAGGGTAGTCGTCGATGCCAGAGGTTAGGATGTGCTGCTCAGAGCGGCCGCGCCAGCGGTAGGCTTCCTTGGTAGAGAATGCCTCGCGGTCATATGATTTGATATCGCCGCGTTGGGTGTTGCGGAACCAGTTGTAATGTCTCTTCATCAGGGGGTAAAAGGAGCGGAGGTAGGCTTCGGATAGTTCGGGGTTTCGCAGGGTCGCGGTGCGGAGGTTCTCTGCTACATCGGGAATATCGAGAGATTCCGACTCGTCGCTCTTGTTCTTGTTGGTTCTCGCTTTGTCCATGAAAGCTTCCAAGGCCATGAAAAGAGTAGGAGGGTTGGCGTAGTGGGGATATTGAATTGTGAATTCTTGCGGAACCTTGCTGCGGGCTTCCTGGCCCAGGATCTGTTCACGGGCGATCCATCCGTCCTCGTCCATCAGGTGGAACCAACTCTTGATGATCTCGAGACTAAAATAAAGAAAGATAATCAGTACAACACATTGCATCGCGGGTAGCAGCAGCGGTAACCTACGCAAGATCAGAGTCATATTCCATGACAGGCATCAGGTGGAAACCCTCATCCCAGAGGAAACCTCGAGGGAAGAATGGCCGAGAAGGAACGCAGGTAAAGAGGTCCTTGGGGCCCTCGAATACGGGCTGTGCGGCAGCCCTCGCCTGGGCAGTCTCCTCCCAGAAGCCTTCGTTTTCTTCGTCATAAGCAGGAGAGGCGGAGCGGTCGACGACATCGTCACCGTGGAAGAATCCAACACCACCAATCAAGTTGGAGAGCATAGCCTTGGAGAATTTCGAATACTCTTCCGACTTGAAGGGCGTCTTTGGCTCCAGGACTTCCTTAAACCTCTGCGAAAACGAAAGGGAGGCGTCCTTGAGCTCCTTGTTGAGAATATCCGCTGATAATTGAGTTAGATATACGATATTGCGGTTATTCGTTCGGAAATCAGATAAAAAACATACAAGTCATGGGCTCAGAGGCCGATCCGGAAGAGAAAAGAACATCAAACTAGCAAAATCAGTGACCCTGCATCCAAAGGAAGCTTTTTTTCAGACGGTACATACCTCGAATGCGCCAGTGAAGACCTTCTGGACCATGTGAACATTACCCTGTCCAGGAATGTGAGGAATAGTAAACAGCTGTGCCGGAGGAGGGGGGTTATCCGTTCCATGCTGCTCGATGGTCTTTTCAACCTCGCCCTTCATTTGAGTGAACAGAATGCCTTTAGCTTGCCAGAGAGCCTGCTGCGGCATAGTCGCACTTGACACGATACCCTGCCCCAATGGCTTCTCACCATTAGTAGGGTGGCTGTGACTGAAATATTCATTACTCTCCGGGCCAGAGGTGACATCGATGGAGAAGTCGCCCAGCTCCGAGGAGTAGCCATTGAATTTCAAGTCGCCGTCAAGCGGAGAGCTCGAGGAAGCAGTGTCCATATCAACGCCTACTTCGCCGAGTCCTTCAAGGGTCGTATAGAAGATCATCGTTGTGGGCTGGTCAGGGCTACCGTCTTCACGAGGGGTGCCCTTGACGCGGAATCCCCAGCTACCACCATGCTGGCCGCCAGGTACCTTGACGAAATCAATCGTGAGGTCTAGACTGTTGCCAGCATCGTGGATAGTCTCGCGTCCACCTTTCCGCACATCGTATTCGTCCCATCCATATCCAGCCATACCCTCATTTTGTTCGCAGGTGTGTCTGAAGTCTTTCATGGTCTCCAGTCAGCACTCATTTCACTCCACTTATGAAGATTGGGGGTTGCAATTGCAATTAACAGGGTAGAACTCACTCTGCTGCGCGGTGGCAAAGTCATCGACCTTGGCCCACATCAATCCCGCAGCGAGACTGTTCGCAATGCGAGGGCGTACTCCGAAGTACAGGTTGGACTTGTAGGGGCCCCATAGCAGGGAGTGGTTGTTGGCGCGAGCGGCCTCGTTGATTAGGATGGAGGCATCGGTGGGATCATTGTTTGCTGAGATCCCGGTCGCATAGAGGACCGATGTTAATAGGGAGAAACCGACAAGTCGCATCTTTGCACGGGCATCAATGGACTTTCGGAGAGTTGACAGAAGTTCAAGTTGCAGCGGAGGGCGGAGGGCGGAGACGGAGCTTGCTGTTCTCTCCGCAATTACGTGGCCCGAGCTTCTTAGGAGGGCATAGTAGTACTACCAGTAGTGGGAGTATACATTTACAATTGCATTGGTATATGTATATTCTTATAGTATTTAATATTATATTCACGTTCACATTCAATCTACTATTCTAATCACAACTGGTCCCGAGGATCCAACGATCCAATCTTAGCACTCTTCGCCTTCCCATCAAACACAAACTCACTCATCAACTTCCCCGTACCAGGACCATTCTGAATCCCCCAGCAAGTATGTCCAGAAGCAAGATACAACCCCTTATCATGAGTCAATCCAACCAAAGGCCCCCCAAACCCCGTACTATTAGGCAAGTAACAAGCCTGTCGAACCTGAACCGTCCCATCCCGCAACTCATCAGAAATACTCCCAACATGATCAACAATCTCCTGACACCGTTCCAGATCAACCTCCACATCCGCAGAAGTCGCAGGCAAAGGGACAAGCTTATCACCATCCCCACAAGCATAAATAGTATCATCCGGACGCGCATAGATCTCCGGTGCCGTCGCCGTAGCCCTCGACTTAACACTCGGGTTAAAATTGGCCGGGAGCTCGATATTCGTAAAAAGCGCATATGCACTAACCGGCCGAGTTGGGCGGATGACAACGCTGTGAGCACGCATTGCTGCAATGGGCGCTTCGGGGAGGACGGTGCTAGTCCATGGTCCTGCGGCGACAATGACATCTGTTGCTGGGATGGTGCGTGAGTCTCCAGAGGCTTTGTCGATATATGTGACAGACTCGACTGCGCCGTCTGGACGAGAAATATCAGTGACTTGTCCTCAGGATAATTTCCGCGCCTTTCTCTTCTGCTAGTTTGGCCATGGACGTGGTAAAGAGGTACGGGTGGACCTGGGCTGTTTCACCAGGTCCGCTCATACTCTCGTAGGCGCGTATAAGATCTGGTTCAATCCAGTCAAGATCCTCGGGTGTGTTAGAGGACTTGAGTTTCGACATTGCGGCCGTGCTGCGTTTCTGTAGGGATTCGCCGGAGGGTTTGTTGTTGTTGTTGGCGGGTTTGTCGGTCATTGCGCGGCCTCGGACGACGATTTGGCCGCAGTTTGTCTCTCGGTAACCCCATCTGTTTTTCCCATCGTGTTCTTTTGCAAGTTGGGCGTGTAGTGGGAAGCTGAGGTCTACGAGGTTGTTCGGATACGCCCATTGCGCGAGTAATCCGCCGGCTTTGCCAGATGCCCCGCCGGCTATATCGGTGGCTTCGAGGAGGGTGATTTTATGACAGGTTGGGTCGTAGGAGGGGTGTCTTGTGAGGAAGTATGCTGAGCAGCATCCAATTATACCACCGCCTGGAGGTGAAAAATGTGGTCAGCGCATTCGGTCGTTGTAACGGCGCGGGGTACAAAATGGTGCAAATAGCTTGTTCTTCTTACCAATGACGACGATTTCACGACGATCTGCAGCAGACATTTTGAGTACTCGTGGCACAATATTTGAGGTCAAAAATTGTAACGAAGCCACGGTGGCAGGGGAGTTGGTAGAGAGTTGAATGTAAAAACCGGCGGTGGTCTAAAGAGAGCTACGTCACAGCCGAGGTGGAGGAGAAACTGCGACTTTTATAGGCCACTCAAGCTTCAATCAACTACATTTCGGTCAGGCATTTTGGGGGGGAAAGACAGGTCATGTCTAATAATGCTCCAATTTCCAATTGTGATAAATGGAAATTAAGTAACAGGTCTTTGCCGTAGAAGATTTTAGAAGAGAAATAACCCGAGGACCATGCTCCGCGAATGCAAAAAGGGCTTGGAAAAGGGAAAAGGGAAAGAAAAAGGAAAAGGTGGGACAGAATGTAAGTCCCTCCAAGTGAAACCCATGTAAAAAAAGAAAGCAACCCTTGAAATACCACCAATATAACATAGCAATGGAATCATCGTGACGGACTGAGAGGTCGGTTGAAACCTCCTGTACGGTTCATGTACTGGCGGTACTCGATCTTCTTTTCCTTCCGCACACCGTAGATATCATTGCCGGGCACCTTGGTATTCTTTGTAGTCCGGAACCGTGTGAACCCCATGCTCTTGCGCATCATAGCCTCGAATTCATCCTCGTCGGCATCTTCCTTGAAATCAACGTCCATTTCATCTTTGCTGTGTCCGGAACCATTGGCATGTCGGCCATCATCTCGAGATCGAGGGTCTCTGCGATCAGAGCGACGGTCCCCTTTGTATCCTCGGGGAGGAGATCTGGACCTCGACCGGGCCTTACCATTTCGAACTGGAGATCGCGAGCGGGAACGGTCGCGGAATTTGTCGCCCTTTGATGCATATCCTGCGCGAAAATGTCGGTTAGTCGTGGTTTCATGTCTGGGTTGTACATTGCCATGCTCTCGTAGCTCCTGCGGCTGATGTTGCTGTAGCTGTTGCTGTAGCTGTTGCTGTAGCTGTTGCTTACCTCGTCTATCATAGCCACCACGCTCTCGACTGGTACTCCTCTTCCGGTCCCTAGCTCCATGTCCGTCCCTATCTCTATCCCTTCGGTCGCGGCGATCTCGAGACCAGCTCCGTTCTCGCCGTCTATCTTCCTGATCGAATCGACGATCGTTTCGAGGACCGTCGCGTCGGTCGTCTCGTGGTGGGCGTCGGCGGTCTTGGTCTGAGGTTGCATCTGGCGAGCGAGCTCTTGAATCACTGGAATCCCACATAGCGCTACTGTCAACCCGTCGGGCGCGTTTTGCAGGTGGCTCCGCCATGGTGGTTGGGAGACAAAGGTGGTGTCTGGAGCCGTGTGGTCTTTCGGCGGTTGGATGAAGCGGCAGAAATTGGGCGGGGTACTTCTTCAGGGGGCTATGACTCCTGGCAACCTTATTTCAGAGAGGTAATCGAAAGGGTCGTAAGCCGCTATGAGGGCTGGGGGTATCACGTCGTCGCAATTGCACTTCTTGTTGCGCCGGCAGAACCTTGAGAAGTTTATTACGGTCGGCGGGAGGTGCCAACCGTGCTGTTCGGACGACTGTCCGGCTGTTCTCCACTGGGACCTTGTTAGGTACAACGCACTCTCGATAGCAAATAATATCCGACCTTCTCACTTTTGTTGAAAATTTGCTTGGTTCTTCTCTGCGCAACCGGACTCTTGTTTATGTAGGAAGTTTCTTTGGCCAGAATAACATGCAGCAGGCTCAGCTGCACATGCGTCGCGAGTGAGACGAAAAGAATTATAGAAACTAATTGAATTGAAAACACAGGTTCCATTACGCTATCCACTCAAGATTGTTGCAACACTCCAGCGCTCAATATCAGCGGCGAATGGCTATGAACTTTTTATCCTGGAAGACGAAACGTAAAGCAGGTCTTTCTAGAATATTGATCCTCTCCATATTCTCTTGCAGTGAGCTGCTCTACTTAATAGTGCGGTCTCCGTCGTCCGTGATCATGCAAGTGGGCTCGACCATGAGCATGTCCTGTCATTTGGGGAAGATCAGCCACGATAGATTGATGGCTGGTACCGCCATTGCTTCCTTGGTCGGTTGGATCGCGCGAATGTGTTGCGGGATCTGTAGGCCTAAATTCACTGGAGACTTCACTTGCTTGAATGATCTCAACTGCTTTCTCGGCCTCAAAAATTGCTGAAAGAGGCAGATCGTCTTGAAGAACAGACCGCGCTATCTCGCGTTTTAACCACTGAGCGGAGAAGATCTCCGTGGGAAGATTATCTTCCGAGGGCGCTGCTTTATAGTTGTTGAAATGGGGCCAGTTATAGGGAGCATAGAACATTCTGATACATATGCAAATTAGATGAGGCTTGTGGACAATTGACTGATATAGTGAACGGGGGTGGTACGTACGGATCATCAGGCATAACACGGAATCCTTGATCAGATACAGTTGACGTTCCTGCTCGAGCACCTATTTCCCAGGTGTAGGTAGCTGACACGACGATAGTAAGTATCGATAAACTCAACGCAGCTTTGTATAAAAAAGGAAATTCACGACTTACCCCAGCATTCACTGTCACGTGTTTGAGAATCAAACTTCAATGTGAAGTCAGTACGGATGAATTCAATGAATAAGCGATAATACGAGGGAGCAATCAACATACCCCGTAATACTGCAGGAAATGTTCACCATCCAGTGCTGCATTTGCTCGGTTGTCACCTTCGGGGAAGTCCGAAAATTTCCAAGTCACTGGACTTTGTCTGGCTTTCCAAAGTCCAAGCTGTTCAACGCATGGAATCCAGTTAGCATCTTGCCAGTCTTTCCAGTCCTTTCCTATAACAATGAAGCCGTTAGCACCGGAAAGAGAACATATCTCTCGTGAATTCAAGCATTAAGTCGCATTTAAATAAGACTAACCTTGTTCTGCATTTGCTGGACCGTTCACGAGGCGTACAATCTGATACGCCTTGTTTGCTGCCTCTCGCAAGGACCCAAGAGGGAACTCGTCACTGGTCCATGAGAACAATTAGATCATTGTACCAACCACGTAGTTTAGGGCTGTGATATACATACACCTCGCACCTGTGTCTTTTTGCCCATTTTCCAGAGCCGCCAGCCAATGAATCATCTCTGTACCACTCCGAACCCCGACGATCATTCCATTTGTCTTTGTAGGTCTTCTTGGGCCTTTTCGAAATATGATAAACAGTTTTGTGGTCAAACCCCTTTTCGATAGCATAGCGCTGATTGTCACAGATCTATCATCGTTATAGCAGATAATGTTTAGCAGCTATCACGGATCGGTTGAAGTTGGAGACCTTTACCTCGTCAAATCCCAAACCGTACTTGCATTCGTAGGTCAAAGAGCAGTCCTTCGTATCCTTGTCATAAGACTTTCTTGTATATCGTCCATACGTCTGAGGAAGTTGCACTGGCTCCGCAGTCACAGTTGCCTTGGCACTGTTGATATCGGTAATACCGGGGCCTACAGCTCCTTGGCCATACGCTGCAGCAGCAGATGCAATGACACCATTAGCGCCCGCGGCTTTCTCATGAGCAACAACTTCTGTTGGTTTCATGCACATATTGAGAATCTCTTGGCCAACATTCCAGGTAAATGGAGCGCCGTCGAATTGTGTAACTGCTCTTCCAAAGGACCACACAAAATGACCACCTAACAGATTGAATCAGTAATCGGTCTTCAAGACATGGCGGAGGCCTCGACGATACTCACCTAGAACCAGAGCAAAGAAGTTAGTGAAACCGATACAGGTAGGATCCTCGTCTGACCAAGATCCGCCTTTGCGCTTAAATAGTTCTTTCCCAACGATTGCCTCATCTGGGTTGCTGTTGGTACCAGGGGATGCAATAACTCCAGTGCCACGCTTCGTCAGACCGGCTTCTCCAATGAGATTCAGTGAGTCTGTGTTGGCAAAAGATGATGGCACAAAGCCAGAGCAGCAGTAGGATTGAGAACCACCTTGATCGTTGGTCAGTATATTACCAGACATATCTTGAATATGATAACTATACCATTGCAGCTCAAATCGTGGATCGCACCCAAGTCTGAATTGTCGGTATATGAGTTTGCTATAAAAAGTGACTCGTTGATTAGTAGGGCCAGAAAATAAATGGTAATTTGAAGATGAAAATCTTGCTCACTATTAACTGCAACGAGTTCAGTTCCATTAGGACAATAACCGGTGGCACAAGGCATGCCAACACCACGCCATCCACTCCAGTCACAGGTACCCGTATTCGTCCCAGGGGCACAGCAAAGGGTCTTAACCTCATCACCGCTGCAATTCATATCGAGCTCAATGCCCGCTACTTGATCTTTAGCCCAGGCCTCGGAGATAAACCCAGTCGCGCATTCATCGCCACAGAAAGACCAATAACACGAGTTTTGAGTAGTAGCCGCTGCCTTTGCACTCGCGTGAATTTCACGTATCTTTGCGGCATCAGAAGCAGAAACTCCATTCGCCGTTCCAATACCCATCAGATCATTACTGCTTGTATTGTCTTGGCCATCTTGGTCGATCGTCCAAATCATAGTGCCACCCAGGCAGAGCTCATTCGCGGCCTGAATCTTCATTTGCATAGTCTCGCCATCGTCATACGAAACCCACTGATCGGAGCCCCACGTAATCCATTTAACTGCCGCTTGACGGTCCATTGTCGGCGTTAACCCATTTTTAGCAATGATGCGTTGAATTTCCGCGTTGGAAAGTGTGCCTGCGGACTTGGTACATTCTCCTGCGGCCCCGCCTTCGCTGAATATACATCCGGGGGTATTGCATGATGGGTCTTTGAGAGTGAATGAGCGACCATACCATCCCAGGCCCAGATTGACGTTGGATGGAGATATTTTGTTGCGCCAGAGCAAGTCCAGACCCAGTCGAATCTCTGTCAAATTGGTGTGGGGGCGTACATAGGGGCCGGCGAACTTGCTTGACGAATCCCAGACACCGTGAATATCATATGACATGAAATTGAAGAAGTCCACTGATTTCTCCATGGATTTAATGTCAAACCAACGAAGATACCAGTAAGAGGATGGTAACGTGACGCTGATTCCATACTTTCCGTTGAAGGCCGCCCTCATATCATTGAGAAGCAGAACAAAGTTACCCGTGTCAGCTTCAACGCCGCCACGATCGTCCGCTGCTGGATACTATAAAGACTATTTAGCACTGAGAAAAGTCAAGCCTTGGCATTTGATGGCTTACCTCCCAATCGAGGTCTACTCCATCAAAGCCATAATTGCTCATGAATTGAATCAAAGATGCGATGAAAGCTTTGCGACCTGTTGCACTTGATGACATATCGCTGAAAGCCATTTGGGTATTAGGCGAGTTAGTGGCGTCCTATCATTGATTAATACTTGAATTCATTTGAGATATCTCGGGGTTACTTACATTAAATGCCCAACCTCCGATAGAGACCCATGTTTGGAGAGATCTAAAAAAGGTAAAATTGAAGTGTGAGCATAGAAAGACCAGAGGAAAGTTGGGATGATACAACGTACGGTTTTTTTTCCTTAAGAGCTGTGAATTGGGAATAGAGGGGAACATCACTTGCGTCCTTTGGGACAATTTTAAAGGTTGTAGGGTGAAAGTAAACAAACGCTAGAACTCATTCAGTTGAAATCGTACCGCAAGGAAGAGATTTAGGTGGTCCTACCGAAGTTGATATGTGTCATAGCAGTGACATCAATATCAGATGGGAAGCGTATATCGCATGGTCTTTGCGAAGCCCTAATATATTGTCAAAATTCAGTAATCAAGCGCATTTTGATGGGTTTTACAGGAAAGGAACTCACCATCCTTCATAGTATCCAATCGTTCTTTTTCGCAGAACCAGAGCTAGAGCAAGAAGGTTCTGATACCGAGCCACATGTTCCAAAGGCACTTTGACATTTATCAGCGCAGAATTCCTAGCAATTAGATTTTCATATCAGCCAATGATCAATAAAAGCAATCGAAAGTATCAAGAATATCTAGGCACATACATCTGTAGTTCCACAGAATCCGAATTTAGAGCAACAAACATTCAGGGGGCAAGAGACAGATCCGCCCTCTGAATACTCTCCACATTCAGCCTTAGCGTTGCAGTTTGATATACAGGTATCGGACCCACATTCATCTGGAGAATAGCCACAAACACCGGTCTGTAAATAGAGGAATTAGATTCAAGGAAAATAATGTAGCGGGACCCGAAGCACCAATACCTTACTACAACAAGCTCCATTTGAACAGGGAGTGCCTGGGGCACAGGTTCCCGTAGGAAGGCCGTTGTCTGCGCGTTTCTGAAGACTGTTTTCCGAAGAGTTATGGGATTGCAATGCTCTGACCATTGGATTTGCCGAAACTCCTGTCACATTTTGAAATAATGGAGTAGAGTGGTTGTGTAGTGCAAACCTAGCTTGGTAAATGCTGCTTCCATTCTGTGCTTGTCCTGTTGCAGCTGCCGCTGGAAGTGCAGTAAGAATCCCAGCACCAAGTACCAGAGCGTTAAAAACGAACATGGTAAGAAAGTTTGCCTCGCAATTCAGAAACTTTCCGAGTGGATTGTTCTTCGTCTTAAATTCAGAATCTCGTTTCGAGTGCTACTGTTATTACTGGCCTTAGCCATAGGTTGTAACATTGACATTCTACACCCTTTTCCAATTGTCGAATGAATTTCTTTCATCTGAGACATTAAAATTATCTCTAACTTGAAAAGCTTAGCCTCCGTAGCCAATTTCGATCGCTTAGAGTTTATCCATTCTGGATTTTGAGAGAAAATGAGGCTAAGACCGGGTAAGGGTCGCCGCTTGTTCAAGTGACCCACTTAGCGTGAGAATCAGTCGTGCTCTAGTCTATTTAGTTCAGCGACTAACCCTGAAAGCGCCGAAGTATACGGAGTGCTCCGTAGGTGTATGCAGACCGGTGACAAATTTTTCTCGCTTCCTTAGTCCAACCGTCCGAAAACAAGAGAAAATGGAACCAGTTGAAATTTTAGTGCCTCCTCAGAGAAACTATAGTCCCTTTCAGAACTCGCTCTAGACTTATTTCTGAGGGATTTTTGGATACCAAGTTACATCGGGGGCGACTTATCTCCGGCTTGCCAGTAGTGGGACTCATCTCGGTAAAACCTTGAGCTACTAACTAGCTGTGGCTTGTTTTCTTTTTTTTCGAAAGGCGAAAGAATAAATTATCAATAAGACAGAGAGCTCATAGCCATCAACTTTTGGTAATAATAAATATTTCTTATAACCGAGAGGATGCTCCTACGTCTCCTGGCCTTTGGACTGGGCTTCAGTGCCTCGGTTCAAGCTTCTTTCAGAATTTATGACAACTACGAGAGTAACTTGATTCGAGATGCATTCGGTCTATCGGATCAATGTCTAGAAGCCTTGTGAGTAAGACGGTTACAAAGTTGGACATGGGCTAACTTTATAGGAATACCACCATTTCTTGTGACAAGACTACTGGTAGCAACGCAGCTGGAGGACCAGACAGCTTGTGTTAGTTCTATGCTACTTGAATCTCTGAAAGCTCCCTGTACTTACATTTAGACAGACTGGACTCAACAGAACATCACTACTCTATGCACCAAAGGGTGCGGGGCCTCACTTAGCTCATGGAATTTGGCAGTCGAGGCAAATTGCAATGGAGAGTCAGTATACAGCAATGGCAGGTACATGCTTGCACAATCGATCCCAGCTTTGTGGCTCGATGGCCATGACCTAGTCTGCTTGCAGGATAGGTAAGCACAAGATCTGGAGGCAGACCTCTAGGACACAGCAGTTAACAAGCTCAGCTCCTCGAATTGGTGCTTTCTGGAGTCTCAAGACTGGCAAGGAAGTGACTACGTGCGGTAAGAAATCCCGAACATCCTCTAATGAAGTTCCAAGGTTTCTTTCTCACGCGAATCCTTCTTTCAGATGGTCACCAGATGCGTGCTATAACCCGGACACATCTGCCATCCCCACCGAATGCTCAGATCCAGACTGGTTACGCACAGATATTTCAGAGACTATGAAAGATGTGACTAGGCTATACGACCGAAGTTTGGTAAAGTTTGATTCTAATAAGACTTACACAGTTTGAGGGCTAACATGTAGCAGCTTTGTAGCGAATGCTTCATTAAAATGTGGCGTCAACGCCTCATGTCTCCATTATTGCCAAGCAGTGAAAGCACACAATATCTTCTCCAGCAATATGAGTCAATCCAAAAAAACTGCTCCACCACTTTGCCTGTTACAACATATGGCACAACCCTGTCGGTAGCATCAGCGACTGCTTCAAGCTCTCCGGTTGCTACCGGTACTACCACAGGGTCTTTGGCTTCTTCGACCTGTCTTGGACAATTGGTTGAGCCTTTTGAGGACGGTTACAGGTCATGTTTTAACATATCCGATACATACAACGTCAGCACAGGTGCTATTGTGGCTGCTACTGGTGATGCTCTTTGCGATTTCCACAACTCTATTTGTCTTCCCTTGTCTTGTGAGCTAGATACTTTGCGAGACAATCCGTCCTGGTATGTTCTCCCTTCTTACATTACATCGATTTGCAAGAATTTTCGATTTGCTTATTTCATATTAGCCAAGATCTCGCAGATAAGTACTCTACCGACACTAACAATGTCACTTTAACCCAGCTTTTGGCATGGAACCCCAAAATTTTGGGCTCTTGTGGCTTCCTGAATAACGTTCAGCGAGTTTGTCAAAGGTTCGTTGATTACGCTCATTATGCCATTGGCTTTTTCTCTAACCGTATTCAAGTCCGCCAGGAGGAAATTTCGTTCCTACGGGTGTTATCTATGCCCCCACGACGGCGGGATCATACTACACCACTGGTGAGTCAGGGAATTTTGAAATTCAAATGTTGTTGTTACAGCTATCTGATAATATGATTTCTTTCTTTGGAAACAGCAACTCCGGCTGAGCCAACGCAATCAGGAACTACATCTGAATGTGGCTTATTCTATGATGTTGTTTCTGGAGATACAGTGAGTCATTCAAATCTATCTTGCATGATATCATACTGATCAGACTTATTTGTCAAGTGCAACTCAATCGCTCTTCGTTTGTGAGTACTGTCTCTATTTGCTTCTCCGGGCATTGCTAAATTCAGGATCCAAGTGGCGTCACTATTTCCGACCTTCGATCTCTCAACACATTCGTAAAGTTTCCCCTCCTAAGACAAGTCATGCTGTTTTCTAATTTTGGATTAGCTTTGGGATAATTGCACGAACCTTTGGCTTGACAACTCAGTCTGTGTTGCGCCTGTCACAAAATCGTCAACTTCAACCGATGGCAAGTGTGGCCCTTCAAATGGAAATACTCTCTGTCCAGGCGTCGATAGGTAACTCAATATCCGGCCAAAATATATCAGTTGGATAATTTTGCTGATCGCATACAGCTGTTGCTCAATTAGCGGATATTGCGGAACTACATCCGACTATTGCAGTGCAGGAAACTGTGTCTCCGGGGCTTGCCAGTCTACTGTTGCTACTACAAATGGCACCTGTGGCTCGGCATGGGGAGATACAACATGTAGTAATCCTAGCTTTGGCTCGTAAGTTGAACAGATTTCTCCGCCACTTGAATAACGACTAATCAATATACTCTCAAAGATGCTGCTCTATCTATGGTTATTGCGGCGATGGCTCGGACTACTGCGGCCCAGGCCATTGCTATTCGGGAGAATGCGATGGAGCTGACGGCGGCCTCAGTATCAACGGTGAATGTGGGCCTTCCTTCGCTGGGAATAAGACTTGCGTTGGGACTCAATTTGGCGAATGTTGCTCTACTGCTGGATATTGTGGAAGCTCTGCAGACTACTGTGCTGCTGGTAACTGCTACTCTGGGGCATGCTTGTAGGAAGATAGTTTGTATTAGTGGTAGATTGATTTCTGGCAAGAGAATAAGAATTCGTTTATCTTGAAGAAGAGACTGTACTCCGAGTTCGAAGTTATTCATTACTCCCCCTTTCTTTCACACCAACTCACTGCCTCGGTAATTTAATCCCCCCAACTTTCAAGATACAAAAAGCCCAAGAATTCTCTGCGCAGCAGTGTGCCAAATTTCTGATAACCAATAGAGTTGCGCTTTATTCCAGCGTGCCCTAGCTCGGTATTTAATTTTTCCATATTTTTCTATTCGAATTTGCGGTCTCTGAACCCGTGGCGCAGTAAAGAGTAAATGTTACCCTTTATCTCGGATCGTTGCGGAAGAAGAACAAGCTAATTTAGCGCATTTCTAGCAGCTCCATCACTGTAGGTACCCTTGTTTAGCTGCGGGGCACTTCGTAACTATATACGGCAGCACCGACTAGAGCTAGCCATTTTCCCCAATCAGGTCTAGATCCTTCAAAGTCCACTCGGACCCTTTTTTTTACAAACCACTGGATTTTTTCCAAAGGGGTCACCCATACTCCCAACGATGACCGAAGGGCACAGTATGTCAAACTCCAGTTTCGACCCTGAGCTGTCAGCAAAATTTCACAATAAGATATTCGAGCATGCATGGAGCGGGACTGGCCGAGATGTCGCTTCGCTCCCCTCAACCAGTTGGTGGGAGCAGTCATCTCCGATTCCGTTCGACCTCGCCTCGCGTCTGAACCCTAATTTGGTTCGGTTTCTCCGGTTAGCTAAAGACGTGACTGGATTCTATGATTCAGGTTGGAGCTTTTCTTATTACCTGACTGGACTTGCTAGAAAGGAAGATCTTCTTCGGTTTCAAATACTGGAATCGCGAGGAGATCGATACGTGATGCTGTATCACTCGACTTGTACTACGAATGATGAAGAAGTTGGCATCCTGTTCGTCTGTCCTAACCTAAAAGCATCAGATTATTATAGATGCAGCCGAATATTTTACTCTGGTACTAGTACTAATAAAAGTCACAGATTCGATCAAAAGACCGAGCTCGCAGCCTTTTTCCCAGATTGGATGGACATGGACTTGCAGGATGTATATCCATGGAGACCTTTACAGAATATTCTCTATGTATATCTAGAGATGATAAATGATGGAAAGGTCACCACATATCCCGCCCATCGCAAAGGTGAATGGCACTCGCCATCCTTTCCCTGGAAAGCTCATCAATATGCTCAAAGCGATGTCAAGAAAGCCGTCGCGGCTTTCGCGCGTCTTCTCGACGCAATCGAATCTCGACTCCCATCAACTCGATTACCCAAGGCGGAAAATAAAGATGCCAGTGCTGTTCCGCAAAATAAGAATGCCAAAATTTCATACACGACCTCAACGATAATCTCATCGATAATACGAAAGGATTCCTTCGTCCATGAATTTCTCTCCGCTCTACCTGCACGCGATATCAGCTTCGACTACATCGCCCAGGGATTCGATTACAAAGCGAACCCGAATTTCTAGCTCAGCCATTTTCACCTTTCGATGATGATGATACTGCCTCCACAGCGCGCAAACGGGGTAACTACCCTGCTCCCCCAGTTCTCCTCTTCCGAGGTGAAGCATACAACACGATGCCAGGTCCGTGGAGCGGAGAATGGTGTTCTGGTCGCGGATGCGCCAAGATTCCTACGGGGCTGTACATTGAGGAGGTATCGGATAATACTGGTAGAGATGCAGGGAACGAAACCAGACTCCTGCTCCCCTTTGATGTTGGTCGGAACGGTCATGCACGGAGTAGTAATGGCGTGTTGCTGAATGAGTGTTATGATTACGACGAGGGGTTATCTGATAAACTGTATCAAGTCTACGGTATCAGTGGAATCTTGCCGTGGGACTCGAAGTAGTTCGCAGCTTCACAAGGTTTTGGATAATTGGGCTGAGCGTGTGGAAATGGGCGATTGGACTGTGGGGGAAATTGGTGTTGTGGATGGAATTGAGAAGTTTATGGATGCTGATACGCCGGATCATTGGAAGAAGTATCAGACTTCATTGTGACGATATGTCAATCTTTCAGAGGAGTACCCCTTCAGATGATATTGCTGGGTAGCCTAGCAAAAGTTCTCAGGATCTGCTTTGAATTGTGCTAAGCTAGCACTATATCAATTATTGACTAAAATACCCAGACAGCGAACATAAGAATAGTAACTACACTCCTTTCTGGCAATCAATTTAAAAGATTTGTCTGATTTTTTCTGTCGGTGATATCCAACGAAGATACTTGGTCAGATGAGATGATTCAGCTCTATTGCAATGCAACGGATATTTCAGCCGGAAGCCATGTTACTAAGAGCCTCAAAGAGGCCGAAAATAAATGTACTTAAATTATGTCTAATTAATTATTTTCTAACCCCGTTGCCAAGGCCTTGCAGCGTAACATAATTGTTCGACGGGCCGCATCAATTTGAGAGGCACAGTATACAAAGTACGAAGAGCGTACTATAGAAATACTAGTTATCTCGTGTGCCTAGGGAGGAAGGTGCAATCGTTCCAAGGTTCTATTTAGTATATATAATTGGACAGTTTGCATTAAGTAGCAGACTCTTAATTTCGAGTTTTGAACTTGCGGATTCTCCCTAGCGTAAACTGTTTCAATGAGCTCTGTCAAAGCCGGGAGCTAGATTTATCCATGATTGATTGTGGATTCAATGTTACGCTGTATGCTGACAGTCCCAATGAAAGATATCATGATGCATTGATGCAACGTCTCCGAGGGAGAGGTTTAAGCATGCTGTGTGACCCTCCAGCTCCATCTATTAATTTATGCGTCCCAAAGTGGGCCTGCCTCGTATTCACTATGCCCATGCATAGTTCTCCACTTACGTCTTCTGTTAAGGTTTTTGCTGTAGTATTGTTAATCTGGAGACGGGCCACAACCTAGTTCTCTTCCCCATTGTGGATCCCCATTACAACCTAGCTAGCTGGTTTCCACCTGGACTATGTGCAGACATGCTTACTATTTAGAGAGAAAGGCCTCTCAGAAATTATATTCCATCCCTCTTATCATACTTTCGTCAACTAATATGCTTACAATGAGAAGCTGCACACGATGATGGTTGTATCTACACTGTAGATGGCAAAAAGTTCAAACTTCACTATAATAAGAGTAAGCCTCCGCGTTGTCGCCAATTTTTTCCTTCCCAGGCCGCTAATTCATGTTGTATGGTTTTAGTGAATCAATACAGAACCTGGGATCTGGGATATCCACAAACATCGTCATACCAGGCATGTGCCGAGTTATGTGCATCGAAATCAAACTGTGTTGTTTTTACGCGATCAAAAACTGCTGCTGGTAGCGGCTATTGCTGGATGCAGACCCATGAAAGCGGGCTGCCTTTGCCCTTGACAGGAACCTATACCATGCCTCTGGAGCAATTGTCTCATTGCCACCGACTGTTCTGGCACGGCTCACACCTGATATGAGTATATTGGGTACTCGGATGGGAATGTGTTTCGTCTTCGCGGGGATGGGATTACTTATTGGGAATCCAATTGCGGGAGCATTGTTGGATTTGGAGCGAGGGGTTTTCTGGAAAGCTCAACTTTTTAGTGCTATGATGGTCATTGCTGGCACGGCATTGTTCTTGGTATTGCGGATTCTGAAGTGGAAGCAGGGAGAAGGGTGGAAGATTTGATAAATGGGTTGATATCAATATTATTGGTAGAAATAACCTTCCGAGTTATCTGCAGGTGAGATATAAAAAGAAAGAAAAGAATGGAACAATAAAAAGACAAAAACAATGGATGACTTGGAAATAGCAGCCGAACGCGGTAACCACTGCGCCACTCCGACCAACGTCGGAGCCAGGATTCGAACCTGGGCACCCGAAGGAATTCGGTGAGCTTAACCATTGCGCCATTCCATTGTTAAAGAAATTAGCCGGGTTTATCGATATATACCCTACGTGACTTTTACCTATTTCCTGCTTCATGTAGTAGACTGGTCCCATTTACATCTGGTAGAAGTGTCATGCACATTAATTTATACTACGGTATTCCTAACTTTAGATTAGAACTTGAATCCCTCAATCTATATATTTATACAGCCTAATTAAGCTAGCTTTGGATCTTTGAGAATGTACCTTAGATAGTATTACTAGTGCTACTCTACTAGTTATATATTGTGACAACCCAAGCAGAGTCCCGCACCAGCGGGACTATACCCCGCCATTGGAGCCACGCGCTAACGATGGGATTTCTACTGATGTATGGAGCGCGAAATTGGTAGATACCATGACCATATTATATACTATCCATGGATATTCCTAAACATGATTTATAAAGATCGGGTTTGCATATTTTAACACCCCCTCCCATCAGCATTATATGAAGACCTATTAAATGACGTCACATAATATTTCAACCTCAGCTTTGAATCCAATTGACTACGATAGCAATACAAAAATAATCCATATATTCCTGTCACTGTAAACCAAAAGAATCAACCACAGCATCTATCCCAGACATGCAGCGCAGTCACGCAGTTCGCGGCCCGACCCGTCGAGCCTCAAAGCCCACGAAATTTTTGCAGCGCAATCAACCCCACTTCATCCGCATCTCCCCTGCACCAGATCACCCGCCATCAGAGCAGAGCGCCGCGCACCATGGCCCCAATCAACCTGTCCCATCGGCGGACGCATAATCTTTTACTTATTTCCAAATTGCTCAATTTGAGAGATACCGCGTCGCCGTTTACCCTGCTGCTTGACTCGTTGGAGCAGCCGGCGACACCCTTGCTCAAAGAATATATCAGACGTGCGAAGGTGAGTTGGACGAAGTCACTGAGTCATTTATGTCAGAATTTATTCATATTGTTTGATACTGACCAGCCGAACAGCTCTCCAAAGTCCATGTCACTCTCATTTCATTCGAAACGCTCCGCAAACCAGATGGCGTCGATGCATTCATTTCCGCTCGCCGCAAGAGTCCGGCGGATATCATGTCCGAAGTAGCTTCAGCATACCAGCCTGCTAAACAGAATGGTCCACCGCAACGTGAGTCATTCCAGCTCCAGGGTTTAGCCAAAGAGCTCAACAGTCTCGCTCTTGCAACACGTCCATGACTGACCTTACTCAATAGGCCGCCTCATCCTAATCGACGCCATAAACCCACTTCTAAGCTCCAAAAAGCCAGACCCAACCTTCCAACTAGCCTCCTTCCTAGGATCATTCATCACACCCCGAGATCCATCAACACCCAAAGCCGACGCCTCACTAGTGGTAGCATACCACACCGACATCCCAGGCCTACTACCAGTGCACCAACAAGCGCCAAACCCCTACAAACCCGCCCACCTCTCCATATTAACCTACCTCGCCACAAGCATAATAACCCTACACTCATTCTCGCACATCCTCGCGCAAAAAGCAGCGCGGGACCGAAGCCTCGTCGCCCCAGTCTTCGGCCTGGACGAAGAACAAGATGGCGTCATCCTCGGACGTCTGGATAAATTGACCGGGACAGGTGCTGCGGAGGGGATTGTGCTTGAACTGGAACATCGGCGGAAGAGTGGACGCGGTGTGTTGGAGTGGTATATTCTTCCTCCTGCGTCGCGGTATGCGGCGTCACATGTTAAGGAGGTTGTTACGCTTTTGGATGATAATGTTCTTTATAATCCGCCTATGGAGCTAGATGATCGTGCGGAAGATGAGGAGCCGAAGTCGACGTTTGAGCTTGGGCTTACGGATCGACAGAGGCGGGATAGGGAGGGGGTTGTTTTGCCTTATTTTGATGCGCAGTATGGGGATGGGCCTGGGGAGGGGGGGGAGGATTCTTTATGATATGGGTGAAGAGGATGATTTTGATGAGGAGGAGGATGAGATTTAGAGGATTTATTATGATGAGTAGAGGTCTATGAATTGTTACGACTTTATTTGTGAAAATTGAAAGAAGGGCCGAGGCCGGTCTAATGAATAATTTGGATTCGTATAGCTACATACATTCATACATACAATGGGGGGAATCGGAATTGAGGAAGCGCTGCCATTGGGAGCTGATGATATTAAAAGAAGCGCCACCAGAGTAGGAGGAGGATCACGAAACCAACACCGGCGAAAGGTCCGTACTGTTCCATGAGAGTAGGAGTTAGCGGGCTGATGATCAACAGTCACCGGGGTTGGTGGATCATTATTAATAACACTTACCTGCTTGATCAGCAATTCCCAGTTAATGCGCACAGCAGCCTTGCGGTATTTCTTACTATCTTCTCGCAGACGACCGGACAGTTCGCCCATGCGCTCCAGACTGTCTCCACGATACAGAAGATCCTCGATGTTCTTGGTCATCACCTTAGTGACGTCGCGCAGTTCATCATTCAACTTATCCAAGTTCTGCGAGGCGCGACTATCCTGGTACAGCTTCTTGGTACGTTGAATAAAGGTATCGAATTCGACAAAGGCGTATGGGCGAAGGGTCGGGGATAGATATTGGGATTGGGCGTAGGTAGTTGTGAATTCGGAGGCCAGATCGGCGAGATAAGTGAATGCCAGTTTTCGGGGGTAGGACCGGTCGCAGATGCAAAGGAAGCAAATGTCGTCTTGAATCAGGTAGCTAGGTGAATAAAAAGAAGAGTTTAGCATTGTAACTTTTGTTTCTTTCAACCTTTTGTCATTCCCCCCCACCCACACTCCTGGACATGCGCTCGACTCACTGGAGAGTGTATTGACCGGACTCAATACTGGCTTGAGGTGCAGCATTGCGGTTCAATCGGCGGAAAATCATCTTGCATTGCGACTTGATCTCTGACGGCTCAGACTCGGCCTGTTTAAAAGCGAATCAGGTCAGTTTCTCTTTCACTCTTTCACACACCCTCTTATCATCTCCGCATCTTGTTGTTCGCCTCACCTGCTCATCATCGACGGAAGCAGCCAGCATCAGGCCTATTCAAGGAAACTTGTCAGTAAAGTGACCAGTTTATTTTTCCGATTGAGATCCATTCATACCATCCAGCCTTGCGATCTGTGTTGATTTCACCATTCTGGCAACTGTGACCAGACCGAAGCTTATTGTCGCCAGGGTGTTTTGGAGGGTGTCCACATCTCCAAGTAAACTTGTCTAGAATGGGCCGGAAGAAGGCGGTGTCTAACGGCAGAAGCGGCCGCTCGGGGTGAGTTCCCCACAACTTCCACTCTTTGGACTTCTTTGTCCGTTGATCGCGAGCTAACACCTGCTTTTGTTCCTGCTGTAGGCGGATCGCGAAACAATCATTTACTCCTACCGATGTAGGTGCACACCCGAAAAAGGCGATGACTAGCCCGGTGAAACGAGCTCCGAAGAAAGCTGCTCCCCGGGGAAAGTGGAGCGAGGCAACGCTATTGACCAGCGAGAAGTCGGTATTAGTTCACGCGGATCTGGTGGTATGTTACTATGCTCCCTATGCCCTATGCTTTTGACTATATCTAAACTATACCGTGATGCAAAACTAACTTTACCCTCCCTCTTTCAGAAACTACTCGCCAGTCCCGAAGCTTGGAATTGTCTAGATGAAACCGACAAACAAGAGATCCTAGCTCTTCTCCCCGCAGATATCCACCCCGAAACCGAGCTCCAGCCAGACAGCCAAGAACAAAAGATACTCCCCATACCCGCATCATTCTTGCGCTACTCGAATAACTGGCGCGATGGTCTTCGTCAATTCCAGCTCGACCTTGAGAATGGTCGCTACGATCCCGAATGGTTGCGACAAGCGGAGAAAGCTCGCAAACAGCGGGAAAGTGGTGATTTCGACACCTTTAAAGAGCGGGAGTTTGAACAGTTCTGGGGCCAGAAGCAGAATTTCAACAAGAGGCTTCCCGCTGGTGACAGTGCGAAAATCAAATTGAGCGAGCTTGTTGAACATGGTGTGATTCAGCTCGGTGATGTCTGGAGGTTTCGTTTTGGGTTTGGGAAGGGCGAAAATAACATTAAGATTGATAAGGAAGTCAGGGTGTGTCACATCTCTCCTTTCTTCTGATTATTGAGACGCATATCTGGAATCTAGACTAACAGCTCTTAGATCGACCGCATCGAGGGCTCAAAATTGTCATTTACGATTCCTACTGGGAGACGAACTTTCCTCTCCAGTGCTCATCCTGGAGCTCAGAAAGTGGAATCATCACCCACTGAAAGCGACATCAAGGTGGAAGTCACCGCTACAACCCCCCCAAGAGGTTCTTGCAGATGCCGCAAAGGTCTCACCGGGCACCGAAAAACCGACCATCGGCCACAGCATCAAACAGGAGCTTCCCACTCCAAGTCCAGCGGAAATTCGAGAGAGTGATGCAGAGGGACCTGCTGAAAATCTACCAAGCTTATCCAAGGGCCCCGCAGTTACTGATTCCACTGCGGAAGAGGTGGACGACACCGTGGATGTAATCTTGCCACAAGAAGCAAACACAACAGCCACCACAGCCGATGCTTCACTCGAAAATGATCAGGAGACCGGCGCTTTTCAAGTCATCATCGTGAACCAGAATGATAGTCCCAAACCCGCCAACGAAAGTCTCAAACGCCCGACACCCCAACCGGAATCTGAACCTCCAGCAAAGCGCAAGCGAGGTAGACCTCGCAAGATCCAGTCTGTCCCTGAACTCGGGACAGAGACAGTACCGGATCCGGTTGAACAGGAAGTTACCAGTCCCAAAGTCGACACACCGGCCAACCCAGGCATATCTGTGGAAATAGTCAAATCTCCATATTATTCGTCAAACTCTGCATCATCAGAAGCAATGCGATCAAACACACAAACGAAGGACCCTGAACAAAGTACAGAAACTTCATCACCTACAGATATCGAGATGCGGGATTCAGACGGGCCATCTATTCAGACCAGCCTTCCACCCGTAGGATCATTCACGGACCCTGTACTACCGGAAAAATCCGTGGAAATCCCAGTACAAGCCGGAGAGTTGAACCAAAGCGAAAAGACCACGACCAACACAAACTCATACGAAACCGAAAGAATCGAAGACCAAGAGGAGCCCGCATCATCTCCACTTTCCCCAGCCAGATCAATGACAAACCCACCGTCCACTCAACCCCAAGAAGAACCAAAACAACCCACTGATGAAGCAGAGCAACAATCACAGCCCGGGGCCGAGTCCAATGAAGCAGCACAACAACCGGAACCGGAACAGCTCGAAGTAACGATCACAATTCCAAACATCAAAACCCCAAGCCCTGTCATCACCCACATCTTAAAGCTGGACGGGCGAAAACCTGATGGCAGAACTGGAAATTCCTGGAAGGAATTCCGTTGTTACCGGAATAATCAGGATATTGGGAGTCTTTGGGAGTTAAGAGAGGCGTGGTATTTGAAGCAGAAATGATTTTTTTTTAACTTACTTAACATGGATACGATACCCCCACGCGCGTCTCCTTGCCCTTGCCCTTGCCCTTGCCATTACCTTTGCTTGCGCTTGCGTTATTGTATTTCGTTTTTCGGTTTCGTTTTTGCCTTTCCAATCATCGAGAGAAAGGGATTGATTGATGGATGGATAGGTGAATTTATCGATTCATTGCTTTACGGGACTTGGATCCAAGATATTCAAGATCCCGGTATGCAGTGTATGCTAGGTTTCAAATTCGGGCAATTCGCGGGCACTGTCTACTTTCTTTTCTCCCAAGGTCTTCATCTTATTTTCGGAATCTGTAGATTAATCCTATTAAATCTATTTAGTCTAGACACAACAATGAGAACATATCATTCAAATTGGATGAATGAAGCAATGAACTCAGCTATTCTATTCAATTCAATACATCCATTATATTGTACTGTAGGGTAGATAGAAATTCCATTCCAAACTTTGCAATAGGGTATCACTAAAAAGACCCCCCCACTAAAAGACCCCAAAGCAGGCAGCGTCGGATCAGAATCAACAGCAACATCTACAGCAAAACTAGCCTGGATAAAATCCTCCAACTCCTCACTAACAGTCTTAAGTTTCTCCTTAATACTAGCAACACCTTCCTGACCAACAATATGTCTTGACGGCGGATTCTCATGGCCCCCAATCGAAGTGATCGCGTACACGGTCTCGGAAACTAGGACTTCCAGATGTGCTGAGCTGAGTGGTGGATGCATTGAGACGATTTCTGGGACGGAGAAGGGTCCGTTTTCGATTGAGCTGACGCGGGAGTTTGGGTTTGAGTTTTCTGATGACTCTTGCGTGTTGGAGCGGTTGCGGTTGGAATTGGAATTGGAATTGGGATCGGGGTTGGCGGAGACCGGGGATACGCCTTCGGATTGGGCGTCTGGGAGACGGGGACGAGGTGGTTTAGGATTCCGCGGAAGAGAGGGGCGTGGTTGTTTGCTGGTGAGTAGGCGGGGAAGATTGGTGGGACGCTTGTTACTAGGTTCGTTAGGATGCCTATTTCGATGCTGCATTGGAATATGGTGAGTTTTATGTTGAAAGGGGCGATTTCGTAGGCCAGACTCTGTAAATTAAGGTGGTTAGGTGGAGTTCAAGAGGATGATAGAGAGGGAATACTCACGTCGCAGAATCCTTCCAATGCCCAACCGGCTGCGCAGTACATGCCGAGTCCGGGGGTGCCGATATGCGCCGCTGTGTAAATGATTAGATGTGTGGATTGGATTACCCTATACGGGTGGGAGAGAGAAGAGCGTACTGATTCCTGATAGGATCATTATATGTCCGGCATGCTCTCTTCGCATGTGTGGTAATGCGGCTTTGATTATATTCAGTGGACCGAAGTAGTTGATTTCGAATTGATCGCGGACGAGATTCATGGTTTGCTGAGAGGCGGAGAGTTCTTCGACAGTACCGACGAGAGCTGAATATTGCATTAGTCCTGCATCACCCCATTGCGCAAGGTTCTGTGTCGGCTCAGGCTACTTACTTTGACTGGTGCAGCAGAGTAAGATATCTATACGCCCAAATGCAGCGACGGTTTCGGCAACGATCGCCTGGCATTCACCCATCATTCTAATTGCCAAGATATCGATTAGCTTCAAGTCTTTCGAGAATGCCGGCAAAATATGTTCTCGCTTCATGTTAAAGCGCTTGATATAAGAATTGCGATGCGCACCTGATGTCTGAGGGAACCGTCTTCATGCGCTGCTTCCACCCCTCATCGCGATGTTCGTCCACTTCGGCGAGAAATGCATCGAAGCCATTTCTGCGGCGCTCGTCGCGATCAAGAATTGTATGTGCCAGGCCTAGCAGTACATAGTCGCCATGCATGAGGGCTTGTCGGGAAACTGAGATACCAATTGGCGAATCGCCCGCCGTGATCAGCCATACTCGAGGACCGTTATGCGAGGGGAATTGGGCGCGCGGATCGGGAAAAGAGTGGGGGTCCATGAGGGGATTGGAATCGGATTAGGATCGGGATCAGGGTCAGGGTCAGGGTAGTCAGGGTCAGCGCGGGGGCTTAAACACGATGCCCATTGCGCGACTGCAAGGTAGGCCGACGGTAGATGTGTAGGTGTATGGGTGTGCGACTGGTGGTGGTGAGAGGGAGAGCTTTCGGAGACTGCGGAGTAGAAAGAGAAAAGGTGGAGTGGAGGTCCCCACTGTAGAATCACCACCGCTTTGGGGAAAGGTGCGATGTACAGTTACCAACACAAGCAGATAAACAGTGTGGAATATTTAATATTTAATTACAATTAATGAAATAACCAATTCAATTCGTCCAATATGCCCTAAATCAGACTAGCACTAAAATAATTACTAGTACTAACCACTACTACTAGTACTACTGTAACTGTTGGAAGCCGCTAGAATGCCAAGCGCGGGTCAAAGTTCCCGACGGCCAAACACTTCTTCGCCGCCGCGGCCTCAACTTGACTTTCTCCTTATCATCTCCCCCCCCCCGCCATTATGTCTGAACAGCGGCCACGCAGACAGGAAGAGTCCTCCGGTGTATGTTATAGTCCCATGGGCGCATTCACCCATCTACGCTGGCGTTCTCCTCACTGACTCCCCCCCTCTAGTCTGGCCTCAAGGGTGCCCTCCAGGGCCTGGGAATCTTTCTCCTGGTTCAATGGGGTATCAACCAATACATGGGAAAGAATAACCAGCAGAATGCTGTCCCTGGTACTCAACCAGGCGCGATCCCCGCATTTATCGATCGTCCTCCCCCCAGTGAGGTGACCAACCCGAGCTCCTTGCCCGAACTCATTGCCCCCATCTGGCCGGTCGACAGCGCCCTCGATATCAGCATCTATGTGTCCCCTTCGTACAATGTCCCCTCGTTCAAATCCCCCAGCAGTGTGCTAGTCATGCAGGAGAAGAACTTCACGATGGGTAACTACAGCGATACCCGTGAAATCGACACCACGATCAAGGTTCCCAAGGCGGTTCAGCAGAATGGAACACTCTGGGCGCACTTTTTTGTTGCGCGCACTGGATTCCAGTTGGATCCTGCTGCCAAGGACTACACGACCGACGACGCTCTTCACTTCATTCGCCCGCTCAACCAGTATCTCCCCAAGAAGAAGGCCAAGAAGCTCAAGAATCTCCTATCCGCCGACGAGGGAGAGGAGTCCGCGGAAGAGGATAACGCCCCGAAGGTCACAACTGCTTCATACTACCACCCCAACTTCACCGTCTCTCTGATCCCTGACGCCGGCACTCAGCGTCTTGGTCAGCTTCCAGCCCCGACTCGCCAATATGTGCAACTGGAGCGCAGTGGAGCCCGCGATGCCTCTGGACAGAATGGGTGGTACTATCCAATTCTATTCCTCAACACTTTCTGGCAGCTCAAGACTCACATGATTATTCTGAACTCTACCGTCGATGAAGTGCCGTTGCATATCACTTTGGACAACATGGCTCACTGGAAGTTCAACCTTGTGACTAGCATCGATGAAGGCTCCAAGCAGAGCGCTCGTCAGGCTGCGTACGGTGGCCCCGTCCCCGGTGGCGGTGATGGAACAGAGTGGGAAATGGTCAAGGAGATCCTTCTCGATACCAACATCTGGCTCCTCGGTACCACTGGTTTCGTGACTATCCTGCACATGATCTTCGAGACTCTTGCCTTCAAGAACGATATTGTAAGCCTTCCACCCATGAATATCACCCGTTCTATCACTGATCTCACTAACACGAAATTCAGTCTCACTGGCGCAAGAAGAAGGATTCTGTTGGTACCTCGGTCCGCACAATTCTGGCAAACGTTTTCATGCAAGCCGTTATCTTCCTCTACCTGATGGACAACAGCGACAACACTTCCTGGATGATTCTTGCCAGCCAAGGCTTTGGAATTCTGCTCGAGGCCTGGAAGATCACCAAAACAGTGGACGTGCGCCTGCGCCCCCCACCCGCAAGCTCCTGGTTTTCATTCCTTCCCTATGTCATCGTCTTTGAGGACAAGCACAAGCTTTCCGAGACTGAGCAGAAGACCAAGGACTACGACGAGATTGCGTTCCGTTACCTGTATATCGTGGCGGTGCCCCTGCTCCTCGCCTACGCTACGTACAGCTTGATGTACAACACGCACAAGTCGTGGTACTCGTATATCATCGAGACTCTTGTCGGCAGTGTGTACGCTTACGGATTCTTGATGATGGTTCCCAGTTTGTACATCAACTACCGTCTCAAGGTAAGCTCCTCTCCCCCGCACCTCCATTCGTCTTGAACCCTCTTGCTGACATTCCTATTCTAGTCTGTTGCCCACATGCCCGGTAAGGCGATGGCCTACAAGTTCTTGAACACCTTCATCGATGATCTGTTCGCCTTCACTGTCAAGATGCCATGGCTCCACCGTCTGGCCACGCTCCGTGACGACGTGATCTTCTTCATCTGGCTGTACCAGGGCTGGAAGTACAAGACCGACTACAAGCGTGTCAATGAGTTCGGCCAGGGAGGTGACAGCGATGAGGAGGAGGAGACTGAGTCCACCCCGGCCGCCGATTCAGAGAAGAAGGCAATCAAGGAGGAAGCGAAGGAGGATGTGGCTACTCAGTCCTCTTCCAAGACCAACAACTCCAAGCCCTCGACCCGCAAGAGAAAGTGAGCGGAGCGGAGCGGTTCTGCGTAGATGCCAGTATTGAGAGTCGACCACCCAAGATCTAGAATTGCGATTTGGCTGATTTTACGTGACACCGATTCCTTCAATCTTTCGCTTTTATTTTAGATTTACGACTTAGTAGTATTGGCGGGCTATTCTGTTCGCGTTCGAGACGTAACTAACTACACTTCACCTATAGGAGACTGCAGTCAACTTAGAGTTTGAAATAAATTGTTTAATTGACACCTTTAAAATGGATGAATGTAAGAGTATTGGAAGTACTAGTAAAATAGAAAATATCCAGAATAAAATAGTAATGTTGAGGGTTTCTTTCTTTGTTGAACGGGACTCCCCTTGTTGATGCTTGCCCAATCGGGTCTTAGTCAAACTTCTCCACGCGCAATCCGCTCGCACTGAATGCCACGCAAGATTCCAGCCTCGACTTGATTTACACCAAAACGATCATCTATCTCAATTGCAACTATCGATATCTATCCCCAGTTTTCACATCCCCGCCCTTCGCTCATTATCCAGTGGCGAGAGCGCGTTGGGCCATCTACGCGTTGACGCGCCAGACGGCGGGCATGCAGATTGCCCCAGTTTAGTTCTCGAGGAACAGCAACACGAGGAGAAGACATTGTCAAACCGCTAAATTTCAGCATGGCAGCTGATCTAGGTAAGTCACTTCGCGAACTCCCCTTTTCCCCCTCCTCCCCCCAGTCAATGATCAAATATTAATCGACTTATAGGAAGCGCCGAATCTGGCCTGCTCGATGCGCTGGAGCATCTAGAAGCCGGTATGAATCCCAAATCTCTGCCCACTGCCAACCGGGCCATGCAGCCATGGAGAAGAAGTACAGAAAAAAACTAATGAGTGTTTTAGTGGCATATGTCCCTGCCAAACAGCGGTACACAGACGCCGGCCAACTAGCCAAAACAATTGCCTCGGACGCGCACGAGAGCGGCATTCCGCGGGCTGCCCTGGGCCGTCTTCTCAAAGTGCTTACGACAAGAAACAACCTCGACCAAGGGACAGTGACGTCTCTTGTGAAGAATCTGTATCCCCGCGAACGGATATTATCGAAATATGCTACGCAGGTCGTTTGTTGTCTTGGTCCTAGCAAGTCCAAACCTACCCCCGCGACGCAGGCTCTGCTGGTACGCTGGTTGATTGTCGCGTACGATATCCTTGAAGACAAATCTCACCTGGGCAAACTTTATGCTGTTTTGTTCAATCATCTCGACATGATTAGTCTTCGGAAACCGCTTTGCCATTTGTTATCGCTCATTACGCGGCGGAAACATGTGAAGCCGTTTCGAATCCAGGCTCTTATGGAACTGATTCAGAATGCCGGTGGTGAGGATAGGGAATTGGTTAGTTTGCTGAAGGTTTTTAAGAACTATTATCCTGAGATTGTTGTTGGTGATGCTGGGTCGAGGCGGGCGGGGTTGTTTTTCAAACATCCTGATCCTGAATGGTCTGGGCATGTCAAGGTTTTGCAGGATCGGAATGCGGAGATGATGGATGCTGATCAGCAGCAATCGAGTTATCAGGTTGTTCATCGGGGGACGGTGAAGAGGAGCAGGATTGAGGTTGTTATTCCTGTGCTGCAAACTTCTCGAGTGTCGATGAAACATACCTCCTTGGAAGAAATTCGGGATATTGGTCATTTTGTTGACAAGTTGGATCGGATTGAGCTTCCTAATCAGATCATTTCTACGCTTGGAGATGCGATGGCACAGAAATATCTTCATTTGGTGCAGTCTGAAGCTGCGAATCATCGTCTGGATGAGTGGTTGAGGAACTTTTTGGATGATAGATTGGAGCAGGTTCGCAATGATGATGACGATGAACCGGAGTCGCTATCATATGTTCTCAGCTTTGTTGAGGGATATGCGTCATTTACTAAGGTAAGCTAGCGCATTTGCATCCCCCCCCCCGTCTCGTCATTGAGCTTGGACTAATCGTTGCAGTCGCTTCTTCCCTCGGTACGGGCTTTCTTGGAATCCTATCTCCAAGTCTGGAATGGCCGAGACAATCGGGAGCAAGTTCTACGATTGCTTCAATACTTGCCCATCGAATCATTCGCATCTCTTCAAACCAGCATACTATCACCACTTGAATCTAGTCTGCTAGACGCAACGCTCTCATCAAGAACAGCTCTGCTCGATTTCTACACAGCATTGATTGCAGAATGGGGCGTGAAACTCCGACTCGACCCATCCGTCTCAGAAGAGTCAGAGCCCTTAACCCACGTTGTCAAACACGCAGAGCTTCTAGCATCTTCAATCCAAGAATTTGTACCAACAGCCGACGACGAACAGCAAAACATCCCCACAAACCCAGCAA